GTTTCAACAGAATTTATTGAAATTCCTGTCATCGATATATTCAATGGAATAAACCAATTCCTACCTAGTAAATTGGCAGTATTGTTTTTTGCAATCACTAATGGCAAGTCCTTCTGAATTTTGCCAAATACTACTGGAACTTCGCACATTCCTAGTGTTTCTATTTCATTATGCTGATAATCACGCAAAATAAAATTGTTTTTTTTCAATATTGGCTTCTCCATTCTGAAAATTTCATGAAATTGCTTCATACCAATCATTGAATATGCTGCGCCACTGTCTATATTCATGTTGACAACATGATTGTTGATGGAAACTCCGATATTGAATTCGGATGAATTTTTTGACACACTGTAGACCACCTCGTAAACGGAATCGTCATTATCACGAGATGTCATTTGCTGATTGTCATCATCTGAAATATGCACAGACCTAACATTCGAGTTTTTATTTTTGAAAGACTTCTTCTTTGACAGACATGCCCGTTCAATATGTCCCAGTTTGTGACAAAAATTGCATATGGAATTTCTGAACTCGCAGTCTGAAGAAGAATGTGCATTATTACAACGGAAACACGTGAATTTATTGCCTGCAGGTCTCTGAGGAATGGTTTGTTTGGTGTTTCGTCTCACCTGATTTGTATAACTTGTATCTGGTTCTCTCAATTCGAGAACATTTCGAACTGCTGCTTCATGAGCTAGTGCAATTTTTTCTGCGTTCTCAAATGTTAGGCAGGACTCAGCTAGTAATCTTCGTTGCAAGGTTTCATCTTTAACGCCGCAAACGAGTCTATCTCTGAGCATTTCTGTGAGCAGAGTGGTGCTAAAATTACAGTCTTCTGCCAATTTACGTAGCTCACCAATGTAAGATGAAATAGTCTCGTCAGGTCCTTGTTCTCTTCTATGGAAACGAAAACGACCAACCATTTCAGACTTTTTTGGAGAAAAGTGCGCATTGAGCTTTTCCATGAGATCCTTGAAGGTCAAATCTTCCACATCTGTGGGCGATGCCAACGAATGTGCAATCTCAAAAGTTGCAGATCCACAAATGCTTAGGAAAACTGCTCTTTTCCTTGTGTCTTCTTCAACACCATTAGCTTGTAAGTAGAATTTGAAACGTTGTAAGTACAACTTCCATTTTTGAGGCTCGTTCGGATTGAAGGGTTCAATGTTTCCGATTGTTGCCATATTTGGTATTTCCTTCTCCTTTATCGACTGCGCCAATTTGTTGTGTTTATGGTACACAAGTAACCAGTAGGTTCTCAGAAGAAATACTATATATTATAGATAAATATGATACATGAAAATATGTAATCTGAAGTGACATTAACATTAACAAAACTGTCTAGTGACGATTGTCTTCTTTTATTACTGAGTGTTCTGTTTAATATTTTGATCGGGACATAACAAGTAACTAATTTGATAAGACGGAAGGAGACAAGTTGACGAATTTACATTTGCGTGTCTCACGACGACCACTTTTCAAAATAAGGATTTTTTGACGAATCTAACGGTACTGAATTATTCGTGAATGGATTGAGAAAAAGGACACAAATTCAATATTATCAAGGAAAATCTCGGGAAAATACTGGATATTCATTTATGTACATTTGCCAAGTGTGCCATGGATAGCCGTGATGCATAAAATTTTGCAGTTATTTTTTTCGAGTGTACTTTGGGAAACAGAACACTCTACCATACTAGTCACTAAAACTTTGCGATTTTAATTTTTTGACATCACCAGAGGTCCTTAAATTTACGCCCGACCATGCCCACCTAAATGCAATATTAAAAGTGACTCATAAAAATGAAACAGGCGTAAAAACTTCTGAATAAGTCATATTCTGATCCAGAATTGTCGCAGGAATCCAAAAATGTTATAATATACAGGGTGTTCCATTTAAAACTTCAAAACCGGAGTCATTTCCGGTGAAACTGGAAATGACCAGGAAATAAAAATGTTCCTCTTCACATACCATATACCCATATTAAATTTCAGTTTGATACACCAAATATTCTAAATGGTTCAGTTTGTCTAACAGATTCGTTGACACCCGGTATGTAACGTTGGAATATTGAGGGCGTCAACTTTTGCAAAACCGATATAGTATTTGAAATGTCGATATTATTTGAGTGCGGGTATGCAGGTAGAGGTTTACACTGATTTATAAATGGCAACAATACTGTAACTGTATATCCTCTAGTCCCTGGGATATTTTATGGTATATGAAACCTGAGAAAAATCCAATGCAGACCTGTTAACCGGTGTTATACTGAATCAGCGTATTGTTTAACAATAACGCCTGCCTGTTGCGAACAAAAGCATTGAAATCATATCCTGACATGTTCATGAAATTCGGTAGGAATAAATAAATGGATTATGGCAAGAACTAAAAGTGGTACACAGTCGATAATGTTAATTTGTCGAAAACTTTAGAGAGTGCACCGTCGAATGTGTGCCATTTTCTTCGGTCATTTCGTGATGATGTTCTTTACCCTAGGGCGCTGTCATATACAATATACGTTTAATACCACATACCAACGATATACAGGTGTTCACTGGCCGAAATTATCTAGGTGAATCACCATTTCGTTACAAGTGACTACTGATAGTGAAAACATGCTTTGGTCTCTAGAAGTAAACACATCTTATCGTTTGTGTAAAGAATATTAAAGAAAGAGAGCATAAATGAGAAACACTATATTCCAAAATGTTTGCGAATCTGTAGAAGTTCAATGAGATAGATCCAGCAGTAGCTAAAATGATCTACTGGATAGAATATTTCAATAGTATAAAGTTGTCGCGCTTGGTTTTTATTGAAATTCAAAAGGGGGAAATACTATGCATGATGATCTATGGTGAAATAATTTTAAAAATCGGTCAAGTAGTTTCGGAGCCTATTCAATACAAACAACAAACAAACAAATCTTTCTTCTTGTTAACATCAGTATAGATTGGTATAGATGAATCACCTATTGGTACATATATTATTCCATGCAGCAAATTTTGTATGGGGGAATGAATTGTAAAGTTGCTCCCATCATAACAGTACATGAAAATGGAAAATGGGAGATGCATCTTTCATTTTTTGAGGCAGTTAATAAATCACAACTTCATGAATTTATTTGTATAATCCTGTTCAACTACAACTTGAACTAATAATGTATCATACTATTATAAAAAATATTCAGAGATTATGTGATAATTATTGAATAAGTATCTTCAAAGATAGACGGTTTCTGTTCTTATCACCTATTGATATCTCTTTTTAAAATAATATGTCTGTACCTATTAGAATTCCATTTAGCGTCGAAACAGTCGACAATATCGAACATTTATTTATAGAATAGGTATGACGAACCAATTCGGAGAAACTGATTCTTAAAAAAAAAAGAAGAGGAAACCACAGGAAACCACATCCTCAAACAAAAGTGTTAATGAAAAACTTGTTTTCCCTCTTATTCACTGTTTGGTATCTCAAACGATGGAAAATATTTCCCAACGTATTGCCGAGAATTCATACTATTTATACTGCATTATGTGAACATTATCATCATTCATCTAACTTTTAAACGCATAAACCGGTATTTTAATCTTCCCACAACTTCAATCGACCTTTCAATTGTGCAGTAATGATTAACAAGGCTACTTATTTTCTCAGAAATCTACTTACGTCTTTAGAAGCCGAAAAAAACTATAGTATGAGCAGTTTATATAGATGCAACAAAAAAAAAACTAACACTTCGTGGGTAGAAAAATCATAATTAATTCAAGGCTTTCAATTCGACGCGTTATGTATATTTCGACACCTTCCTTGAGTTCCTTATAAAGTTTATTCCAGGATTGTTTCCGAGAGAGGCCAAATTCATTAAAGTGGTTCTGATTGTCTGAGTTTCCACACTTCATTGATGCCATCCAAAAAATATTATAAACTGGAATAACTATACTATGATATGAAATAGCAGATTATTTATTAAAATGAAAGTTATGACTTCAGGGGAGGGGACCAATCCCGACGTCATCAATAATTTTTGAAATACTTATATACGATTGAATTAATTGACTATTCCACTCACCACATAATTTGACCAATCACAAGCCAGAGACAACGTGTTTTTATCGTGAAAACATGAGCTGTCTTTCAATTTTGATTGGTCTGACAGCGTTCATGTTTTCAACCATGAATTGCAAATCATAATCTGGATGTAACCACGATGTAACCATGGATAGCGAAGCAAAGTCTGTCAGTTTGGCATAAAATTATTATGGCTGTACTTGTCAGAATGAATCACTCATTTATAATAAATGCTCTTTATGCTTCGTGAACGTTGAACAATGAAGCAACAGAATAATTATCTCGAATATTCAGGACATCGTGATATTAGTTATGAAAATTTCACACCAGTAATGTTTAATCAGCCAAATTGGGTTTGTTTGACAAATCACCATAGCAACATAATATGTATATTTTTTCCCTCGTGGGCACCCACCAGCGAAATAAATAGCCACGGGGGCCTACTTGCTAGGCGACCGCCTCCCCTTTTACTACTACACTCAGTTCCAAAAGAAGTGACGCACTTCTTAAATAAAAAAATTGGCCGATTTTTATTTTTTTTAATTTGTTGGTAGGTGAATGGATTTGTCTTGAAAAAAAAATAAAGAGGTGAAAATCTTTTCAAAGCCTCCTTGATGGTGGTGGAATAACTCGAACCATGATTTATTCTTAATTTTTGACTCACCCTGTGTGTTTATTGAGTAATGACATAAAAAGTGCTTACACCCTATACGAAAGAGGCTTTTTTTGAGAGCATTTTGTTTTTTATTCATTGATTTATCTCTAAAATTTTCCGAATTACAGATTTTTTGCTGATACCTTACGCTTATTCCACAACTTGAATTATTTTATTTTTATTACCTGAAGAAAATCCTTCAAGACGATAGATGGTGTATGTCCATTATCTATTTTCAATTTTTCTCATGAAAATTCTGACGACCAGTAGCAATAAGAAGAAAAGATGGACGCGGACAGCAGCTACGGGGGCAGCGACACCGCCCAGGACTCGCATTCCGCCCACGAGCTCAGCACAGCCTCCTCCCTGTCGGCGGACCCCCACCCCCACGAAAAACTGACAACCGCCGTTCACGTGATTGGCCCACCCGCCCCCGACGACCAGCCACCCCGCCAATTTTACCACAAGAACGAGATCACGGTGCCGGTCAACGTCGATCAAACGGATTTCCAGGTAATTATTCATTCAAATTATAGTTATTCAACATTATTTTGTTTTTCTCCTACATAATGTCCACCACATCATAGCCTGAACCAACAACTAAGTTTATAGTGGTGGATAACTATCGATAGCACTATCGATAGTATCGATAGTTTTGTAATATCAAAACAATTGATAGTTTTTGAATACTATCGATAAACTATCGGTTCAAAATTTTGTACAGAAACCAAGCTAATTTGACTCCCATAGTTCAACAGTCACTGAACAACAGTTAACTAAAAAATCGTTCTTAATTATTGATGCTCAATGTCTGTGACAGTCATTGATGGTCCGAAATATTAAATAATAATTTTGATTATTGTTTTTGATGGTAGGATGATGAAGCTACTGTGTTAGCGAAACATGTCGTGTTATCCTATAGGTACATTGGAAATAACTTAGAAATAAATTGAAACATACAAGCCTGAAAATTAATTCAGCAGTATGTTTCCTCTTTGATGCCTCAACATCCTTTCTAATTTACTAGAGGGTTTGAGGTGGATGTCATTAATTGAATCACAGGTTGGTATTATCAACATTACCTTCAATCTTTTCATCAGCATCCAGCATTTTTGGTCGATACAAGTTGTTGTCATCCTGATCATTCAACAGAGAACTTGCTGATGAGGGGTCTACAGCATCTATAGGTCAGCAGTATAGCAATGATTTCACTGTAAATCCGGGATGGCACTGATCTAAATGAAAACAAAACAAAAATATATAACAGTACAGAATAGTTATTTATACACCAAGGTAGTAAAGATTATCATTATTACCCAAGGTTATATCCCGAGACTTCAGCCGAGGGGTATCAGGTCCCGTGGTAATATTTTTTACTACCAAGGTGAATATTGAAATCTTGGCACGATGACAGAATATGACAAGTCGTCATTGATAAATACCTATACTAGATTCAAGTGCCATTCCTGTGAATATTGCATCAAAACAGTGAATTCGCGTTAATTATAACAGAGGTGGCTGTCTTTATTGACTAGTGGTTTATAAAATGGCGAAAACTACCTTGGTAGTAAAAACACACTTTCACGCCTTCCTTCAAAGCAGTAAATAATAACGGTAGGTTCTATAGCTAGTGGTGGAAACAATATTTTTCCAAGCGAAGCTCTAGCTGGAAAAGTCTTCTGTAACATGGGTTTATATATAATTTTTTGCTGATAGTACCTATTTTCCTCTCACCTGAAATCTCCACTTTTTATGCGAAAATCTGAGGTGTCAATGTAGAATAAAAATCAAAGGACTGCAGGGATATTATATGTATTATTTACCTACTACAATAATATTCAGTGTGAGACATTACGACACTAGTAAGGTAAAGTACTTATCTATATCGTTGAGTTACTTTACCGCATCTTATCAGTGCCAAGATTCTATGACACTTCCATCGTATCACATTCTTTATAATAGTATCATATACAATTCTTTGATATGTGTCTGCATCTATATGCCAACCGGTGGTCTGGATGATTTCTGTAGATCTTGTTACTAACTCCGAAAAGCCAATAAAAAACATCAACCATTGCAGGGCGGTATTACACAACATATCAGAACATGATACAAAATAGTTATTTATGTGCCAAGGACGAAAAACTGTCTATTATAGTCGAGTTGGCAAATTGATAGCCAAGGCCTAGCAATCAGAAGACACAATAGACAGTTTTGCGCCGAGGTGCAAAATACATTTTCTCGTCGACCTCAAAAACTAATATCCACATCACGCTCCTATTCACACCATATACGTATTAATAATCAATACGGATAATCTCTATCTGTTTCCATAGCGAAACATGAAGCCGATTTCTGAAGACAAATGACTATCCATAAGGAAAAGTTTTGAAACGATCAGACACATACTGCTTTGATTGAAAGGCTAGTAAACGTCATTGTCCACCGAAACGCATGTCTTTGATGACTACTATAATAGCGCATGGCGCATGCGTATCATGCCACCAAATCCTTATGGATATTCATTTGTTTCATATTTTTGGCTTCATCCTGGCACCCGTTATGATGCGTATTGTTTATTAATACGTATATGATTCACACGTGAAATCAAATGACAGTTGTTGTCAACTCACTCTCCGCCCGGACCATCAGGGTTGCCAATTCAATTTTAATTTCATCAGTAAATACCTTGTCAAAAATTCAGATCTATTTTATGCTATATGCTATTTTTGTAGAGGTCGCCAAAAAATTATCGTGTACCGAAATGTTTTAGCGCAGTCCTCGATTGCCGCACTACCTGGCCACGGCCAAATTGAACATCGGCGAGTCGCTCGAGCACCACAGCAATCTGGAGGAGATGAGCCGGAATTACCGCAGCTCGAGCAGACTGAACGAGATCCCCTGCGACGACGGGGCAGGGGAGGAGTTGGGGGGCATCGAGAATCCCGCCTTCGCGGACGAGGGGATGCCCCCCCACCCGGGTCCCGTCAAAAGCACCTTCAAGCCCTACAACGGCGATTTGCACCACGACAAGACTCACGGACGAGGTAAGATCAAATAGGCAAGAACACCCATTTCTAGTAAAAAATACTATGACATTCATCACGATGGGAAAATTCATTTAGGTTTTTTAAAATTTTGTATCCTTTCTAGATTTCTCAAAATAAATTTCCAAAGAAATGCTCCCGTTAGAACACAACGGAAAATCGTCAGCGGTACTGACGTCACAAATTCTATAACGCGTCGACCATCTATTGGTAGAATTATGATAATAAATCATGGTCAACATGATAAAAATAATGATGATAGTAATACTTATAATATTGATTTGAAACTAAAATGAATCACTAGAAAATCAGGGATCTCCTGTAACGATTTAACTCTTAAACGATCAATAATTAAATAAACGGCTTTCCTATTTTTGGTCGTAGAAGCCGCTGGTGAAGTTTGGCAGACTAATTTCGAAACACCCTGTATTTTTTACTTATTCCGATCGATCATGACATTCTAAATACAACAATAGGTACCACACTACTTGTCAATAGTTGACCAATAGAGTTATATTTATTTCAATTTTTATTCTTCGATCTAGAATGCCATGGGGTGTATATCGCTTCATTCTTAATCAAGTAACATGGGAGAAATACGACTTTGAGACTTATGAATTTTCCCAGTTAACTTGATTTTTTTTCAAATGAAAAGGCGGTGGCTAGTCAACTTTTCGTGATAGATCACTTTCTTACGAATAATTTGAAAGTCATTCTCGATCGAAATAAGTAAGAATATAAATTGAAAATAAAAAGTCGGAGTCATTCCCGTTCAAACCGGAAATACAGCAAAGCAAGTAAATATGACAAGGTAGAAACTGCCGCATCTATTGAATGACCAGAACTTCGACCCATTAGATTATCCTCATCATGTATCAGTAGGTTGTTTTTCTCGAAAATTTCGCTATAAACTACATGCATTCAAAAATCTCTCACATTGCCGTTCTAAAAATGAAAATCTTCGACGATGTCTTTCAGACGCGAGTTGTTTGAACAAAAACGAAGAACCACTAACGGAGGCGGTGAACTTGGAGCTGATCAATCTGAAGCCGGTCGGTCAGAATCAGAAGAAGAACGGCTCCGCCTCGGAGCCCTACGACGTGGGGAATGGCATGACGACGATACCGCTCAAGAAGGAGACCGACAGAGACATCGGGAACCCGTACGACGAATATTTCGTGCCCGTAAATGAACACCGCAAATACATGAGGTAGGTCTCGAGAAAGAAATGAGGTTCACTGGAAAATAACATAACAAACAAATTCAATTGCAAATTGATCGTTCAAATTTTCGGAACCTCCACTAAATCTCGAAAACTTCACAAAATTCTCAAACACACGACATGTTTCGCTAACACAGTAGCTTCGTCAGGTGATATACTGGTACAAAGAACTGGTTCATTGCACCAGTATGAACTTATACATATTGTTTGCCCAATCGTTACACATAGGGCATGTAAATGGCAACATAGCAACACTGATTCGGCTATCGTACGTCTCCACCAGTCTCCGCTGGAATATCTGAACAGATTGAGAGCTGAAATTCATTATGCCCTGAACTGTATAACGGTGAGCGGTGCTCTAAGTAAATGCCATGTTGCCAAATGTCATTCCTTCTTTAAAACTCCTATATCTAACGATTCGATAAACAATCGGTACAAGTAGGTATATCAGATAAAAGAAACTAATCATTTATTTGAAAAATATAATGAATTTCTCCATTATTTTACAGAGGTGAAAAACTATATGTTACCAAAGACAACCGTGTAGAGAAAAGCAGGAGCAAGTACATATGTTGGATAATCTGTGTTTGTCTAGCCGTGGCTGCTCTTATAATAGGAATACTGGCTGCAGGTAAAAATCAACCCTTTAGCCTAACAAAACCCCGAAAACATTGACCTTGACACTACTATCTAGACAGCTATAATGTATATATAATAATATTTATTGATCCCAAGAAACATACATATGTTTATGATAATATATGGATAGATAAATAAAAAAATCGAATATACAATAAAATGGAAGATAATCGGAATAAAACAACATGTGAAGAAGAAATTAAAATTTTATTTATTTATTTATTGAATCAAGTGAAATCTACATTTTGTCATTGAATACATGTATATATATTTCATATTGTATCTCCTTCACATAGGTTAGTGACCTGTGCGTGAAAGAGATGAATTATTTCACGTATAAAATTGATAAAATATATTTCTTCAGTTCACTCTTGAATTTTGTGACGAAATTAATAGATTTTATTCTGTTGAGTAGACTGTTATAGATATTTATACCACAAAAATAAAATAATTTTCCCAAATTGGTTAATTATTTTGACAGTTTTCAAATGATCACTTTGTCTGGTGTGATGCTCATAGGTATCATATCTCAACAACCCGAGAATCTCTCGTAAATTGCTCGCCTGAAAACGCTTCAAATCAATGTGCAGGAACTCTCAAACTGTCGTTCATGAAAGCGAGTCATATGCACTGAACTCTAAAGGGTTATAGTTCAGTGGTCATATGTCTCTTGGTGTTCGAAAACATAAGTAAGAATGAGTAAGATATATGACTTCCATCTCTTGAGTGCCATGCTTCTTTTTTATGGCATTAGCGGTCTGGATAGTAGTTTATGTCAGTTGAGCTAAAGACTAGACCAATAATAATTATTTTCATTTATTATGAGTATGATTGTAGCATCATTTTCTTGTATACACTGTGATATTATATTTTTTCTACAAAAAATCATATTTTACACTATAATTTCTGAATAAAAAACCGACAATTTCCGAAGGCAAGTACTTTTCGTCCGCAGACACGAACTTCTCGTCCGCTGCAGGGTTGCCAGTTCTACTGAATTTTCAGTAGATCTCTAGATTTGCATACTGATCTACTGAAACATTTCATATCCTACTAAAAAATATTTTGACACTCATTGATTATTATAATTAGCTATATTATTATCAATCTTTATTCAATCACATACACTTATAAATTGCATGATATTTCGGAACGCTTTGTTCAAATTAATTCGACAAAATAAGAAATAAATGTACATATTATATGAACTAATGAATGTTTAAATACTGTCTGTAGGTTAATGAATGTTTGTTCCGTTTACTGAAAGTACATAATGTTTTGACGTCATAGGTTCATTTCATTATCCTTTCTTGAAATTCGCATTGAAATCTACTGAATTTTTGACAAGCATAGATTTCAAATGTGAATAGTACCGTGATGTGAATATAAGTGTTTAAGGTCGCCGAAAAAATGTAATATGCACCTCGGCGAAAAACTGTCTATTGTCTCACCTGATAGCTAGCCTCGGCTATCAATTTGCACTAGACAGTATTTCGTCCTTGGTACATAAATATCTATTATTAGAGACATTCTTTTTCTTCGGGCAATAAAGTATATATTGATTGATTGATTGATGAATTGCAGTTGGCGTAATCGGAAACCAGGGCCCGTTGCCGCAAGAAGTGAGCGCGAGAAGCTTCGACGGCAACCAGACGCCCATTTCCAAAGGAAGCATCGGCTTGCCAGGGGTGTCCGATTCCGGCCAACCCCCATCGTCACCGGAACCACCGATCTCCACCCTTCCCGCCTTCCTACCGACCACCGACACATCTCGAATCGAAGGTGACCAAACCTACATCAACCAATATCGAAATAATAATAATAATAATAACAATAATGCCACGGTAATTTTCAAACGGCTCAAAATTTACCGCGAGTAAAAACTGACGTCACGATTTCGTAAGTAGGGGCAGAGCATAGCACAGTTGCCATATGTTGAGATACGATTGAACCTTCAGAAATATCAATTATTCAATTATTCATAAATTCTCAATTTTGTATTGGTTATATTCCTTATAAGACATAACAAATCAATTGTCTCAAAATATTCCCTCTATTATTATATTAATTCACACAACAGGACATTTTTGAGTGTGAACGTGACAACACGGTATCACGAATTGTGGGCGGTGCCTTGTCAGTTCTCAGCATCCAGCACATTTTTGCCAAGTCTTCAACATCAACATGATATTTTGTCATGGGGTATAACCGATAGTTAGACATGCTGGTTGCTCGAAAAAGTAAAGAACGAACTATTATATCATGGCTTTCTTATATCATGTTTTATCTCGTGTTTTATTCAACGACAGAACTCTAAAATTTTTGATAAATTGATTATAATTGGTGACTTGCTTTATAAGTGGAAATGGAAGATTATCTGACCAATAACGAAACAGCAGCATAAATACTGACGTTACCATTTATTCGACGTATCACCAAAATGGCGGCCATGCCGGCATGTCTGAAATTCAACAATCTTGAACAAAGCATGGATTCACTACACTGTTTTACCACTAACCAAACCGATTTTTTAACGCCTCGACACGTGTTTCGCTAACTATGTTAGCATCTTCAGGAGAAGATTAAAACTTCTAATCTAATCTTCTCCTGAAGATGTTAACATAGATAGCGAAACACGTGTCGAGGCGTTAAAAAATAGGTTTGGTTAGTGGTAAAACAGTGTAGTGTATTATCGTGCCAAAGGTTCCAGTCTTCGATATATAAAGCATGGATTCATTATTCACATGAAAAAAGCTTGAGAAATATTGCAAAAATTAATTCAGTTCCCTAACGACACAGTGGGGTAATTGAATGCCAATAATTCATCATCAGTCCACTTGTCCACTGTGTTATATTGATGAAATCAGCTCTTCAGGGAGGATCTAAAAATGCGATGACACATGAAAAAATCAAGTAGTACCCTGTAGATCGTTTGTTTCGAGCACCCTGTATTTTCTGATGTAGCGGAAAAAAAATCGGAAAAAACCTTTCAGATGATTTTTAAAATGAAATTGAAATTGGTTAAAAAATAAGTGCAACTTATACTCATTTCAAATTTATAAACCATTTTTCACGAGTGTTTTTGTTTTTGCTATTCTCATGCATTCATTACTTCTCTTGTAGTTCCTAGAGCAATTGAATCGGAATTGAGAATTGATAATCTGCAGTTCAATTCAGAGTTGGCCGATACCAACAGTTCAGAGTTCAAAGCGTTAGCCGAAACATTGGAAAAACAGATAAAGAACTCGCTCTTCAACAACAACCTGCTCCAGTACGGCCCTGCCGACATAGAAGTCAAAGTCATGGAATTTGAGTAAGTTTTCCATTGAACTTGATCAATTCTCGAGCATGAAATTGAATCGTTTCAGGTCAGGAAGTGTCATTGTAAAGTACCGCATCGCCTGGAAATTCAAAGAAGGCATTCACAGTGCCAAAGACCCCATAGACCCTATCTCGTTGAAACGTAAACTGTCCGAATCTCTGCAGAAAAACAACGATCTGATGGGCACCTTCCACATACCGGAAAACTCGCTCTCTGCCGGGAAAATCCTCGACAGGTGCAAAATTGAGAACGACGGCTGCGAGCACGTTTGCATCTTCGACTACGACCTTGTCGATTTTGCTTGTCTTTGTCCAGATGGGAAGCGATTGTCCCACGACGGGAAAACTTGCATTGTCATGGATTCGGTACCTCTCGAACCGGAAATACGCAATTTCGGAAACGAAGGTCCGACAGATCATCCCTTCCTACGTGCCGAAGAAGAATCGCATGCCAGGCACAACTTCAATGATTACGAAATACCAGCTGAGGTTTGTCAAACACTAGTTGCTACTCAAGAAGACATAATTCATTTATCAAACATCATAATTCAAATTAATTTTTCTGAACACCCAAATCTATGCCATCTTACAAGTTCTTGTTACAGGTTGAACCAGAGCCTTCCGTAGAACCAGAACCTGCAGCCAAACCAGAGCCTTCAGCCGAACCTGAGCCTTCAGCAGAACCAGAGCCTATAGCTGAACCAAAACCGGTATCAGAGCCAGAACCCACAAAGAAACCAGATACAGAAGCTGAACCAGAACCGGAACCAGTAGCAGAACCGGAACCAATAGCTGAAGGTAAACCATCCCCTGAGCCAGAGCCAACAGCAGAACCTCAACCAGAAATAAAATCTGAAATAGCAGAAGTCATACCTTCAGCAGAACCAGAACCTTCTGCTGAGCCAGAACCAGAACCTTCTGCTGAGCCAGAACCACAACCTACTGCTGAACCAGAACCACAACCTTCTGCGGAGCCAGAACCCCCATCGACACCAGAACCATCTCCATCTGCAGAACCCGTACCATCGTCAGAGCCCACACATGGTCAATCGGAAAATATGAATCTTGATGTTGTGAACAAGAACATTGAATCTACTACATACACAGAACTGAATATGCATCACTTGCAGAATTTCTCTGATGCAAGTATGAAGGAGACCGCTGCGGAACATGAGAGTACTGCTGATCGATCTATAGAAGGCTTGGAGCAGTCAACACACGAACATATCATAATGGCTGTTACCCCCGAACATACTACTGAATTCACTTCAGATTCTGAAAATCCTATGCAGACTTCGATATCACCGGTAGAGTTACCACAAAACGATTTTTACTATGATTCATCGATTGGGCTCCAAAAAGAACAAAACGAAACCGAAAATCACACAGAGAAGCAAGAGGAGCACTTGTTCTTGCAAGAGGAAAACGTTTCTCACAAAAACATGCTGGATATGGGGCCAGACGAGTTGGACCAGGCCATGCACGAGCTGGGCCTGATAAGAGTGGTAACTCCAGTTGCAGAAGTGATAACCACACAATCGACTGCTGATCGTTCATATCACAGAGTCACGGAAAATTCAATAGGGATAACAGTCGTTCCAGAAGTTGAAAACACCCAGGCATCTACTTCGAGTAGGCTGATGGAGAATTCAACAAGTGTGCCATCTATTGTAACACCTGTTGCAGGCGTCATGACCACACATTCTACTGCAGATTCGGATCACAGAATCGTAGAAAATGCAATTGAGACTGTTGTTACCCCAGTTGCAGAAGTAATAACTACACAGACGACTGTTCATTCAAATCAGTCAAATTACCCTGCTGTGGACAATTCGAATGGTGAAACAAACGCAAATGATTCGACGATAAACGTTATCCAGACCCAAGAAATCCAAATTCAAAACAGTTCTTCAGTGAAAGAGACTGCGGCAACAACAGAAGCGAATGAAATAAGTTTCAGCGAAATCAGCCGTGAACCGAAAATACAAGGTAAGTTCGATACGAAACCAACCTTCTTCAGAATTTATAGGTAGAGTTCACATTGAATCAAAGATTTTGAGTGGTGCTGCTATAGCGTTACGCAACTTCTTGAAAATCTAATTTTTAATTTTGTTTTTTCACAGAACTACATATGTACCATGTGAATAACCAAGTCGCCAATCACACCGCAGACATAATGGAACATCCGGAAAACGCTCACGACGAGTATAATATGTCCCCCTTTTTGCCCGAATTGGAAAACGATACATTCATCAATTCTCTTCACTACGACGAACATTTCTTCGATCACAACAACGTAGGAGAAAGTCACGAAAATATAAGCGTGACCAAACCTCCGACCCTCGAGTTTGATCAATTGAATCACACCAATCCCTTCGACAACAATACTTCCGACGCTCTTGGAGTAGCACCCTTAGAATCTGGAAATATGGATATCATTCCTGGAGAGGAAACAACCACAGACCTAACGACCACTGTGGAAACAATAAGTGATGAGCAAGATACAACTACAAGAGTAGAAAACGTTGTAACCGAAACGAATACCATAGTATCCCAAAATGAAACGACCACTGATGTTCCTACTATGGAGGCATCAATGGAAACTGAAACAGAAAATACCACCTCCACAGAGAAAATTATGTCATCGGATAAAGTAATAGAAACAGACCAAGGTATGCCCACTGAAGCAATCGCAGAGGTGACTACAACACAAATCGATACAAATGAGCACAATGCTAATCCAGTTACTGAAATTGTCGGAACAACAATCAAGAGCCATGTAATTATTGACGGAGAAACAACAACCCAAGGTGGATTTGATGAGATTAGCATCATCATGAATACAAGTGATGCTAAAAACGATACTGAGATGCATCAGACAGAAAATTCAAAACAGTTAGAGGAAACGTCAACAATCCCTGCATCCATAGGAATAACCACTCTTCCCTCAGATATCTTGAATAACATACACAGCAATTCGTTTTTTGAAAAACACGCCGAAATGGACAGAAATGGAAGTCAAAATGAGAATTCTGACTGGACAAGCACTAAAAAGACAAGTAACTTCAACGAACTAAGGTAAATATCTATATTACTATAAAAGAAATTCAGGTCACCTATTTAGAATAAATTATGTAACAAACTATAACAGAACTCGAAATTAAATTAACATTTTATCAATATTTCGACCAAAACTTAAATAAGAAAAGTTTTCTTCAAATAATGAAATGAAATGTCACTCTGGTTTTTAGCTCCAGTACAGAGGACTTGTTAGCGCTTGAAACTACGACGAACAATTTCAAAACTCGACACGAAAACAAACATAATAATAACACAGAGATGCCAAATGAAACGTCTACAATCAACGCAGAAGTAATTGAAACTGCAACTACCATAGTCAATTTCAACGAACAAGAAACTAACGAAATATCTACTGCCTCATCATCACCTTCATCAGTTTACCAGGTAGAAGAAAAAGTAGCAGATTTCACAACTACAGAAAAATTATTCGTTTCTCCTAAACCGACCTCAGAGATATCGCTAGAAGAAGGAGAAGAAGATCTGTCAGTAGTTCCGCTCAGCGAATACTCTCGAGACGCTTTCAACGAAATATCAGACGACAACACTAGAGAAACGCGAGTTTCGGACCAGCAGGTCAATAAAGTGCATGTACCAGATGAACATGCTAAAGAAGTGCCTATAATCAAAGACGTGTCTTCTCAAGAAAACGCAGCCAAGCCGGTGACGGAAGATTTCGATCTTCCCAAATTCACGAGATGCCGCATCGGGCAGTTCCAATGCGTCAACGGCACTTCTGTCAAAGATGGCAACTATTGCATCGCGAGCAGCGATCGATGTGACTCGATTTTGGATTGCAGTGATGGATCAGACGAGGTAAATTGCGAAGCAGAAGGCTGTCCTAACAATTTCCAGGTGAGCACATGATTCTGATCATCAGATTATACAATATAAAATGCTATGGCCCCTTTCTTAAACGATCTTGACACACTTGAAATTTTTTTGACCTCTATGAGTGAGAAATTCACGACCGATAAATCTACAGAATCATAAAAAATTGCTTTGTTCAATACCTCATTTCACGCCAAGCGTATTTTGAATGTTTTATTTTTATTTTTAGTGTACTAGCAAACAATGCTTGAAAAGACACTTAGTATGTGACGGAATCCTCAACTGCAACGATGGAACCGATGAAATCGATTGTGGTAAGTATATTATTCATTAATTTGAAAATGGAATAAATGATTCAAAACAGGTAAATGAACAATGGAGATCAGTTGAAATTGAAACGAAATGTTCATTTGCTAGCTAAGATCCATGTATAATTGAAATGATAACTTTCATAGGCCCGTTAGGCACATTCTGGTATGGCAGTAAAACGGCCGGACTTGCGTCACGCGAGTAACTTTGTATACCTATATATATTATATATGTCAATGTCAGCTGAACCTGTACATTCAGCAGCGGTGCCAGACCTACTGGTTGAACAGTAGATCTACTGTTTTTGTCTCCGTTCTACTGTTCTCCTGTTTTAGTCATGAAACCTACTGTTTTTGTCATTAAACCGAAAGCAAAATTTGAAAAATGACAAAGTTTCACACAAGCGGTTGTAGAAATTGTGCAGCGAGCATCAGATTTATTATGACCCATCAACAATTCAGAATTGACAGCAGATTTCGATTTTTATTTTGGATGTTGTCAAGTCATCGGGTTCTGTCTGTGGTTCTTCGTTCCCAGCTCAGAGTCGGTATAGTCCATAGACAATCTCTCCTATTTTGTTATAATTGTATTTTGTTAATAATTGTTATTGAGTTCTAGTTCATCCTTTTCGCGAATACGTGGAAAGATTTGTTTGTTTGTATTGAATAGGTTCCGAAACTACTGTACTGTCGGTACGTCAACTACTAAACGGCTTGACCGATTGGGTTGAAATTTTGAATACGTAAAACAACAACAAAAAATACAAAACATACTGAGAAATGAAAATTGGTGTAAATATATAATAGTAGCTATAAGTAAGCACAAAATAATTGAAAAAAATAACAAAAAGCACGTGCTGTAAAGACGCGCATAGCTCAGAACGGCTGCAACAAATGTCTTTTTAATGGGTACACCAATCATGAGAATGCTGTGCCGGAGAGCTAGTATTTTACATAAAATTAATATTACTTCATTCAGATTGTCGCACACTTCGCACAAATTTTTTTAATTATCATTAATGAACTTGTGGCTGTTGTTTCAGATAAGTGGACATGCAAGTTCGACGAAATGTCTTGTGGACCATTGCAAAGGTGCATCCCGATATCGTGGAAATGCGACGGCAAATCCCATTGCCTGGATGGCTCAGACGAGCACAACTGCCACCCAAATTCGTGCTCAGACGAGTCCTTCCACTGTTCCGAACAGGGGAGCTGCATCTCCGCCTCGTGGAGGTGCGATGGAAAACAAGATTGTGCGATGGGAGAAGACGAGAAACTGTGTGGTGAGTGATGTAAAGGAAGGAAGTAGAAATTATCGAAGGTAATAATACCACGAGTCCTTCAAATTCATCGATAATTTGGTAAATTTTCTACGAAAACTCTTATTTGGCAATAATATGAAAACAAACCGATTGATAAAATCAAGAGTTAGAAGATATATTATCCGATAGTGATTCTGATTCATCAGAAACACCAAGCTCTAGTAAATCGGAATGATAAAATATACTGGACAGTACTGTTCGGGAACATTGAAACATGCTCTGAATCAATTCTCTTTATGATTTAGATTGTAGCAATGATCAGTTCAAATGCGAGATCGGAGGTGGATGCATACCAAAGACAAATCGCTGTGATGGCATTGAGCATTGTGCAGACAAATCTGATGAGTGGAACTGCCTTCGTTTGGAAGTCATCACTAATAATTCCTCCAATGAAATCAGTGCTAAGAAGATTCTACAGGTATAAAAAGTTACTTACACTATTTCCTATTTGAAGCCTGTGATGATTCCAATTGACCACATTTTTCAATCCATAAAATTGTTGTAGGTCCAGGCAGAAAACAGCACGTGGTACCCGATATGCATGGATTGGGCACTATGGAACACCACCTATGCAGATTTAGCTTGTCAGAGCTTGGGATATGCCGGTTCCACTTCACTAGAATCTGTGCCCAAGCCAGAAGAAGTGGAATCCAATGAGATTTACCAGCTGAAGTCATCACATGACAATACATTGCAACTGGAAAAGAAAACCAACGGTGAATGTAGTCAGTTTACGTCGATCAATTGTCAGGAATATGGTGAGTACCATAATGATATGAAGAAGCATTCAACCCTTTTCCTAGCAAAGCATCTGGCAAAAAAAACGGCCACCAAAAAATTTCAGTAAATTGTTCTCCCTGTAACTTTCTTATTCCTTGTCCGATATTTATGAAATTTCGAACAAATCGCAGATTCATGTTCCAGAATGTTAGCCTGCATATTAGTTTCCGTGAAAAGCTATATCTACCTTAACACCCTTAACTTTTAACGCCCTGTGGCGAAATTGAGTGGTTAAACTTGACTTCCTTTTGCTTTGAATTGAAGTGTGATCCCTTCTTAACACAATAGTTTTTGATTCACCTCAATATCTTATTTTCAATTTATATTAACAAAAATCAGAACCTACATAAACTTATTGATTAACAACGCAAAGAAGTGATATCACTTATTTCTACCTCATTTTCTTAGCACTCACCGGAAGAAACTAGTTACAAAAAACAAACAAAAGGCAGACATGATGTAGTCAATAACGAGTATGCCCTCGAGTTGATCAAATTTCTCAAGTAGTCTTGAACACTTGTATATTATTTTTTTTTGTATATATTTTGTATATTCTCCTGAAAAGAAAATATTGGCGTAAATCTAGAACCAGTGTGTTAAGAAGATACCTACGAAAAAGGGTCACACTTCAATTCAAAACATGATGAAGCAAAAGATTGGAGAATGGTTCTGAATTATTGTTAGATACTTGTAAACCTCATACCGAATTCGCCATCGGGCCATTATTCACGCCGCAGGCCATAAACGCCTACTTTTCGCCGTTGATACCTAAATAACTATTATTTTTCTTGGAGTTATAAAGGCAATTGATCAATGACCTTCATTAATATTACAGTATGTGGAAGCCCTTCAACATTTGATCTTCCATCTGCACGCATCGTAGGAGGCAACAAGGCAGCTCCCAGCCAATGGCCAAGTCTGGGATTATTGTATGACAAGAAGCGCAACATGTACTGTACTTCAACATTGGTCACCCCACTTTGGGCCATTGCAAGCTACTCTTGTGTTTTTGCCAACACCCAAACTACCATTGCCACTGACTGGATTTTGTATGCCGGAGGTTCCAACAAGACAGACAGTACCAGTATGCAGATTAGGGCTGTTCAAAAAATTGTGGCACATCCACAGGTGAGTACTGATTTCAAAATCGGATCTCCAGTAGTTCTATCTTTCTATATTTTTCTTTGGTGTTCATTTATACAACGTGTCCCAGCTAAAATGTCCCCCCTGTAAAAAATCAACCACGCGATCGAATGACTTGAAATTTGGTCACCCAGTATATTTGATGATGCTCACTCAACTATCTTATTTGAATAGGGACACCCAGTATATTATTCCATATTCAAGTAGAGTTCTTTATTACAAATTCAACAATGCCGGGTTTGATGGGATTTTTTCAAACGACTACGAAGTTATGGCAAAAAATCAAACGATTCAATGAAAAATGTATATGATTAGATTTTATTAATATAACACGATTGAAATCGAATGAAAAGAAAATAATAAAAACTTCAACTACTCAATATGTCGTCCATTCTGCTGCAAACATTTCCTAGCTCTTTTGATAACGTTCATTGTGACCCTATGTATCACGTTGCGATCAATTTGTGTGCATAGATTTGTGATTTTCTCTTTCAGTTCTTCCATATTCACAATTGGCGACTCATGAACCTGTTGTTTCAAGTAGCCCCACAAATAAAAATCAAGTGGGGTGAGGTCTGGCGACCGAGCTGGCCAGTTGCCATCACCATCGACACAATTGGTGGTTATTAGATTTTAATTCTTTTCTTTTCATTCAATTAAAATCGTGTTATATTGATGAAATCTAATCATACATAAATATTTTAATGAATCGTTTTATTTTTTGCCATATCTTCGTAGTCGTTTGAAAAAGTCCCATCAAACCCGGCATTGTTGAATTTGTAATAATGAACTCTACTTGAATATGGAATAATATACTGGGTGTCCCTATTCAAATAAGAAAGTTGAGGTGCACATCGGTGTGACCCTGTATACCTACGATTTATTCAATAGCATAATTCGAGTGAGCATCATCAAATATACTGGGTGACTAGATTTCAAGTCATTCGATCGCGCGGTTGATTTTTTACAGGGGGGGACATTTTAGCTGGGACACGGTGTATAACTGTATATAACAATTGACTTGTGATTACAGGCCAAATTCTCTCAGTTTGAGTTTGTCAATGATGTAGTTCTCCTCAAACTAAGGAAGCCTATGATTATCAATGTGAATGTGAGTGCGTCATGTCTTCCACAAAAGGATATGGAACCAAGACAACTGTGTATAGTTTCCGGTTGGGGCGTAAATCAGCCTGGAGGTAAGAGTTTCTCTCGAAAAGTATGTATGATAACTAATCATACCTATTTCAGAACTGGCCATTCAACAGTATTTACACTATTTGCCGGTTCCTATGATTGATGTTGATGAATGTAATTCTACCAGGCATTACAATGGCAAGCTGAGTGATGACAAAATGTGTGCTGGATACACGGATTCTGAAAAGACACCTTGTTTTGTAAGTGAAAATGCGTAAACCGATGATGGTAACGATATGCAAGGTGTCCCAGAACAACGTACCATACATTCTACAGGGTGAACTAGAGACGAAATTAGGCCGATAGAAAACCAACTTACCCCCATAAGAAAATGCACGAGGGCGTTGAAGAACAATTTCATTTCCACAACTTTTTCAATATTTCGAAATCCTTGAAATGGTACGGCATGTTTTCCATGCACATTCACTAGAGAAAATTGCCCGACGAATTTCATAGCAGTACCTTTCAAGGATTTCGAAATATTGAAAAAGTTGTGGAAATGAAATTGTTCTTCAACGCCCTCGTGCATTTTCGTATGGAGGTAAGTTGATTTCAATCGGCCAATTTTGGTCGCTAGTTCACCTTGTAGAATTTATGGTACTTTGTTCTGGGACACCTCTCTTGTGTTTTTACCAAGTAAGCAGTGCGTCAATTGGCATAGTGTAGTAAGTACTCTCTATATATTTTGATTATCGAAAATGGCTAATTTGATGCTTTTTAAACCACAACAGACACTTTCATGTGTTACGAGTTAATTTATTATCATTTTTCGTGGACCTTCACAAAAAATCACATTTAACGTTCTAATTTCCGAACGAAAAACCGACTATTTCCGAAGGCAAGTACTTTTCGTGCGCAGCAGGGTTGCCAGTTCTACTGAATTTTCAGTAGATCTCCAGATTTGCATATCGATCTACTGAAACACCCTGTATGAGGAACAAAACATTTAAGTAGAACATATACATACTAGTAAAAGTCACACTATAAAAAAGATATTGAACAATTAAAACTATAATAGAGTGTTTCGTCCTTGGTACATGAATAACAATTTCTAGAATGACGAAGGTGCCCCTTTGATGTGTTTCTCTGAGGAAACAAGTAATTGGGAGCTGCAAGGGATATTGAGCCACCATGACAACTGTGGCAGCAACAGACACCCCGCCGTTTACACCAAAATTGGTTCCAGTATGAGGTTGTGGATAGCAAACACAATAGGGCGACAGGCATTGAGTAAACTTTAGAAAGAAGAACTGTAGATAAATTCAACTTGTTTGTTTATCTAGTAGAGATTTCTGTTTACAGTTAAAACAGGTCATTTTTAACGGAAGACCGGATATTTGTTTATTCAACTTTTGTTGCTTACAACAATGTTTTCTTGATTGGTGAAGAATGTAGCAGGAAGTTTGGGCCCCACCAATTAGTACCTTTTTTGGCTGTCAGAGATGGGTTCAATAATGTATTGACAAAACTCACCTAAGATGTAAAGGAGATTTTGAAACTGATTTTCCGAATGTGTTTTTTTCAAGTGACCACTTCTTTTACATCCAATCTAATAATCCATTGAGTTCCAATGCATTTGATACAACATTGAATCACTGGATTTTGGAATATTGGAATATTACTGAAAATATACAGGGTCACATTTTGAAAACTTCCCACTGTCAATATCTTCCTTAGATAATATGAAAAATCGAGAAGACAGGTCAATTTCATTTTCAACGGGGGCACTTAAAATTAATATTTTTAGCTCTCTTGGTTCAGCCCTCTAGGAGGGGTAGATGTTACCCTCAGAATCTCAAATAGAAAGGGGGTCAAATGTCCCCCTTGAAAATAAAATCAACCTGTTTTTTCGATTTCTCATATTATTCACTGAAAGGAAGATATTGATGGTTGAACGTTTTCAAAATACCACCTTGTATTCGACACTGAAAAGATGTGAACCTGTTCAGTGTTGAAATTTTGGTCAGATTGTTGTGAGAACTAGAAAGGTGCCATAGTTTATCTGGAGAACCATTCAAAATGTGAGGTGAGGTGCTACCTACACTTTGATTATTTATATTATTATTATTGGATTTTAATTTTCTTATTTATATTGAAACTATCATTGTATTTTAGGAATTATAGTCCATTCTATACAAAACATTATACACTATACCATTCAAATTTCAACTTCCAAAATTGAACATGGATTGGAAATATTGCTCAATTATACCTACTACCTATTACCTTAACTTCCAGTCATTCATCCTGTTTAATTATGTAAATTTCTGATCATAGAAGTGAGATGGAAACCAGTAAAAAATTTCAATAAAATGTTCGAGATAATTTTGTACTGTTACATAAACATTGTAAATATTGTATATTATAAAGTTTAACACTTCTTGATTCATGTTCCGTACTTAAAAATTATATTGTTTCCTTACTGCTGATATTACTAGTCACCAGGCAAAAATATTAAGTGACATAAACCATTTGTATATAGACTTTTAAATGTTGATATAAAAATTATACATTATTAGAATACCTCCTGTAGTTTTCATTCAGGTACCTATTTCCTTTCATCATTAGATAATTAAACAATAATTGCTGAGTAAGTAATTATTGATGGATCTCTTGGACCTCTGAGCATACCATAATAATTACCCATTACCTCTACCATAGAATGAAGACTGTCTTTAATACACTCACCGACAAAAAAACGGCCACCAAAAGTTTACCCAAATACCGTGGCATTATTATTGATTTTAGCACCTTAAAATTGAACGAAAAATTTTAAAAAAATATGAAATTGAAAGGTGTTTGAGTGATCATTATATTTAAGGAATAAAAGAATAGTCCTCTCGCCTATTAGCCAATGAACCCAGTTGTTTATATTGAGTTCATTGCTATTAGCAGGGTGACTAGGGGGCGGGGGGCAGCTGCCCCAACCTGCCCCTTTCTGGCGACGCCCTTGTGAATTTCAATGTATGGATGCATGTACCTCACAAATTTTCCTTGTGTTCAAATGAATTTTCCATCCAGGTCGTTTCATACATTCCTTCCATAAGAGAAATGGGGTTGATATTTCCTTTTGCGAATTTAAATGGTTACGCCATTGTCAATCAAAAAGAAAACCTAGTCACCGAACATGGTGTAACCACAAGGATAATATCCTCTTTGATAATATCAAATAATATACTGTGGTGTAACCATAGTCGTTCTAGATGACAAACTATAGTAGGTAGGCAAGAGCTTTGTTCACCCCCGCGTACTAGGTTTTCAATTTTTCATTCAGATTTTAGATGGACAATGGTGTTTTAATGAATCTAAACATTCAAAAATACTAACAGTTGTCATTCCTGTGTCCGAACCCTTATCTAACTAATACCATCACCATCCAGTGACTCTACAAATGAGTTGCCGGCAGTGCCGGCTGGGCGGCTGATTTGAGAACATATTTTGTTGCCCATAGCCACGATCTCATAGCATACCTAATAATGTTAATATAATAAATAAAGGTATAGGTACATACCTAGTGCATTTACTTGAAAAATTATCTCACCCTTTCTGGTAAATTGGACTTTACTTACATAGGCACAATATAGGTACATCCACCTTTGCACCTTTTGGAGTTTAACAAAGCAGGCTATGACAGTACGTGAAGAGTAGCAGGTGACGGCCAAGGGTGACGGCAACAATGAAAATAATTACAATATAATAAAAAGAAAAACTCACCTACAATCTTCAATTTGTGCTCATCATCAAGAAACAAACAAACACAATGACACCTATGATAACATTGATAACATAACACAACACAAACATGCTGTGCGCAGTGTGAGCTGTGCTGTAACGACGTAACATGCGCACACAATCACAAATTGAACGTTGAACCGCCAACGGCGAATGGCGCCAATTCGCGATAAAAAAATAACATGTCGCCCCACCTGATGGCAACAACTTGAACGTTTATGACCAATAAGAACAAACAAAAAACAAATGTGAACCAATGAAAACAAAGTAGACAGGTCGCTTTGACAAGTTTCAAGAACTCCGATAAGTGGCGTAAGCTTATTTTCTATCGCGAATCAACGCCGCAACGCGTCAACCCGGTTGGTTTGGTAGGTTGGTAGAACTGATAATTCTACCGTAGTGCCATCTACAACTACAGACAGTAAGTCATGAAATAAAATATTTTCCACTTACAGTGCTCTATAATGGGTAATGACTAATGACTCACAAAGTTCTGACCAATGACATAACATAAAATACATAAAACAAAATGGTAGGAGATGTGGTGGGGAAACCTGATGAAGATGATGCGTTCGTTTATTGTACACTGAGAGTGCAGGCAGTAGATTTCTAAATAATATTTTAGGTATATTACATCGGTAAACAATATTTTTGTTAGCCTATATTCCTTTTAAAATTATCAAAAATTACTTTTAATCTCTTCACACACGTACTTGTAAAGATATTTTTTGAAAGAATGTGAAAGTTAGCACCGATTTGCTCCGGCGTGCAACCAGACGAACATAGTTCAGTTTTGGTAATGGCGATTTTGCTGGTAAGGTGACGCTTGAAGAACAAAGCTTTTCAAGTAACTATGAATCTTATTTATCTCGTTGATGTCTGGTAAAATTGATAATAATATAAATTTAATGCATGTTTCTGTATTTATATTTGAAATTGGTGCTTGAAAGCTTAGACAATGACATATTATTGACAATATTGACATTTTGTCAAAATTTGTCATATCAAACGCCAAAAGATGCCTATAAACATATTTCAAATGTAAATAAATACCCAACAATATATTGGGTTTATTAGTTTTTCATAAAAATATGCTTGTAGAATTATTGTATGAAAGTTTTCCCACGCCCATTCCTTACGTTCACGATGACGTCATCATTTTTCCCTCCTCAAAATGTGAAGAGAATCATCATCAGGACAAATCCTATAAAATAATGATATTTGATATTACAGCTGAAAATTCGAAGGAATCCTTACCATTGAGAGCTCTAGGTTTATATGAAAGTTAGTGAAAGCTAATAAATCAAGTGATATCACCAAAGCCTCCACAAAATGTCTACCAATCACCATCAGTACACAATTCGAGAAGTTGTAGGTAATAGTTGATTGTTTGATTGTCCCTAATGAGAGCTCATACAGCACTGACTCCCTGTCTTTCAGACCACCAGTTCAACTCTGTCAGCAGTGCAGATGATGAAAATGAAACTGCCTCTGATGATGAACAGGGGCCTGTCATGTACCAGTATGAAATGGTGGAGGCTATTAGAACTGTCAGACGGCGGGGACACCTGCCCAAAGACTCTGTCAAGATTCTCAAAACCTGGCTCTATGAACATCGGTTCAATGCATACCCCACAGAAATTGAGAAGCACATCCTTTCACAGGAGACTGGGCTGACAGTGTTGCAGATCAGCAATTGGTTCATAAATGCTAGGAGGAGGTACTTGCCAGAGATGATGAGGAGAGAAGGGTGAGTCTCTTGATTTGCTGAGTGAATTTTAAATAGTTTATTCTATAATGGGGATTTTCTTTCAATTGGATATTTTCATGGTGTTCAGGTTGAGGTGAGAAAAAATTCCAACACATTGATTTCAAAATATTTTTTCAAATTTGAAAAGGAAATTACAGATGACCTGAATCAAGTATGCAGAATAGCAATTTGTTTGATTATCTGACAAGTTATTTTGTTATTCTTCATAATAATTTGATCATTGCATCTTTTTCAAGCTAGAAAAATGAGCAAGAAATGAAGTATGTATTGCCAATCTACTGGAGAAGCAAAGAAAAGTGTTCAGAGTGTAAAGTGCAATGAAAAATGAAGAAACATTTGTTCCTTGATTTTTTCATTTATTTGTTTCACTATACTATACAGGGTGATTCTTTTAGAATGGTCAATCTTTGAATTACAGAAAGTAAACACAAAAATATGAAGATTTGGCCTAACATGTTGCTGGTTTGGGAGATACAGGCCACAGGGTGTTCAAGTTGAAATAGCATGAACATAAAATTTGGTACTCTCAGGTTTTCTGACATGAGAAATGACAATTTGTAACTCATTTGGTGATTGCTCATAGAAGGCATTAGTGGTAAATTCACATCATATTATCTTCTTTGTCCATTGAATAATTGTTGAAATAAGTTAAAAATCTGAAAGTCTGTTCAATTTCATTCGAAAAATGTACTATTTCTCAAATTTTCTAGCTCTAACAGCTTGTATGTTACTAACCCTTGAAAAGTTCTGTTTTATTTCAATTTTTTTTTTGTTACAAATTATAAATTTCAAGCTATGAGCAATCACTAAATGAGTTACAAACTTGTATTTCTCATGTCAGGAAACCTAAAACTGCCAAATTTCATGTATATAAAAAAAGCCTGCAAGTGTATTAGAGAAAGAATTTATCATGATCCTATTTGCATAAAAAGGGCCATTGGGAATGATTGTTTACCAAATGTTGACAGTAAAGTTATCATAGGTTCTCAAAAACATAAACCAGTTTCACCCAACTAGAACTAGGATGACATAAACCTCTTTTTTTAATACTTGTATGCTTTTTTATTGAATAAGACTGTACATACTCTTAAAACTTGATCATTCTGTATCTTCTAAACCAGCAACATTTTCATAAGGCATGTTGGGCCAAATCTACATAATTTTTGTTTTTACTATTTGCAGTTCAGAGATTGCCCATTTATGAATCACCTTGTATACAATATTGGAGCTCTTAACTTTTCTTTGTGATATAAAGTCAAATTAAATACGTCCATTTTTCAAGTTCCAAGTTTACTCTTGGAGCAAGTTAAGTTCATTGTTTTTGGTTTCCACTTGTATTGAATTAACATCATCAATTTTTTTGTTAATTTAACTGTTTATATTTATTTTGGTTTAGAACTTGTAATACATTTTTACTGGTCGCTGTAAATGTCAAATAAAATTAAACTATTTTTTGTAGATAGTAATTTTGCAAAAATGCTAACTTTTACAGTGGAAACGCTTATAGTGATATTTTTACCTCTGAACAATCTACTCTCATAACAAAAAACAAATAAATCGCAATACATCAAGTGAACAGAAATAAAACCGTCAAAAAACACACCTCCTCGGACACCTCCTCGAGATATCCGATTGACGCGAAAACCCCTTTCTCTCTCTTCCAGCTACGACTCGGTGCACTACACGATAACGCGTCGCCGGCGCGCCTCCTCCTCCCCGACAGGGGAAGGCAGCCCGGTGGGCGGGGGCGGGGGCGGGTCCGCTTCGGGCACGCCCACCACCGTCTTCTACCGCAAGGCGAAGAAGCTGATGCGCGTCGAGCGGGCGACGAGCGACGCCGAATACGAGGTGGACGCCGACGGATACGTGGAGGCGGTGCAGGGCGGCCAACAGGTGGTGACGCGGGTGGGCGTGGCCGGCCCAACCACGTCCACGCCCATGCGCGGCCGGAAGTTCAATCCGTGGAACGCCGACATCCATTATGGGTTGACGGTTAATCCGGAGAGAAGGTGGGTTGTGTTGTCGTTTGAAATAACCTCGATCAAACCCGGTATTGTTGAATTCGTTATGATAATCTCTTACCGATTATGGAATGAAATACAGGGTATTCCATTTGAAAAACGAAAGGTAATGTCATTTCCAGGAAAACCGGAAGATGGAAAAAATGTCCTAGTGAGCAAATTTGATGTTCCAAATTTCAGAAATATAGCTAGAAAACCAAAGGAGAAAAGGGGGTATACCATAAGTCTGTGTCACCCGGTATAGAGATTTTCATTTGGATTTTTCATCTCTTTTTTTTATTCTTTTCATTTCAAACATTGTTGTATTTTGTTTTTGCAGTGAAAAATGTATGTTTTGGTCACAAACATTTTTTTGAACATGAAAAATGGTTGATCTTTTCTATTACTTATACTTCAGGGTTGAAAATATTTCAAAATATGTAGTTTTATTGACAAATAGTATTTAACAAGTTTCCTGTCTCCAGTCTAATATAGAGGGAAAATAAAAAAGAAAAACTATTTTCCATTCAGAAGGGTGTAACTTTTCCAGGACAAGGTTTTTCAAATAATGTTATACCAAATATCCACCTTAATTTTCATCATAGAATCACCCCTCAGTTTCTCCCAGTGTTATTTTTATCACAAAGCTAGTTTTAATATTGGTATTACAGTCTTCATAACCAAACCACACCTAATTACATAGTATATTTGTCTATTTATTTATTAAAGAACATTCATTTATGACATGTTCTCTCTCCATTACTCAATATCATAATTTCATATACTAGTAGAAATTATTACAAAAAATCAAACCACATTTTTCCACCTTCTTCCTAGCAAGTATATTTTTCATAGAATTACTTGAGAGAACAGAAGAGACAACTGCTTCTAAACAATCTAAGCTGACTCGGCCTAAATGAACCGTCTGTTACGCTGTTTGCCGGCAATCATATACGTATTAATAATCAATACTGATAATCTCTATCTGTTTCCATAGCGAAACATGAAGCCGATTTTTGAAGACAAATGACTATCCATAAGGAAAAGTTTTGAAACGATCAGACACATACTGCTTTGATTGAAAGGCTAGTAAACGTCATTGTCCACCGAAACGCATGTCTTTGATGACTACTATAATAGCTCATGGCGCATGCGTATCATGCCACCAAATCCTTATGGATATTCATTTGTTTCATATTTTTGGCTTCATCCTGGCACCCGTTATGATCCGTATTGTTTATTATTACGTATATGCCGGCAATAGGTGAAATGACTAGGCATTCCAGTGAATGACGGATTTCACTGTTTGACGCCACAGATTTGACGCCGACATATACATTGTTGATGGCTTTTGTTGTGCTAGTTCCGAAAAAATAAGAGAACACCATCTCCGAGAAAGAACTGCAAGTCTTTTTATCTCCCATTTCATTTTTTGAATTTTTTAAAACCAAATCAGAATTAGACCAACAGATATTTGATTACTTTAAAAGAATGATAAAGGTGCCTACGAAAAGATGGCTGCAACGCAGGTGTAATTCCTGTTAAAAACAAATTTAACGTCCATGAATCAACTCCTACACGGAAAATAATATTTGACGACGGCGTGAATCATTTTGACATCGATAAAAAAGGATGCACCATTTTTATCGCTGATAAACTGCCTGCTCCTTTGATCTAGTAGCTATTTGCGCCTGATGTCACTCCAATTTCTGTCTTGTCATCTTTGATTGATGGGTATGGTTCACGCGTAAATTAGCAAGATGAGCCGTTTTAGGAAAATTTCGTCTGAAGAAACAACAAAAATATGAGAAAATCAATTCCGCAAATTACCAGTTACATGGAATCATTATTGTTGTTTATATGTATATTGTCATTGATTTATATTGTCGTGAAATTAATGATCGGCAAATGTTTTTCGTTACCAAGAGAAATTTATCGGATAAAAAAAAGCTCTTGTGTTTTTACTGTTGATGATTTTAAGATTTTAAGATATTGTGATATCTTCTCAATATTGATTCCTCCTTTTTCTTGTCACAGAAAAAAAAAGTGTATCATACACGGGAAAAATATGAGATTTTACGCGTCGGGGGACAGCACAACCTTGAGCTAAAATCTACAACTGTATTCCCTTGTATAATGAATTACTATCATTGATTTATTATTGAAATACTGGAAAAGGCTTCCAACTGAAAGTCCTGAAAAGGCCTGTTTGGTAACAGGTGAATATTGTTCTTATCCAGAAAAAACAATTTCAAAAAGTTTGATCTGAAATTATTGTAAAAGAATGGATCTTTACTGAGTGTTCTACAGGTAATATTGTTATCATTCAGTATGGATAGTTAAAAATATCACATTTTCAACCTTCCAAACCAAATGAAACAAAACGCCTTGTATAATGATTGTCTTGAGCTAAGTGGATTGATAGAAGTAATTTGTAATTGACAGGCCTGAAACAGTACAGGTGGTGCAACCACAACCAGCTGTCATACAAACCACCTCTAGTGGTCAAGTGAACACCTCCAACCCATTCCCTTCGAATTTGGTCGTCGTGAAAACAGCTTCCGGCAAAAACATCGTTCTAAAAGTGGTCTCACAGTCCACCGAGGTAAGTTTCATCGATTCATACACTTGCAATGCTTTCAATGTCGGAGACACGAAATTAATCATTGTAGTCTCCAAAGACGTACCTGTTGAAAACGGCGAAAAAATCCGCTCCCGTCGTGGCTCCCGTGGTCGAAGTGGTGAACGAAGTGTCTCCAGAAGAACAGTTGTCCATCGAGCAGCATTTCATCAAGCAGGAGGCGCAGGAGTTGCAGGAGGAGGTGGAGGAACAAGATGAACTGCAAGAAATGGCTGAGGAGGAGTATCAGGAGTACCAAGAGGTAAATTTCTAGTGTAAAAATACTATGGCGTTCATCATGATGAGAAAATGCATAGAGATTTTTTTGAATTCTTTATTCCCTCTAGATTTCTCAAACTAAATTCACAAAGAAATGCTGCCGTCAGAACACGACGGAAAATCGCCAGCGGTACTGACGTCACAAGTTCTATAACGCGTCGACTGTTTTTCGGTAGTCAGGAAAAAATGGATGTCACTATTCAGTGAGATGAACAGTGTTGCCGTTTCAACCGATGCTTTACTTTTCTGGATATTTTAACATTTACCGCTCTCAAGATTTAACTGATTTCAACAATATCATGGATGAACTGAGCACCAGTTTACAGTTTAGGATCGATTCTTCTAAATGAAAAAATATGGACTTTGGACTTGATATTTCTTTGAAAAACAGCTGGCAACACAGGAAAAGGGATTATCACGTCAGTACTAGCGTAGCCGAACGCTATGTTGGAAAGTTCCATGAAATTGTAGGGTATTGAAATGGTGAATTTAAAATATTACAGCATATTTTATCAAAAAAATCATGTATTCATTATTTGCACATTTCAATTGAATTCACGCATTTTGTGCCCTTGCCTATTCATCATAATAATTGATAGGTTTAGCAACTACATAAGGCAATAAACTTATCTGAAATTATTTTGAATAGATTGATAATCTACACTAACAAGGTGAACCATCCTTATGAGAGCAATAAAGCAAGAAATTCTATCCATTAGGTGGCGGTCAGTGGCGGCTCGTGACTTACATGACAGAGGAGGCTGAATGATATGAGATTTATTGTGAAAAACAACTCTCTACTCACCCAAACCAATAGCTTTAATGACATTCTGTTTACCAGTTAACCTGAACTTAATACTTGAAGAGATGTGTTCCTGTGATTTGCAGTGTCTATCCAATCCGCGAGGCAAATTTTTCAAATCATTATATCCTAATCGCCCCCAACATGATGACATATCGGTTGAAAATGATAGGCAGTACCAACAAAATAGCTTATTCCTTACCTCAGATCCCGTCAACCAGATATATTTTTTATAATTATCAGAATTGAACAAACGATTGTTTGTTACCTGTTACAGTCAGATTTTTTAATTCCGGTGTCGGACGTTTGTTTTTCACAATCAATTTATCTTAATAAGACAAAGCACTGAATGGGTTCACCAAAAAGTATTCCACTAAATTGCAATCGTTTAAAACTCTCATTTTTCAGAAATTTATAGAGCCCCTAACCATTAACCCAACAAACATAAACAAAACCCGCAATTCGCGACGCGACACGACAAACAGGTGCTATTCGGGCATTTGCATTACGCGAGTGGGTTGCGATTTGTGAAGAAGTCTAGCCTCCTATAGATGTTGCAAAGTTGAATATTTTACGCGTGATTTGCAGACTTCAACGTGTGATGCGTGGGCAAGCACTGTTGCCAATTCAAAAATATTTACCTAAAAACAGGAAATAAAATCGAAATCCATGTATTTTGGTATCCTTTTAATGAGAAAGTATAGATAATATCAGTTCAAGGAAAATCTCTGCGGAGGCTCAGCCTCCGTTGCCTCCTCTGAGGAGCCGCCACTGGTGGCGGTATCTATGAGCGACAAGGTGAACTACTTTTTGTTGAGAAGCCAAGTGTAGAGAACGGCACTCTCTATTCAGTGTGGCCCAAATTCGATCCTCCAACTTTTTTTTTCTATTTTTTTAAATCGACAGATCGAGATCCAATATGACGAACGAGTTTATTAATTATGATCAGTTTCTATTTAAAATTGGAATCTGAGGGTTTTGAAGGTCGGAGATTATGATTCCTTCGTCAGAATTAGGAAATTGAAGATGGCGGACCCAATATGGCGGAGGAGCTTTGTAATTATGTTCTGATTCTATTTAAAATTGGTATCTGGGGATTTTCGGGGTTCGAAATTATGATTCTTCCGTCAAAGTTGAGGAATGCAAGATGGCGGATCCAATATGGTGAACGAGTTTTCTTATTCTTTTTATACACAGAATATCAGAAGTTAGTGATTTGCGTGCTTCAGAAAGGATATTTCTAGATAGATCAGCAACTTGCAGACTCCGAGAGTATAGACAAAACGGCCATATTTTGCCGAGTTTCACTAGCACCACCTACAAACCAGACAAATTTGGCTTCTTCAACATTTTACATGGAAGTGGATCATCTTGTTAGTGTAAATAATCAAGGAAAAAAACATTAAAACAACACTGAAGCTGTATGAGGAAAGAGTTACCTGAAGAAAAAAATGCGAGTCCTGTCAACACTTCAAATGTTGTTCAATTGTTGTTTCAGGTTGAGGCAGAAGGGGAACTGGAGGAGGAGCAGCAAGAAATGGTGACTTATGAGGAGGAGGAAGAGGAGGAGAACTCGGCCGGAGCCAACGCCCTCATAGCTGAGGCTGTGTACGAGGACGAGGAGGCCACCGAAGATAATATGTTCGTGAATGAGGTGACGCTGGAGGAGGAGTGCAATGAGGTGACAATTGAGGACAATGTGAATGAGGTTTGAATAGAAAAATGAAAAATAATATTGAGTGATTTTTATTATTTTTCCAACCATTTGGCTGTCATTTTAAAGTAGCTACATAGAAATATTGAGTAGTTCTACCAGTAGATTTTTTTCATCATTTTCTATTCTATGAGTTGGTTAATTTCCTATGGAGAAATATGTGAAAACTGTTGAATGCTTTCAGGTATTTTTCGTTCTGGAGTTACACTGTTTTAACAATCTTTCTTTTTGTTACTTTTCCGCTAATAGATATTTCTCTAGGATATTACGGGATTGTCCTAATTGAGTTACAATAAAAATATTTCCACTACACTGTGTTTCACCACTAACCAAACCGATTTTTTATATACCTCAACACATGTTTCACTAACTATGTTAGCATCTTCAGGAGAAGATTAAAACTAAATATTCCATTCTATTGTCCTACTTATATAATATACAGGGTGTCCGCTAAAAGGAGGTCAATCCATTAACCACATATTCCTTGAACAAAAAAAATATGAGTTTCTAAATACCATTTTTCATTTTAGCCCTTCATAGTCCATATACAGGTTGTCAAAGTTGGAAATTAAAAACTGTTTTCTTCTAATTACTCGCGTATTTGATAAGATATTAATCTCAAAATTGATATATTACTTCAGCAGAAAGAGTTACATCGTGTGAGGAAAACAAAACAGAAAATAATTGTCAAATATTCAAAATACTGGGGGTCAAGTACACACTTACCCCCATATTTTTTTTGTACGTGCGCTAATGACTTCCTATCTATTTTCCTTCAAGTGTTCAATCATTTGTGAGTATTTTTTGTTTCTTGTAACCCTTGAAGAAGAATATATAGGAAGTCATTAGCGCACGTACAAAAAAAATATGGGGGTAAGTGTGTACTTGACCCCCAGTATTTTGAATATTTGACAGTTTTTTCTGTTTTGTTCTCCTCACACGATGTAACTCTTTGTGCTGAAGTAATGTACCAATTTTGAGATTAATATCTTATCAAATACGCGAGTAATTAGAAAAAAACAGTTTTTAATTTCCAACTTTGACACCCTGTATATCGAATATAAAGGGCTAAAATGGAAAATGGTATTAAGAAACTCATATTGTTTTTGTTCAAGGAATATATGGTTAATGGATTGACCTCCTTTTAGCGGACACCCTGTATAAGTAGCACAAAACAATGTAGTGTATTATTTTGCCAAAGGTTCTGGTCTTAAATATATAAAACTATTCGTTTACCTGTCTTTTTTTATAGGCATCTTGATAAATCCGCTAAATGTATTTTATTCTTATCTATTTCTAGGTTATGGTGGAGAGCGACGAGGTGCCGGATGCTGAGGGCACAGAGGAGATTTTAGTGCTGCATGACAATTAATTAGGTAAAGTTAGTGTTAGTAAGGAGATTTTGAGAAATCGTCGATTGCATGATTGGACTTGAATCGATTTTTTTTTAATAATTGATACTTTGACGCACCGTTTCTGCTATACATTGTGGTAGGGATTACACGCTAGGAAGGGCGATTCACTGACATTTGACCTTTTCCAACTGAAACGAACATTTTTTCTTCCTTGAATTTTATTGAGGAATAGAGAATCGATCTGGGATCCATTTGGAATTTTTTTTTTTTTAAGAATAATTGTGAATTGTCCTGTATTATGACCTTATTTTAATTTGGCCATAGAATGAATGTACATAAGTTTTTGGAATGCCTCATTGAGGACGTATTTTGATTAAAAAATACTATTAGCTAGGCTTCTGGGAGATTTTGGGCAAGAATTTGTTGTTTGAAATTTTTTCATCAAGTTGAACTACATTGTACAGTTAAGTATAGGATATTTCTATAGTTATTGGTGTATTTTTAGTGGAATGAATGAATGATTATGTTATTTTTATATTTAATATAAATTTCAATTATCGACTTTGGTTTGTGCCTGTAAATATTAAACAATAAAATGAGTCTTTGAACTAACCTTTTTTTTAATTTTTAGCTTAATATTATAGTATCTTTCATCTACAGGGAAACAGATTTGTAGGCAATATGACTTTTTCAAAATGGTTCTTTGCTCTTGTTATTTCAATTTATTGTAATATATTTACATCCTCTGAAATGCTTAACCTGTATTGTATCAAAATAATTATTTTATTCACTCGTCCTCCATTTCCTGGTCTCCTTTCTTCTTCAAACTCCCAAACACCTCTGAGGGTACGCTCTGCTTCTCCACAGGCACCTGAAAATCATTAATCAAGAAATTGTTGGTACCTACTATACCCGACTTCCATTATAGATAACTTTTGGGGAACCATTTTTTTTTAATTCCTGGTCCAAGACAGATATTAACGAGTTTCAGAACTCTCGTAAACACACAATTATTATTATTATTTGATTGCATATCCAGAAGAATACTATTTATTTGGTTTTATATGATGGAAATATGCGGTTACCTTTAACAAACTTGGCATCCTGATTTTTTTTTCAAACTAAGCTGATGATTCATCATGGAATTATTCTAGTGGCCGTATTTTTGAAGATCACAAGATCAAGATATTATGGAATAGTTCCTTCATATAACTTAATATTCCCACTTATTGAAAGCTTTCATCTGCATTTACTTTTTTACCTGATTCAACTTGTCTTTGTCATGATTGTGGTTGACCATGTGTTTCACTGCCAAATTTTAAATTTGAAAGATGTTCTTTGAACCTTGTTTCTATAGATTGCCTTGTTTGGCCTAAGTGGGCCACCCTATAATTCTTTTGTTTATGGAGCGATGTCCACGAATTTTTTCTTGAAATGTAGAGGGCAGAAAGGTGTATCTTGGAGCTGACCCGCATCCATTTTTTTTAAAACCAAGACCTACTAGATTACCGTCAGAGGCTGAAAAATCCAGAATTCATATTAGCGATATTTTCACACAAAATCATCGTACGCCACTGGAATCAGCGTCCTCTAGAATAGATCTGTATACCAAGTTCCATGAAAAAGATATCAACGAATCTACAGCATGTCTCATTTCAACCGGCATCCCTCTATATTTCAGCTATTGGTAGTGCTATCTTTACCCCATTGGCACCGGTATGAATGATCATCAATATGATGATGAATAATCATTGTTGAATATTTTTCATGAAACTTTAAGACAGCTTCTTGCCTAATAATTTCGCGAAGGACATTGTTTATCAAAACTTTCCAACCGTATAGGCGAGAAGATTTGAATCAATATCATAGGCGGAATTGAAGCGGCAAGCTGGAGTATACCAATGGAAGAATATTTCCATAAAAAATAGCATCACGAGTTGTATTCCTATGAATATTTCATGATTGAGACAACAAACGAGGACCTCGCGAGAGTTGCAACACAGCATCCATCATTATATATAATATCGCTGAATCCGTGAAAATGGTCGATTCTGATTGGTTATCGAGAACAAGAGTGTAGTCCAAAAAAATCGCTAATATGTATTCTGGATTTTTCAGCCTCTGACTGAATGTGATCTAGTAGAGACCATAGGTTCAAAAAAGGTGGACGCCGCTCAGCTCCAAAATATACCTTTCTTCGCTCTACATTTAAAAAAGATCGTGAAAATCGATCCATAAATATAATATATGTTTTTCTACAATCAATTGTAATTTCCTAAATTTCTGAATTGCCTAGAGTGTCTTCTCTATTTTCAATGTCTGGATATAGTTGGTGATCGCTTCGAAATAATATAACAAACTGAATCCCATTCACCAACCTCTTCCTCCTCGTCCTCCTCCTCATCGCTGCCGATATCGATCTCATCCGGATTGACCACCTTGTCCTTGTTGTCGCCCTGCGTCTCGCCGCGCACGAACATGATATTGCCCGCCCCCACCCCCTGCTTGCCCGCTCCCGCCATCTCGACCGCCTTCGCCTCCAGCAGCCGCATGCCGTCCTTGGCGCCCGGAGCCAGGTCGGCCACCGTGCCGGAGCCGGAGTTCGCGGAACTCATCATTTGCACCGACATCATGTTCACCTAAACCACAACAATATGTGAATGAGAAGGAATATTTTGTCTGTGTGTTATATCAACGGAAAAGATGACATTCTTACATAATTGAGGTCTTTTTTCTATCTTGAACGAGAGAGAAGAAAGTTCTCTCCTTTTCCATCTTTCTCTTTAATGATACCAACGTAGCCGCATTGGAATATAGAGAGGTCCGATGAATCTGTCCTTGTCTAACATCTAGATTGTGCCACTAAACTAATTTTTGAATTCAGTAGAGAGTCAAATTTAAAGATAGCAACAAATGATGTCAAAACAAGTATGATATAATTCGAAATTTCATTTAAACAATTCATATCAGTCAATGACATTTGTGACATAGTCATGTCACATCATTATAACCTCGAAAATAGTTCAGTGGCGCAGAGTAGACGTTAGAGAAGGAAATATTCATCGGATCTCTCTATATTTCAATGCTTTCCTCTCTCTCGTTAAAGGTAGAAAAGTAGTGTAGGAAATAAACTTTTTCTAATTCTAACATGTAATTTGACACTTTTTAAAACTGACGGGAGTTAGTTGCGTAAAGTAAAATATTACAGTACTGGGGGATGAAATACACTTTCCGGCAAAATAATCGATCCACTCAAAATATTGATAAAACGTTATCAACAATAACTTTGGTAATTCAACTCTGATTCGTTTGATTTTTGTTTCATTTCTTAGATGAATTCATAATGAATCTCACACGAGGTTGAGATTTCAAGAAATGAGGTGTATCTTCAAATTATACATAGTGATACAAAAAGTGTCAACTACTAAATTTTGTAGATAATCTGTGGAACTCTTGTAGAACTAGTCATTATTTCTGTTCAAGGTAAATTTTCCATCAAAATTAGAAAAAATATAGTGCGTAACACGTTACGAAACGCATTTTGTGTAACTCTGTATTTTGCGCGATCTTGCTCTGCTCGTCCCGCAAAATCCCATCGTCACACAAAATGACGCGTATCCTAACTGGTTACCTAAATATTACCAACGTCCATGAAAAATTACATAAATTTATTCGTCGATTAATACATGGTGTTCTCAAAGGTCAGGCCTTGTTTTCAAAAGAATATAGAACTCATCAAAACAGACAAAATCACCAAAAATTTAACATATAAAAGTGGTAAAATAATGAAATTCAAAAAGTCACTAGTAGAAATGGCTCTATTACGGTCCTAGTACATTTCCGTATAGGCCTTTCCACTTGTCCTCTTTGTTCCTTCAAACAGCCTGTGTCACCTTAAAACCCAATAAAATTCAACATTCGGTGTGTTGGAATGATTTTCTAACGAAAAATTTTCCTTGTATAAACAAAATGCGCTGCTGATGCTACACTTGGGCGACACTCGCGATACATTATAAGAATATAAACAAGTCAATTATTTTCGTAAACGTGCTAGATTGTTTGACAATGAACAAAAAAACAATTGAGAATGAGGATCAGATGACTAGCGCTAGACAAACAAAATTCTACTGTGGACGGTAGTAGGGGTACAAGAGATCAATCGGGTAATCCGAATACCGTGCGGCCAATAATATCTCCGTTGTTATGCAACATTTATTGGGGCAATATTTGGTGTTGTTTGTATATTTCAATGAATTCAACATCCTCTCAAAAAACTCCTCACCATTGAGAACGCCCTGTATATGTACGTCATTTACCTGCGTGTTGTACATGGCCTGTACACTGCGTTTGATGCGCAGCATCTCTCGCATGGTGTCCTCGTTTCCATGACGAACTTCGAACTCTTTCCATATTTGCCAAAATTCGGAGGTTATGCGAGGATCGCAGATCTGACTGCAATGAGCATAGATTGCTCGAGCTCTGTCGATTTCTCCTAGAAAATGCGAATCACCATCCAAAATTAGATGAAATATTCTCGGAGTTTTGCCAACAACTCATACCTTTGCAATTTGAACAATGTTTTTACTCTACACCTGCTCTTCGACAGATAGATAATTGAAACACAATAGTAAACTATTTTCTCAAATCCATTTTCCTGTACCTTCAATTTCTCCCAATTTTGTTATCCTTTCAATCATTTTGGTTGCTTAAAGGTATTGCAATTTCAGAATAATATTTCCCGATTTAAGTGTCTATGGTGGCAATATTGCCATTGCCTGTGCATTAAAAAATATGTTTCTTTAACCTCGACAAAAAATTATATTAAATTTTTTTGATGAGAATGTCTGATTTGTTTTTCTATTTTGTTGGAAACAGATTACTTTCCAGATTACTGAAAGTACATATTGCTTTGACGTCATAGGTGTATTTCATTATCCTTAGCTGGAATTCCTATAGCATTAAATAGATCTGAATTTTTGATAAGGTATTTACTGATGAAATAAAAATCGAACTGGCAACCCTGGTCCGCACGGAGAGTGAGTTGACAACAGGTTTGTTCTCGTTCGAAATCTTCGGAAGCATGCGCAGTTCCACGGTACATGAAAAATGCCAACAGTTCTGTGAAACTGCGCATGCTCCTGATGGTTTCGGACTGTTTATTCGCTGGAATCAATGTTACCAGGTGGCGCTCGGTTTTCATCGTTCCATGTAAAAGCCACGTCAAAACTGGGGGAAAACAAACTCAACCCTCACTCAATTCCATTAGTGCCATTAGCTTGTGTACTGTGTACTGATAAGTCAATATTCGATCGAAAACGCTAATAATGCCTGTTGTAGATGTTGTTTTGGCAGATATTTTGCTCTATTCAGATGGAAAAAGCCGACCAGTAGTGGAAGGAGAAGCAGTTCTCCGTGCTTATCATGTGATTTTGTGTGAGGCAGAAGACTTCAACAAAAGGCACATTTTTGCACTTTGTCTACAAACTTCGGCGATGAAATCTTCCCCACATGAAGTAAAATTGAAGTTGGGGTCCAGATGAACTCCTGTAGAACAATGGGTTTGTATTTGTTCATGCAAAGCAGGACAATCTGGGTATAGTAAACATGTTGTAGCTGTTGTTTTATATGTCAATTGATTTGCTCGTCATAAATAGTTTGAATTGTTTGAACTATCTCCAATTCTTCACCCGTTCACTGTTCACTAAACTAATAAAAATGTGATAATGTAAAAAAATTAACAAACTCAACCATCATCACTACCAACAGTGCCAACACTTTATGTCATTGACAAGTTTGACTACAGCTACAGCAAGCTGAATGCAATGTAGTCTATGCACTTCATCCATAGACAACAGTTTGTTTTCCTCCAGTTTGAAGTTCGTATTAGGTAACCTAGATGTCGCCCACTTCGTGAATCTTGCAAATATATTGAACGAGAACAAATCCAAGGGAACAAACCTACTAACTGTCATTTGCTGTTGTCAAATTAATCATTCACAAAATCCGATAGACAATATTTCGTGCTTGGTAAATAAATAACCATTTATGATACATATCCCACCTAATTTGGTCTCCATGTCGGCGAACCGAACGCACATCTCCCTAGTCCTGTCCTCCGGCAACACCTCGATGGCCTTCTCGTAAATCTGACGCGTCTTGGGAATCCCGTAGATCTCGGCGGCCCGCTTGATGTAAATGTTGAAAACGTCGAACATCTCCTGTTCGGGCACCGCCTTGGTCGCTCTCTCGTATACCGCCATGGCGTGTCTGGCCATGCCGAAGTCCTCCTCCAGTCTGGCGTAGAGGAGGTAGAGGTTCTTGGCGAACTGAGAGGGGCAGCCATCTAGGCATTGCTCGAACAGGTCGCGAGCCCTCTCGAGTTTGGTGCCGCCATAACGTTTCAAGAATTTTGTCAGGTATGTGTTCCAGATGTCGTAAACGTTAGGCCACTTGAAGAGGGCGATACCTTGGATACAAACATTTTTTTGTTGGATTTTTATATATCAATGTTAGTTTCTTTGAGTTGCCATATGAATTGAAACAACCCAGGAATTCTCCCCAATTCTTTCTTCAATAAATAATCAAAGTGTTTTTTATTTGCATTTCTTTCATTTATAGTTTCCAGACTCATTGGTAAATAACTATTTATGGTTTATAAAAAGGAATGTTCGCCTGTATGTCCTTAAAAGAATCGTAAAACGGCTGGACCAATTTCACTAATTCTTTTTTTGTTCTATTTATTATTGTCAGGAGGAGGTTCTTATGAGAAAACAATTAGGAAATGCAAGATGGCGGATCATGGCGGATCCAATATGGCGAACAAGTTTTGTAATTATAATCCGTTTCTATTCAAAATTGGTATCTGGGGGGTTTTTGGGGTGGGAGATTATGCTTCTTTTGTCAGAATTGGAAAATTCAAGATGGCGGATCCAATATAGCGGACGAGTTTTTCAATTAGCTTCTCTTTCTATTCAAAATTGTTATCTAAGGATTTTTAGGGTCGGAGATTATGATTTATTCCTCAAAATTTGAAAATTCAAGATGGCGGATCCAATATGTCGGACTAATTTTGTAATTATGATCAGATTCTATTCAAAATTGGTATTTGGGGAATTTAGGGATCAAATATTATGATTATTTCTCCAAAATTTGAAAAATCAAGATGGTGGATCCAATATCACAGACGACTTTTTTTAAATATGATCCGATTCTGTTCAAAATTGGTATCTAGGTGTTTTCAGTTCTGGAGATTTTGATTCTCCCGTCAAATTTTGTAATTTGAAAATGGCAGATTTCCAATACTGAATAAAAGTTGGTTTATAATTAGCCGATTCTATTTATTAAAATTGGTATCTCATGGGGTCGCAGATTATGATCATAATTAGGAATTTCAAGATGGCGGATTCAATCTGTAGAACGAACTTTGTAATGAATAGTCTTTCATAGAACTGATCAAACAGGCTTTCATAGATAGCCAAACTAAAAAGAAGTAAAAAATAAATAGTAGTTTAGAAAACAAAGAGATATCTTCCCGTTCTGAAAAGAAGTTGAAAATTAATAGTAGTTTGAACAGCTTTTATGGTTAGTCAAACTAAATAGAAGTAGAAAATAAAATAATGAAAGTATGTTGTTTAATTTTCAACTGAAAAAATATTTTCTAGAATTAATATAGGTCCATAGCAAAACAATGTTTGCTGGGTCAGCTATAATCAATGAAATGACTGGAAATAAATTCAATATTTGTGTATTGTCTTTCCTTTGAATGTATTTTAGTAAATAGCAGCAGGGTACAGCTGGTTCTCAATAAAATTAACTTACCAAAACTTCCCAGACTTACCCTCAATGTTGTATGTGTTTCTTACCTTTTTCATATGCCCTGAATGCTTCTTCAAAGTAGTTGTTTTCTTCCAAAAACACACCATAGTTGATGATGATCTGAGGGGTGGCAATTTTCAGATCAATAATGCGGTCATAAATGGCTTTGCAGGACTTGAAGGTTCCAAAACTCTCTTCCAAATCTGCATACATAGACCAAACCTTCAAGGATTTATAGACACGGCTTTGCACTGTCTCTGAATCATCATGGTAGGCAACTTTTCTACTAGGCATGACTGTAGCTTTGTGCATAAGTCTCAGAGTTTCCTCATAATTTTCATTTCTCAGTTCCATCTCTGCCCACTCACACCAAACTGTGGCCAGATCATCTACTTTGACATATGAAACTTGAGTGGCTTTATCAAAAATCAGACGGGCATCTTCGATTTGGCCGTTTTTCTCGTAGAATTTTGCAAAATCCACCCACAGAGTATGAAGTTTTCCCACTGCTTGCTTGGGTTCCACTGTTTGGACAGCCTCAGTGTAAGTGTTGATGATATCAAAAGGGTTTCCTATGAAATAAAGAGTACAAAATTAGTCTAGCAGTCTTAAACTTATGATTTACCTAACCATATCTGTGGTTAGTCCTCAACAATTCTTACTACAAGGGTTTATTATAGGATTATTTTTCAATCAAATAAAGTGATTTAGCATCAAACCATCTTCAGAGTTAGTTGAAGATTATAATCTATACATTTTGAATAATGGTTGAAATAAAACACACAAGTAGCTTTAATAAACAGTTGCTCAATTAAAAACATAGTAGAATTCCTATAAGGAAAGCATTGTTACCTTCATAAAGCTGTACTCTTTTATGCCACTCTTGTACATTATGAGGATTTTGCCTTAATAGAACAGAATTTAGCAGTAACAACCTTCTTTCCATAAGATATTCAAATCTGGCTAACCTCAGCTCTAGCTCAGTATCATCATCTTCAGTGGGATTAGCTTTGCTGGCAACTTCCTCCATCCTTTTGCTCATGCTCAACTCTTCAAATTGAGCATATGCATCAAAAACTTGAGTGAAATCTCTCACAGTAGTAACAGTTTGAATGGCTTCTTCATAAATATCTCTTGCCCTTTCAAATAGGCCACTACGTACATAATAGTTGGCCAAGGAGTTCCAGAGGTGTCCAAGTTGATCAGTATACCTTCTGAGGCCACCTCTAATTATTGCATCCACATTTAGGGAATGCACTTTTTCAGGATTTTTTGAGATCAGTTCACAAAGTTCATTCCACAGTTGATGTTTAGATTTACCCTGTTGTGACACAAAATTCTCATCATTAACTATCTTTGCCATAACCTGAGCAGCTTCATCAAGCCTCTCCATTTCTGATAAGTAATCTACATACTCCTCAGCATTTTCAGGACACAACTTTAGGTACCGCCTGAAAACTCTGACTGCTGTCTCAGGAAGATCATGTTTTCTTACAAACTTGAGGTAGAGAGGCCATATTCTATTGTGCTGTGTGACTGGCAATGCCCTGAGAGCTCTGTCAAATACTTTTCTTGTGCGAGTAATTTTACACTGATCTGTGAGGAATGTACAGTAATCCATCCAAATTCTAGGCATTTTGTGCATGAAAACTAGTGACCTTTCAAAAGCATTATTCACCTCCTCAAAGCCAGGGTCTGTTAGACATCTATTCTTGATTTGTTTTCGTCTTGTTCTTAAATAATAGTACCAAAGCTTGTATGACCCTGGTAGCTCTTTTAGAGCTCTCTCATATATTATGTTGACACCATATTTTGGAGCAGACTTCTTGTGTTCTATATACCTCAACCAATGTTTCACAGAGTATGGATTTCGAAGAATTTCTTCTTCATAAGGTAGATCATCATCATGCTGAAAGATCAAGGAGATAATAATTGATGAAAGACAATTTGTGAATACTTACAAATACTATTTCCATCGATTCCGCCGCTTTCACATCCATAATAGGCATTTTTCTTTCTTTGGATTAAAGTTTTTGAAAAGTTGACGATTTCTGATTGTAACCTTAAAAAACACAAAAACAAAAATTTGACGTTTGTGGTAGCGCCACTGGGTAGCGCCACTAGTCATATACTATAGACGGAAGAAGAATAAATTCATCAGGTTATGGGCCAAAATGAAATAGGAAGATAACGACCAAAACTAAAAAAAAAAGAAGATAAAGAGAGAAGATTTTCTGTCTTCTCGGTCGGTAAAGTAGTTAACATCAGTTTTCCATTTTGGTGTGTTGATTGTTGTTAAAAGTCCAATAAATTTTGTAAAGTGCTGTAAAAATAACTCAAAATATCCGGATTTCTCGATTGGTGTAGTTCCTATAATATCCAAAATATGTGGTGAAACATTTAGCAAATCCAAAAACCACGGAGGAGAAGCAAATGTTTAAATGGAAGCATCCTCCATCATTACTCAGGTGTCAAGGGACGAGGAACATCTGAATAGTTATGCCACCGAAAAAGGTAATCCCAGCGAATATTTAAGTGGAATAATCATATCATTCCCGAAACAATTTTGATCCCGTAATCGTCAATGATAATCTCTCGAAAACTCGTGTAAAGCTGTCCTGAAATATGCAGTAGGCGTGTTAAAAAGGTGTAAACAGAGGTGAGGTAAACACTGGAACTGTAATCCAAGAACTACAGTGATTAGTCTTGTCTTGATCGATTGGATTACATTATCATTGATATGGAATCTGCCCAGGTAAATTTCACAGGGACAAAAATATTTCATACTTGTTTCCTATTTTTGCTTTTATGTTTTTTTTAGTTTGATAGACATAATAAAAGTGAGATAGGTATGCCATTTCAGTATGTAAATTAATCACATTCCATTTCTACTCTCTGACCTCTTTAGGAGGAGAGAAACTAAGAATCTATACATTATTTTACTTTCACATTTTTGGTGTCAATATTGTTGATGTGATAATTGCTATTTATCTACAGGCCCACCATAAATGAAACAGGCATTAGTTCTATACCTAATAAATTTGTACCTTGAAACATACAGAGATGCTGGAATAAAGGTTATGTAACAAACATAATGATGTCTTATGTCTTGGTCTATTTTTGAATTCATGAAATTTTGTTCTGGATGTTGAAGAATTCTATTTGTAGTTGCACAGGGGTATCAAAAATCACAAAAAAAATATATATACATATTTTTTTCAGGCAAATTCTTAGGAATTGTTATTATTGATCTGTTATTATAGACTGGTGAGAAATATAATCATTATGATAAATATTAATAATCCACCCAAAGATCAATATACTATTAACTATTCTACCTAAAAAAGCATATACAGCATTGCTGACCATCAAGTTAATTTTTTTAAGTACAACATTTTTTTCCATCATCCAAATTGTTCATTTTTGAATGTTTTCACAATTTCAACCTAAACTTAACAGAACTGCACTAGTATTTTTCCAAACATTTGACCTGCTATTTATAAGGTGTTGAATAAAGTAAAGATCAAAATGTGGAAGCACCTAAGTTGTTAGTTTGTTTTCAGAATTATTGACAACTAAATTCAGCATTTTCAATTCACATATTAACCATATTATTATGTTATCCTTTGTAAAAGCTATTTTAAAGGTTGTGAAATAACATACCATGCTACTCTGCCCCTTATATTACTAAAAAAAACGGAAAATGTTTTGTAGGAACAATCCCTGTGTCAGACAACCCTGCAGAACCCATTAATCAGCAGGCGGCACAACAGCATCAGCCAAAGAAAAGCAGCAGAGGTTTCTTCCGCTCCTTATTCTGCTGTGTACGCCAGAAAAAGAACAAGGCATCTCTCCAGGAACAATGCGTGGACGGGAGAGAATACGCCGACCGGCACAGCTTTCAGTATCTGCTGCCGCCTCTCAAGGACAAGGACTTGTACAAGAAGTGCATGGTGATTGATTTGGATGAGACACTGGTGCACAGCAGTTTCAAGGTAATTATTGCAAACATATCATTCACAATAAATTTGTGCTTCTTTTATTTATAATAATATCCTTTATTATCATGAAATCATCAAAGGACAAAGTAAGTAAGTGAGGTTCACAAATTCACTGAGGTTAACTGACTCAGACTACTTTCAGCCACAGGTCTAACCACAGTAGTCAGACCATAACAAGCAAAATAGTTCTGAAGGAGCATCAGTCCACTGGTGGACAACAGTCACTGTCAATGCATTTTAGTTCCCCTGGTTCTACCTTGTTTCATTAGTTGTGTTTTAAGTGGATCTGGAATTTTACTCCACTCCTAAGAGTTATAGGATAGGACAGATACTGCACCCTCAGAAGGAGCATAGGTCCACTTGTGGAAAACAGTCATTGTCAATGCATTTTAGTTTCAGTGGTTTTACATTGTTTCATTAGTTGTGTTTTAAGTGGATCTGGAATTTCACTCCACTCCTATCAGTTATAGGATAGGACAGATACTGCACCCTCATCTATTTTCATTTCAGTTAGAAAGAGAATGGATCCAAGCAGTAAAGCTGGGTATAAACAAAAACTATCTTATGAGTGCTCACAATACTAGGGATCATAATTCTGTCAGAAAACAATGAGATCCAATTGCTTAGTATCTTAGTAACTCCATGAAAATTCAAAATGAACTTAATATTATTTATAACAATAATGGAAAACTCATCACCAGTTGCTGGTTTCTGGTCTGGATTCCTCTTCTATGTAATTTTTTCGTCCATTGATATGGATTAATATCAGGTTGCTTCATGGATCTGAAAAATAGTTGGTATTATATTTCGAATTTTAAATATATTGAGAATTATTGAAATCATGAAAGTTACATGGAATAAGAAACTGAAATATATATGACTACTTTTTCAAATTCCGTTGCTGAAACGCGACATATTACTCGAAAATGAACGGAACAGATAGCCAACAATTTTCTCCTTAATGAAAAACACTGTATATACCTAACCCATCAGGCGTCTACCCCGGTTGCAACGAGGGTTTACCGATGCCAAGGGTTGATACTCTCCCCTCGTAAGGGTACCTGTCGTGTCTCCATTGAGACATAAAGGTGACTATCGAAAAAAGTTCTATGATATATCGCCTTTCATTACAAATATAAAATTTTGAAGAAAAAAAAAAAAGGAAAAAAAAAAAAAAGAAATATTCGAAATAAATTGAATATAATTTGTAACAAGAATGAAAAACTCATCACCGGTCGCTGGTTTCTGGTCTGGATTCTTCTTCTGTGCAATTTTTTCGTCGAGTAATATCACGTCGCTTCTTGGATCTAAAACATAGTTGGTATTATATTTCGTATTTCAAATACCTACATCGAGAATTATTGAAATCATGAAAGTAAATGAACCTTCTTTCTAAAAAGACAGTCCTTTTTTCAGGAAGGAAGGAAAATATCCCACCTCAATAAAAAAGGACACTACTAAATCATCTAACCTCAATAAGCCTAAATGAACCTTCTTCCTAAGAATTATATTTTCCGGAAAATCACTTGAGAAAACAGAATTTAAAAAAAGCCGACCGTCGCAGGCATTGATCCCGGGTCGCCAACATGGGATTCAAACGCACAGTCAAATACGCCTCGATTGGTAGTATGAAGAATTTAGTCGTTGTACCCGCACTTGCCGCGCTGATTATATTTGTTACCTCATGTCTCTAGGTGCTAGTATTCTGATGCGAACGAAAAAGCGATAACTAGCAACGATGCACTCCCCCCACCATTCTAAAACTTATGGCATGTATACTCCCAAGACGCTACTATTACGGCATCCTGCTAACCGATTAGTTCCCGAACAATAGAATTTTATCTATGACAGCAGTTGATATGGAAAAATAGTTTTACAGAGGGTGACAAGAAATTCCGGAAGTTTTTCGAAAATATCTCATGAACCTCCATATTCGGTGCTCTCGTAAAATAGGGTTGCCATTAAAAAAACAACACGATGACGTAGTTTCGCAGACACCAATCATTCTATACAGGGTGTATCTAAATAACACCGAAAAAATTCAAAGGGTGATTCCTTGTGATATTTTAGGAAATAAAGTACATATAAACATTCTCAATTGTCTTCATCAATTTCAATAAAACGTTGTGGTTTTCAAAATAGTAATATCGAGCTTCTTCTAGTGCAATTAGATTTGAAATAATATTTCCAGTGGTGTCACAGTAGGTAAATTTGTCGATATTATTATGAATTAAAATGATACTAGTTATTTTGCTAAACCAATTGAATCTACCTTACACGACGAAATCTGATATACGACTAGTGAATGACTGGCTGGATTCAATATCAATATCAATTGATGAATACCTCCATATTCATCTACAAAAACACTTACCATCTTGAAAACATACAACTGTCACACACACATATGAAAATGCAATCACTACACCGAATATAAATCTCAATTTTCCACTCTTGAATAATTCAAAGTTCTTTTTTATATCACTTGAATCGACCGTACACGATGAAATCTATAACGAGACTGCTGATTAGTTTGATTCACAATTCTAATGACTAATGAGTTACGTCATCCTTTCAACCGATTAATTCCCGAACAAGTATGACTAAATCCGATATTATCGATAGTAGGTATACGGGGTGGGGTAAGAAGACATTTTATACACAGTGTCACCGTTGAAGCCTGCGTCATATGGGATTTTTTTTTTATTCATTTTGTACAAATCAAGACAGTTCTTACTTTGGGAATACTTTGAAAATGAGGTTCATGATCATTTTTTCAATCGATAGCTGTCGAATCAGATATCTTCTGTTAGAGAATACAAAGTCAAATATTTCATCTTTCGAATATAATAAATATTTTTTAACTTTTCTAAGAGCCACTTTACAGTTCTCAATGTTTCATTGCATGCAAATTGATTGTTTTACGTATTAAAAATCTCAACCCAATCGGTCAAGCCTTTCAGTAGTTGACGTACCGACATCAGTGCCACCTACCGCAAACTTCATTCTCGTAGGAAATCACTATCATTCCGTGCTTGTTAAATAATATACTATTTTCTACGGCTATAACACAAAATTGATCTTGTTTTACTGTGTTCGATACGTCAATGAGGTACTTTGTATGTCATCAATATTATTTCCGTATCTGATATCACAATGACTCCATTGTGTTATTCTAAAAAAATGTTCTTTTCCATCATTCGGTTACCCCCTTACGAGCAACCCTCAGAAGTCTTCAAAAGACTTGTACGATCAAGGAATGACGGGGGTCTTACCTTTTAACGTGTAATCCCAAACACATTCTTAGGCCATCAGAAAAATTTCTGCGGTCGTGGTGAGAATCGAACCCACTACCGGTAATCCAACGTGGATAGAACATTGACACTTCAAACTTCATTCTCGTAGGAAATCACTATAATTCCGTGCTCGTTAAACAATATACTAAATTTCCACGAATCCTGTCGTTTGCAGCCGATCAACAACGCCGATTTCGTGGTGCCCGTGGAGATAGACGGCACCACCCACCAGGTGTACGTGCTGAAGAGGCCGCACGTCGACGAATTCCTGAAGCGCATGGGCGAGCTCTACGAGTGCGTGCTGTTCACCGCCTCGCTGGCCAAGTACGCGGATCCGGTGGCCGATCTGCTCGACCATTGGGACGTCTTCAGGATGCGCCTCTTCCGGGAGAGTTGCGTCTTCTACAGGTGGGTGGGTCATGAGAGAGATGAAACAAAGAATGAGAGAGAGCGAGAGATAGAGCGATAGAGAGAGAGCGAGAATGAGAGCGAGAGAGAGAGAGCGTGAGCGAGAGAGAGAGAGAGACATGGACTGTAAAAAGACAGTCACAAAAAATATCAGTACAGATAATTTCTAATTTTCGAATATTTACAGGGGCAACTATGTGAAGGACTTGAACAAGCTGGGCAGAGAGTTACAGCAAATTGTAATTGTAGACAACTCACCAGCTTCTTACATATTCCATCCAGATAATGCTGTGAGTATTTTTACTTTATTCATAGTGCTAAGTCCGTCCTTCAGTATGATTTTGTGAATGGGAAGAATTTTCAATAAATAATGAACTGACCAACAAAATTAACACACCATCAACAATTTACTATAAGTTTGGGATCTCTGAGTTCAGAGTCCGATTTTTCTACTGAATAGGCGAGTGGGCTATTGTTTTAGATTTTTTCGGTCCATTTCAAGGTGCTAAAATCATCAATATTGTCATGGTAATTTTCAAACGGCTAGAAATTTACCACAAATAAAAACTGACGTCACGATTCCGTAAGTAGGGGCAGATCATGGCACAGTTGCCATATATTGAAATACGAATGGGAACTTTAAAAATATTTATTTGATAATACATAAATTCTCAATTATGTATTGGCAATATTCTTAATTAGCTATAAAACATCCATTGTCTTGTAACTTTCCCTCTTATATGTTGTGTCTTATTACATAATATAATAAATTTCTGGTAATAATAATTATATTGATTCACAACACAGGATTGTGGGCGTTGTCTTGTCAGTTCTCACCGTTTGGCACAGCATTGCCAAATCTCCAGCCCTGCCAACATTTACATGATGTTTTGTTATGGAGTATAAGAAATATTTCAACAAGCTGGTTGCTCGAAACAGTCACAAATCAATAACTATAATGATTGTAATGCCCGATTCTCTGAACATAATAGACTCGTTAACAAATTTTTGTCCGCTGGCGATCAGTATGCCCCATCTTCTTATGCCAATCACATTATAGATTCCAATCACGCATTTGATGCCAATAGTAATTCAGATATTCTTCACATCTGTGATAAAGGTCCAAGGTTAAACCTTGAAATCATTTTAATTCAGAAATGCATCAACAATCATAATATTTCATGTCCGTAATTATCTTGATCGAACCTTTCTCATTCTTTTCTCCGGCACTAATTCTTTGGTATTGACAATTTCTCCTCTCTTCTTCTGTTTTCTTCTTCTGGTTCACTCCTTAATTATTCTTCTTCTGGCTTCTCTTCTTCCTTTTACGTTCCTCTTCTTCTTCTGCCTTTTTCTCATACTTGGTAGTTCTTTATTCTTAAAAATATGAAAAGTGTAGTTTTTCTCCACTCAAATTCAAGGGTGAATAAAATCGCGATAAATGATTGGGAATACATGTGTGATTATATTTATAATAGATGTACACCTATACTAAGAAACTTGTTACTTACATCAAATACTGCATTTAAAAATTCAAATTGCACTTTTCGTTTGAAATTCGTTGTCGTAGTTGCACGAACTATAGCGGTAGTGTACACGACACTGAAAAGCAGATGAAATAACCTCATCTGACCAATAATGAAACAGCATAATAACTGACGTAACCATATATCCGACGTATCAAAGAACATGGCCAAATGGCGGCCATGACGGCACGTTTGAAATGAGCTCTGTAATTCAACTACTTGGAACAATGCATAGACACATTATTTACATCAAAAACATGTAAGAAGTGTTGCAAAAATTAATTCAGGTACCTAAGGATATTGTGAAGTAATTGAATGCCAATTATTCACTACTAGTCCACTTGCCCATTCTTGTAGAGAAAACCAGTAAAAACATTGACTGCAAACTGACTGGTAGCTCCATCTTTTCTTGGCATTTTCGATCTTGTATCATTGCATTATATTTATTCGCGGGAATCAATGGTAGGTAGGTGGCGCTCGGTTTTCATCGTTCCATGTCAAAACTGGGGGAAAACAAACTCAATCCTCACTCAATCCCATTAGCAGATATTTTGCTCTATTTAGACGGAAAAAGCCGATCAGTAGTGGAAGGAGAAGCAGTTCTCCGTGCTAATCATGTGATTTTGTGTGAGGCAGAAGACTTCAACAAAAGGCACATTTTTGCACTTTGTCTACAAACTTCGGCGATGGAATCTTCCCCACATGAAGTAAAATTGAAGTTGGGGTCCAGAGGAACTCCTGTAGAACAATGGATTTGTATTTGTTCATGCAAAGCAGGACAATCTGGGTATTGTAAACATGATGTAGCTGTTCTTTTATATGTCAATTGATTTGCTCGTCATAATTAGTTTGAATTGTTTGAACTATCTCCAATTCTTCACCCGTTCACTGTTCACTAAACTAATGAAAATGTAATAATGAAAAAAAATTAACCTACTCAACCATCATCACTACCAACAGTGCCAACACTTTATGTCATTGACAAGTTTGACTACAGCTACAGCAAGCTGAATGTAATGTAGTCTATGCACTTTATCCATAGACAACAGTTTGTTTTCCCCCAGTTTGAAGTTCATATTATGTAATCTGGATGCCGCCCACTTCGTGAATCTCGCGAATATTGGCAGGTTCTGAACATATTTTATCCATAAAATATGATTTAAAGCAGCCGATATTGAACGTTCAGAATAACATGGGGTATAATATCCTGCTTTTAATCCGTGCAATTTTTTTCCGATGGCATCTCAGGTGCCAGTTGCCTCATGGTTCGACGACATGAACGATTCCGAACTCCTCGACCTGATCCCTTTCTTCGAGAAACTAGCCAAAATGGACAATGTATATACAGTGTTGTGTAACTCCAACCACCCGTACAACAATGGCGGCCCGCCCCCCGCCCAGCAGAACGGGCCCATCACCACGCAAAACAATCACTCGCCGCCCAACACGTAGCCAACGTTTGCTGGGCTTTTATTCATTCAATACTGTTGGTGTGTTGTTCGAGGAGGTGGCAGGCTGATTTCTTTCCGTTGGATTGCTTCTTGCTCTTCGTTTCACTGGCTGAATAGATTGATCGGGACATTTTTTCACTCGAAGAAATCTTGGTCGTTTTGAAGGCTATCGGTATTCAGTTTAGAGACCATCAGAGATTTGATGTACAGTGTGTCCTAAATTCAATCCTCAACATTCGGATCTCGGTAACTGTGAGAAATAGAGAGTCGCGGTTCAATTAAAGTTTCAAGTTTCAGCAAATTCAATTGGTGATTCAGCATCCGTCGAGAAATCTAGAGTAGGCTCAGTCTTTTTTGAGTCATTCAAAGAACACTGAAATTTTGTATTTTCGTTTTCCTCGAATATCTCGAAAACTATCGATTGTATGAAAAAACGACTTCAACATTTTGATGGTACTTTTTTCTTCTGGACACCATATTATATTTTCCAGATTTGAAATCAGCATCATATTTGAATGTTGAAGTCGTTTTTTCATACAGTCAATAGTTCTCCAGATATTCGAGAAAACCCAAAATACAAAATTTCAGTTTTTCTTGAACAACTCAAAAATTACTGAAGCTAAATCAGATTTTTTGACGGATTCTGAATCATGATTGAATTTGCTGAAACTTTCGTAATTTAACCGACTCTGTATATCTGTCGAAGTTACCGAGATCCAAATGGTGAGGATCGAATTTGGGACACACTGTATAAGTGGAAATCTGTAGTTATGTATCAGATTTTTCTGACCAACAAGAAAGTAATATATTATTGTATTTTTTATTCTTACACATTGTTCAATGAAAAAACAATGTGATTTATTTTTGCACAATTAAAACGAGGAGGAAAAATCAAAGAAAATGAAAGAAATTGTGTTATTAATTGTTTGGTAATTGTTATTATTTGACCCTATCGATTTTATTGTAGATGGAGAGAAAAAATGAAAGAAAACGATGTATTTTTACATGATGTTGCTTCTAACAAAAAAAAAAACAGATAGATTTATCTGGAAACTGTATATTGGACCATTTTTGTAGGGTTCAATATTTCCCATAGTTGATAATATTTTTTGTTCCGACTATTTTTCACTTTTTTTCTCCTTAGAGAATTGCAGTTTTCTGTAATGTTTTATTTTTATATCAAGTTGTACTTGAAGAGATATCCGATGTATTATTTTACATTATAACAATCACTATGTCTAGGAAAACATACAGGATGATCCAAGTTCCTGGCTCTCCACAAATACATGCAAAGTAATTTTTCTAATATTTTTTCTAAACAACTCAACTGCAATGGAATCTTTCAAACATTTGTTGTAGGTAATTGAATTTACTTTATTCAAAGATAGTTGTTCAGAAATCTACTTGATCAATCAGTAATTAGCAAAAACAATAATTTTTCAAAAGTACTTTTTGCGTGGAAAGTACCTGATTATTGTTTTTAGAAATGTCATCGTTGGCCTCGAATTTGAATGACCCTGTATTTAGTGGGAGGTGAATATTTAATCATTAATTTTTTTCACTTATAATTTAAGTACCAAGAGCATTTGTGTAAGATATTCCCAGTGAAAAAAGTTGCTCAAAAGTCTGAACTCATATCATTTACATCTTTATAATAATATTACAGGGTACATTATATACTTGCGCCACAGTTGTGATATGTTATTGAATATATACCAGGTGTCAACAGATCAATTCACACACTCCTGTTATTCTATAGTTTTCATGCCTTTGAATTGATTTCTGTTTGGGGCCCATTTGTACTATATTTACTAAAACATACCAATATGTTGAAAAGGACCCCGCACTTTCCTTATGGAAAATAGCTTTCGGTTAAATTCCCTGAATTTTTGGTATGATGTAGATTTTGACTTCCTAAGCAAAGGTGTCGATGGATACAAAGAAATCGGCTGACTAGTTTTCGAAATACAGGGTGTCAAAGATGAATAGTGAAGCTGTCTGCTCAGAATATTTAACAATTCCGAGAATTGACAAAACGCCCATTTATTCATGGAATAAAATGCCTGAATGATGGTACAATGTCATCTTGATCTCGTATCCATTATAATTTCACGTTTTGGGCTCTACAACAGAGTGAACAAAGAAACATCCAATTCAATCAATTTCAAACCAACCAGGGTGAGTTCTTTCATGATAATTAAAAGAGCCAAATGAAGTCTGGACCAACCTTCTCATTCTCTATCGAAGATTACTGACATTTTCCTTTATATACAGGGTGGTTCGAAAATAGGGGTACGTCAATCCCTAGTTTTTTGAATCGGAAAGGGGAGAGCATGTCATATATATATGTATATATACCCTGTATATAAAGGAAAATGTCAGTAAACTTCGATCGAGATTGAGAAAGTTCGTCCAGGCTTCAATTGGATCTTTAATTCTCATGAAAGAACTCACCCTGGTTGGTTTGAAATTGATCGAATTGGATCTTTCTTTGTTCACCCTGTTGTAGAGCCCAAATCATAAAATTATAATGGATACGAGATCCAGATGACATGAATAAATGGGCGTTTTGTCAATTCTCGGAGTTGTTAAAAATTCTGAGCAGACAGCTTCACTATTCATCTTTGACACCCTGTAAGTCAAAATCTACATCTTACCAAAAATTCAGGGAATTTAACCAAAAGCCATTTTCCATAAGGAAAGTCCTTTGAATTTTGTCGATATATTTGGTCATATATTGATCTACAAATAATAATAATGAGGTAACAGTTGAAATCAATTTGAATATTAAATAATGAAGAGTTTCTCCATGACAGTTTATCCAGACTGGTGCCAAAATGTAGGTTATAAATGTCCTAATAAGATTCTTTTCGGGTAGGATTATGATAGGACAAAAACATATTGAGAAGAACCCAGTATTATTCAATTGGAGGCAAAATTAAGAGAAGAGAGACGATAACTGAATCACTTTAGGTAAGTTTTATATATTTCTGACAATATTCTGAGGAGTATCTTACACCGACGTATCTCTACACTATTATATAGTACCAATGTCTGTAAATTTAGTGGCCTTTGTGTTGTAAAGACGCTAATCATATTGTATGATTTTTATAAGAGTTTTTTCAAAGTGGCGCCACTTATCTGAACTGACATAATTTAAAATATTTGCGCCATCTTTTGAACATATCAATCATGAAACATTTTGATACTGAAAAAAATCACTTTTTAAATGAGAGAATTTTGCTACCAATCAATAGATTTGTATACAATTTTGGTGACATAAACACCATGTAGCTGGAAAAACTTGATAAAATCATAATTATATGAAAATTTAGCCTGTGTTGTTTTCAAACAAGTGTTTGCTGAACAATGTTAACAATCATGCTGTAAACTAATGAAATTATGTATTGTATATAAATATTATTGTATTATTATTATATTAACTGTATAACTTACAACTGTAAATACACAGATTTATTTATATATTTCAGGTTTTTACTTTTCATTTATGAAGCATAAAATTGCAAAGATTTTTTTTTGTGAACCAGCAATACTGTTCTGAGGAAAATTTAGTCTTGCATTTCGCCGGGAATCCATTTTCGATTTTTTGTTAGAAACAAATCAGTAGTTTAAATACAAGGTGGGCCAAAAAGAGTCATCTCCGATGATTCTGTTTCTTGATTATGTTTATTTGAACCTTTAGAATTTTATTCGTCGAGTCGAGAAGATGATATCGGCCAAATGGGCGCCGCCACAATTGTTTGCTATAAGGGCTCGTTTTATGCATTTTTCATCTCTTCGGCGAGAACTTCGGGCGACAGATTGTCGCACTAGTGTCGAATGTGGTCCTTAACCCTTTATAGGATACTGGTCGACATTTCAACCAAGCCCAAAATAAAATCGTATTGAAGAGATACTGGTCTGATATATTACGCCAGAAGATACCTATTGCTTAGTGCAAACGAACACTGGCTAGAAATGGAACCGGTTTCTGTGTTTACGCGAGATATAAAAAATCCGGTTGAATTTTCAACCACCGTACGTCTAACACATATGATGCGGAAGTAGGTGTATTGTGCACCTGCGAGAAAAATATATGTTTTTCATCATGAAATAATCATAATGTTGCTGAACTTTTACGCTAGGATAATATTTAGTAGTAACACCAATATAACCTCGCTCAATTATTCAGTAAAACGGATTGTGAATTCATTTTTGCCGGCTTTGCCGCAGTTTGTTTACAACGCTCGTGGAGCAAGTAACGTATTGTGACCTGCGTAAATAAGTAAACAGTATTTTTTGCTGGTTATATTGTTTGTTTGAACCAGTGTTTTTTTGCTTTGATGTTTTGCCTAGTGAGATACTGGTCGATATATCGACCTGCTCGGGAAAAATAGAAATAATTTCATTTCAATTCTTTTCATGCCATTTTTACTTTCTCAATGAACCAATAAACCATTTTATGTAAAAAAATCGATATGTTTAATTTCTCTCAATCTGCCCTATAAAGGGTTAAGGGCTTCTAGGGTCTCGGGCTTGTTCACGTTAACACGAAACTTCAAAAAAAAACACCAAAAAGGTCTGGAACGGTTAAATCAGGAGATCTTGCGGGACAGTGTAAATCGCCAAAACGAGAGATGAGGCGATCCAGGAACGCCACCTTCAGAATATCGGTTATGGCTCGCACAGTGTGCTCCGTCCTGTTGGAACCACATGCCCTCCAGTCCTAATTCGTTCAATTGCGGCAGAAAAATCTCGGTTAACATGGCCCTATAGAGCGCACCGTCCACTGTTGTGGTTTGACCAGCGGCGACCTCGAAAAAAAAATGGCCCGATGACTCCTCCAGAGTGAACAGCGCACCATGCAGTCACTTTGAGCGGGTGTAACTGCTCCTTGTGCATCACTCGTGGATTTTCGGTGCCCCAGAAGCGATAGTTCTGCTTGTCCACTGAGGTGGAAATGAGTCTCGTCGCTCATAATGATTTTGGTCGAAAAATCGTCCACGAGATTGAGGATGGCTTGGCTTGGATTATTCCGCGTTCATGGAGAGTGTATCGCTCCATGGCTTGCTCAATTGTATTCTACATCTGTCTAGTTCACAAATGTCAAAACAGATTTAGGTTAGGTTAGGTTCCACGTGAGTGGGGCGAATACCTCCCCTCCACTGCGACCCCAGATGGATGGGTCTATTGTGGCTCACCCCTAGAGGTTACAGTTCACCGTACAATAGGCCTTTTCATTTAGATATATTCCTAACACGCATGCGCTCATTTTTAGATCCAAAATTTGATTGGGTAATCCAAAGGTGAAGTCTCATTCGCTATAGGTCCGAAACAAAATTCTGATTGGCCATTTCGAATATGGCGGTGTGGGCATTCCTCATTGAGAAACAACAATAACAACATAGTATTTTCGTTTCTATATTCCTGGTGTATTGTAATTGTATTATAATTTAATTCGAAAAAACGTTACTTATTCGTTACTGCGGAGTGAGGTGCAAGTGTTTCGGTGAAAATGGCCGCCATTATCGTTGGATGCAAGATGTAAACAGAGATAGTCATTTGTCATCTAAATGAAAAGGCCTATCCACATCTTTTTACAAAGTTCATGGTTGAATCGGGTGAGATTTGTCTGAAATCGATAGGTTCTAAAACAGATTTAACATTGGCCGCCATTTGCAAAAATAAGAGCTACTTCCAATAGGGTGATTTCTTTTGGCTCACCTAGTACTAGGGTAAAAATAACCTTCATTGAATGGGCAATAAGTCGTTTATTTGAAACCTCTATCCATTTGGAGGAAGAGCAAACAAAAGTGACAACTTAAAAAAAATTAAACTATGTCAATACACCTAGAGTACCCTAGAGACACCTCTCAAACAGCTGCGTGGCTATCTTCAGCAACTCGGGATCGTGCCTCTTGGGGGCCTCCACATATTGATCGGTCAACGGCAAGTTGCACAAGTGCCTCCTAATGATCAGATCCCTCCTGGCGCTCAAAGCCCTACAATGAGGCCCCACGTTGGTGAACAGCGCCTTGCGCATCTGCATTTTTTCTCTAAAAACATCAATTTGGAAATAGAAACAAGTTTTGGCCACTGATCATTTGACCAGCAAAATAAACGCACCACCAAACATTTTTCACAAACGATAAGATTTCCGCAAAATTCTCAAACACATCGTCGCTATGATATCAAACCGGCGTATCTGCAGAACTACTATATATTTCTCACCAGAGCGCTTCAAAGTTTTTCTACTCGATTATTTCTGTATATCTACTTGATATTTCATCTAAGAGCTATCTTTTTTGTGCATAAAATTGAGTTCGGTTACCTCAAAGTTTATAATATAGCTATAATTTGCAAAAGCGTCTGGAGTATCTGCCAATAAGCCACGCCCGAGGCTACGCCTGTGCAGATTAGAGAGAGTAGTATTGGGAGATAAATCGGTTTTACTTACAAGCTGCAGAAGTATTCACCACGACATCTCATGCTGGACTGACGCATTGGCAATACACCTGTTAACTGCTTATAAACATACTGAATTCCGCCAAAATTCATACCGGCACAACGGTACCTGACTTCACAAGGATCCTATACATATGCCGGTTTAAAAAATGATTTTTTTGATACCAATAACTCAAAAATCCCTTTTTTGCAGATGTGCGGGTTTGATTTAACAGCGACGACATGTTTCGCTAACACAGCTTCGTCGGGTGATATACTGATACAATGAACTAAACCAACGTTGGCTTGCTTAACTTTTATATATCGTACTTTCCCAACTTGAAGGAAACTAATCCTGTGGACAGGTTGGATAAACCTTCATTTTCGGAAATTAGGCACAATATCTCCATTAAAATACAGTGTACAAGATTAACTTGAAAGGGTTGATAGCAAATAAATTCTACCTACCTACTAAGAAAACAAATTCAATAGTGTTGAACTATTGAGGTCTAATTGATCATTAAGTAAAATGTCAAATTTAATAAACAGAATTAATAAAGACAAAACTTCTTAAATCGAAAAATCAGGGGTATACAAACTCAACTGTGGATCTTGTCCTAAGGTATATATCGGTCAGACAGGTCGTACGATCAATCAGCGCATTCATGAACATAAGATGAATTTTTTGAAAAAGAAAACAGATTCAACATACGTCAACCATATAATAGAAGAAAAACCTAAGTTTTGATGATAATTTCGAAATTCTACACGTAGAAAATAAAGGAAAAACTCAATCATTTTGAATCATTAGAAATCAAGAAATCAACAAACTAAAAAATTTTGACATTTTACTTAATGATCAATTAGACCACAATAGTTCACCACTGTTAAATTTGTCTTCTTAGTAGGTAATATTTATTTGCTATCAACCCTTTCAAGTTAATCGGGTACACTGTATTTTAATGTAGATATTGTGCCTAATTTCCGAAAATGAAGGTTTATCCAACCTGTCCACAGGTAACTAATCCTTCAAGTTGGGAAAGAAGGATACATAAAAGTTAAGCAAGCCAACGTTGGCTTAGTTCATTGTACCAGTATATCACCTGACGAAGCTACTGTGTTAGCGAAACATGTTGTGTGTTTGAGAATTTTGTGGAAATCTTAGGCCCTCCGCACACGGGTCGATCGGCGACATGGGCGACGCGATTGCAATGACGTCACAATTTCTGCATTCGTACGATTCAAGAGACGGGAGTGTGTGTCATCCGCATATGGGTTGAAGTTTTGTGTAGTCGACTCGCGTCTGATCAACTTAGTTACTCTATTTTATGCAACTTCAAAAAGAAATGTTTCGCTAAAAATGAGCAGTTCCAATGGCAAGGAGGACATATTCATGTTTTTGTGGCACCGGCAGATCAGGAGAAGAAGAAGACAACGAAGTTTATGCGTGCATCCGTACATTGCTCGAAATTTTCACACTCGACTATTTGTTACTGCAAGTGAAATGCAAGAGAGTGACACAAAATTTCTGGCATTTTATAGAATGTCGAAGGAATCATATATTGATTTAGTGGAAACTCTTGCTCCAGCCATGAATTATATGGATTCAAATATGAGGCAATGTGTCAGCGCAGAAGAACACATACTAATAACATTGATGTAAGATTCATATATTTCAAAAAATCAAACAGTTCCCAAAGTTGAGAGTATAAATTGGAAACATAAGATTATATGTTCTAGTTACTGAAAGTGAAGAACTAAGGTAGGTAACACAAATATTCACATTGATTGAAAAATTATTGAACAACTTTCTCCGACGCAAAATTCACTCGATCAAACTGCTTCCTTGCTAATCGCGTGAGACTGAAAACGAGGAGATCTTAAATCGTGTTTCTAGACGACCACTAAACGACCCGTGTGCGGGATCCAGATGCTTTGCTTAGGAAGTCTAGTAGAGGGGAGTCCGTCGTACGATTCGAATCGCGTCGCCCATGTCGCCGATCGACCCGTGTGCGGAGGGCCTTATCGTTATTTGTGAAATTTTTACATTTGCCATGGATTTCCATCAAGTAAAGGCCGAGTCATTAAAAAAAAACATGTTATTTACTATGAGTTTGAATATATTCAAAGAAACACCTACCTATCGGCCACTTGAATGGCCGCAATGGGATGGGGACATGACGTTTCCGCCTCTTCTTCCGATGGCGATGCCGAAAAATCTTCCGCAGGTTCTTGTTTGACGTCAACGCAAGATGAGGCGTCTTCCGGCTCCTGCTTTATCTTCACCAGAGGTTCTTCCTTCTTCACCAGTTCTCGCAAACCTGCGTTCACGTGCTCTTTCATTATGTCCTTGACCAAGTCCTCACCTAAAATAAAATCCTCGTATTTCAAGAATGCTGATTTTCAATTCAAACGCATTTTTTCAAGTACCTGCTAGGGCAACGGAGACGCCTAGATGCACTAAAACGTTGTGACTTTCCCACCTTAACTTTGCCGAACTCATGGGTTTCTGTCTGGGCCTGGACTCTGCTACAAGACTGGCCCAATCCACCCCCAATGCGTCACCGAGACCTTTCACTTTAGATTCCTCTTCCAACTCATCTACAATCGAAAATTCACATTTGATCAGATGAATGTCGGTGGAGGAAGAGCGACTAAAATATTGAATTACTAATACCACAAGTTTCAATGAGAAACACCATTAACCGTTAGGTTGTATCGGTGGGGTGTTTCGGTACTCCACTAATGATAATTTCGCGTAAACATCAAAACTCTCATTTAACTTATTTGTGATTTGTTGTTTCAGGTATCCTCTTAAGTTCGTGATATCTAGGAAATTGTAGTGATTTTTTTTGCTAAAATCAAATGAAAATATAGAGTGATTGGGGTGTGCAAATTATACCCCTGTCAGTTTCTTTACTATCAATCGAATCTTTTTTTATCACGGGCATCAATAGGAACTACTTTCTACACGACAATTCAAGTGATTTCTACAGCCTACAAAGAATGTGGATTTTTATCTTGCTCTCCAGTAATACTCATACAAGAAATTCCCTTTTCTGTTGATACAATCGAGTTTTTCTGAGGATCATATTTCTCATGATAAGATATGTTTACAAAATAGCAACATGTTTGAAAAGTCATGAGTTTTTTATTGTATTAATCACCTATAGTCCAATAAATGAAGGAGGAAAAAAAGGCAAAGTTAACGTTAATTACGCACTATCTTCATCTTCCGGTTGGAAGTAGCTTTTGGGACCCCGCTTTTTCTAATTTTATTGAAAAATGGACGACTTCGTCTAACAAAGTAATTGCACAATCGAAAAGTAGACCTTCTTAGCTTTCAAATGATGTATCATAGAAACCAATCGGATCATGTATAAATTTTTAATTGATGGTTGTTCACAAAATTTCCCCGCGCTCCAAAAACAGCAATTAGGGTATACAAATTTCAGGGATGACGAAGGACCTTATGAGGACCCATAATTAAGAGAATTTTGAGTAAATTAGTGCAATACAAAAAAAATAGGAACAAATTCCTGGCGAGGGCAAAATTGACTGGGAGCAGAAAGTTTGACCCATGTTCCGATATTGCCAAAAGAGTCAAGCGTGACACAATTCACAGGGTATGATAGCAGCAGAATTCCTCTTTCACATGAACTTTGAATCATGAGAAAATATGCATTTTTAACAAAGTTATTGAATAATTTGTCCCCCCCGCCGATGTGTAAATACACGGACTGTGCTCTCCGGCATACAACACAGAAGCTCATTATTCGAGGTGCGCTTCGTGCCGTTTTTCTCGAAACCGGGCAAATTTTCGAGAAAAATGAAAAGGACCATTTTTGTAGAAAATTAACTGAACTTCAATTTTTATCTGAGCCGAACTGCCATATTTTAGGAGATATTGGCTGAAAACCTATCTTTCTGGTCTTTTGGGGCCATTTTCTCCGCCATCGCACGCGTTTTCCAGTCAAACTTTGTCTCAAGTTTAATGAGGTACCAAAAGCTACTTTCAACCGGAAGATGAAAATAGTGCGTAATTAATGTCAACTTTTTCCCTTTATTTATTGGACTACTAATAAAAATGGGGTGTTGAAATACCCCAAGATATCAGTTAAGGGTTAACAGTAATTAGAAATGGGTGATGAGGAATTTGAATTTGAACAATACCTTCAGAGATTTCCTCAAAGTCCAGTTCCATGTTGTCCTCCTCGATAGATTCTTCGTTGACCGGAGCCGGTTTGCCTCCGGGCGACTTGGGCAACGGCGAATGGGACTTTTGAGAGGCCGATGAGACGGTCTGATCTTTGAGGGAAGCCGTATCGGGTTTCAGAGGAGCCTCTCCTTCCAGGACCTCTTCTTGAACCTACTCAGACAGAAACATCGTCAGCGAACTTAAAAAATCTGATTCCAGATTCAAATTTCCAGGGCATGCTGTAATATTTTCATGAAACAAAAGCGGGTAAATGAATTCTAGATTTTTCACTTTTTTGTTGACAACTTTTTAGGGTCGGTTGTAGATAGGAATAATCTGGATTATTTTGTTGTTCACTTCATAATTCAAGCTCATATCCTGGTTAATTACCTTGTTCAGGGCAGGGTTTAGAAAATACAGGCCCCTAGGCTCCACCAGGGGTGTGAGGCCTGGGCTCGTGGAGCATCGGGGGGTATGGAATACCCCCTAATGAAAAGATGGGGCTCTCGCCCGGGAAAATTTGCAAAATTAGGTGCAAAATGGTGATTTTTAATGGAACTTTAGCATCGTTGATTTATAACACAGGTTATCTTTGTTAAAGAAAATGAGCCACAAGAAGATACTTCTTCATGAACATGCCTACTTACTCAGTTGAAGCTTTTCTTAACTGTAACAATTAACTCTGGGAGAGGCCTCAGCGAGATATAAACGTTTTCATGAAACCTGAATTATAAGGTTGTCCATTGCATCCTTGGTATGTCTGTATTTATTGTGTTTTATTGTTGTGTTTTTTTTTGTGTTATACTCTACATGTACATGAGCTCTTTATCTCTTGTGAACCTGACATGCTACATATACAGGGTGGCATAAAAATTTGAGGTTAGACCCCTTTTTCCACCCAAAGTTCTACACTGTAGCAAATCTGACGTCACCTCTGTTCAAATTTCCATGTGGTAGGCACAATCACGCGGAGTTCAATCATTTAAATTTTTCGTTAATTAGAAGAATTAGTAAAAATCTGATATCATGGGAATATTCCTTAGACTTTATCATAGTAATGTGCTGAATATGTGCACTTATGTCAAAAACACCTTGTATATCTCATACATATGTAAAGTAGTGAAATAAATAAATTAAAAAAATGCACTGAACAACCGGCCCTCTCTATTCTGGGATTTCGTCTTCATAAAAAAGTAATATTCCAAAATTGATGATAACATATTTTGCTAATGAATATTTTCAATAGGTTTAGGATTTCGAATCCAATGGTGAAATAGAAAAAAAAAGTGCAAGATCTCTAAAATTCTTTGCATAATAATAATGATAATAAATACTTCATCTCTGTTGAGTATCTCGTCTGCATCGTCGCTGATCTCGCTGAGATCGTCCTCCAAGACGAGCGCCTCCTGCTTAACTACGCACAACTTCTTGGAGGCGCCGCCCCCCGGCCCGCCCCCAGGGCTGTCGAGCAGCTCGTCGGCGGACCGCTTGTGCGCTTGCGGCGCCTCTCTGGGATCACCCTCCGGCCTCTCCACAACAGCCGGCCCTTCGGTTTCTTTGCGCCGAAAATCGGCCTCTGGATCGTCTGCGAGAGGCACGCCTGAAAAACACCGCATCTTCGTTGGAAAATATTTCCGGGATTTGTGTTTGTTGAATTTGTTTGCACCAAGTAGAATTTGGTTTGTTCAATCAATTTCAAAGAGGGAAAAATACAATCACCGGCGACAAAGAAACGGCTACAAAAAATTTAGACAAATTGTTCGCCCTGTCACTTTTTTAATACTTGTCTGATTTTGGTTTCGGAGTGTTAGCATGAATTTTATTTCAGAGAAAAGATGATGGCTTGATCACTGAACGGGGAAAAACATAAGTCTCTCTTTTACCCTTAACTTTTTAACGCCTTGTGGTGAAAGCAAAGGATTGAGTTATATCATTATTAAAAAGTGAGAATGGTCTGAGGTGTAAGTGAACCTAAAAAAATAAATAAAATGAATAGGTATAGTCATTCATACATTGCTAACTGGAATTTCAAAATTTTTGATGACAGACATTATTGTGATCACAATCGAGTAATAAGAGTAATAATGACAGTAGGATAGCCTAATAATCTGACATCCCATTGTCTTATCAAATTCAATTAGGCATTCCAGAACACGTGACTTTTGACATATTTCTAATGGCCGCCTGTAGGCACACAAATATTTATTGTCGATTTACTTAGCAGCGGTGTAATCTTGGGTAGATATATCAAATAATGATAATGGCTGTTTTGAATAAAAGTGGATATTTATAATCCTTGGATCACCATAACAAAGATATTGCGACACGAAAGTATGTGTGCCTACAGTCGGCCATATTGATTTAGATGGTTTGACAGCATCTTGGATAGGTCAATAGGTACACGGAAAAATGAGAATTCACTGTTTTTCATTCTCAACAGTGACTACCATCAAGAGTAACCATAAGCATAAAATAGGACTTGACACTTGCAGATTGGCTCACACTTATGTGCGGGATATTCGAATTTATTAGTACAGACCAATCAGAACCATGGACCTTCATTGATGATAACTAGCGTCTAGAGACAGGGTAATACAATTATTCATCGCGGTGGGGGAATGCTACAGCGGAGGCAAGCAAATGAATAATCTGCGATAGTATGATTCATTTTACAACTGAAAAGTGAATTGGCATATAATACCTGGTAAGATTGAATACTTTTTTCCTGGCAATAAGTTTTCGAAATTGAGTATTTCAAATCAGATTTAGTGATTTTGCAATATAATAACCTTCATTATTTCCAAAGATATATTTCTGAAATCTCAGAGTTGCTTTGATATTTGAATAGTTGCAGATGAAGTATGGTATTCTACTCCATCATTATGCGCTCGTTGAATAATATACTATTACTCGGTAGTACCGAGAAAACACGATTATCTTTGAAGTTCTGCCGCTTTGAGGTCCTGAAATGTTCCTGATGAGTTTGAAATTATGTCCTCTTAATCATTTATATCAGCATTCATCTGGAACATATCAGTCAGGGAGGGTAAGTATCCATGAAGAATCCGATAAGTTGGAATCAAATCTCCACAATGCCTTCGATCTTCCAATGTTGTCAAGTTGTCAACATCTCAGATTCATAACCAATCTCCTACCTTCTGCTTCAACATGTTTTGAATTGAAGTGTGATCCTTTGTTAACACATTGGTTCTTGATTCACGACAATATATTCTTTCAAGGAGAAGATACAACAAGTGTTCTAGGAAATTGTGGATTTTTATAATTTTCAGTCTTCTTGAAGGGCGAATCATAGTTCTTTGGACTCCATCCCAAAGATGCTGCTTAGGTTTTGAATCATTGTATCTTCTCTTTGACATGAGACAACGACATGAATAAAAAAAAAACATTGTGTTCAGAAGGGATCAAAGAGTGACTTTTGTTCTTACCTTTACAATGATCAAGCCAAAAGCTTCTTGAGAACTAAAATCCATGGTAACATTCCGAAATATGAGTTCCCGATTTGGTCAAAATTTCACGAAAATCGGACAAGAATTAAAAAAGTTACAGGGCGACCAATTAGGCACTTTTTTTTGCCGGCTAGTACAATATAAAATCGAAACTGAAAAGCTCCTTACCGGCCCCGACCGCATCGAGATGGTGCGAGGCGGCACTCCGCGGCCTCTCCGACCTCTCCCGCCACTCGCCCTGCCACCTCCTCCTCTCCTCCGCCGCCCACCCGTCCGTCGACCGCCCCCGGTACTGCCTGCCCCACTCCTCCTCCCCCCTCTCGCCCTCGCGCTCCTCCCCCCACCCGCCGTCGCGCTCGCCTCGGCGCCCCTCCCACTCGCCGCCCACTCCACGCCATTCGTGCTCGCCCGCCCCCGCCGAGGAGGGGTAGTCGTCGCGGTGGCGCTCGGCCGCCCAGTCCGCCCCGCGGATGCTCTTGGGGTCGTCACGTGGGCGCGAGTCGTACCGCGAGTGGCGCTCCAAGTCTCTGTCTCTGGAAGGATATGACAGTGAACAATAATGCCGGACACCTAAAATTTTCGCTTGGATTCGTAAGATTTAAAAAAAAATCAACCGATTCAAATTCAGTTTCCAGGTTTCAGAAGCTCATTTAATTGTCTTCAGAATCATGAATTCTAAAGACAGTAAAAGGGGAGAATAAATATTTTGCAGGGTGATGAATGGCACTCTGCAAACTGGCATCGAATTTGAAGTGATTCCATTCCATCTAAGAATGTTTCTTCTGGGGACCCTATTCTCAAATGTCGCATGCGAGATTTCTACATTGTCGAACAAAAAACGGGCGTGCTCATTCTCGAAAGACGCATTCGAAAATTTTCGATAGACAAATTGTAGAGTGGTCTTAAGCAGTCGACATTTTCATGTCGAATGCGAGATTGAATATTTGACTGACTGTTATTTTGAGAATGGCAACTTGAAAATCAAGAAAATCATCAACCGCCACGGGCGCCACGAGAGAACGTAAAGAATGCGTTCACATTTTTATTGGACATTAACTGTATAAAAACATTTAGGTAAGGAATTAGTGAGAGTCCATTACACTGCTAGTGAGTGCTAGAACCATTTGTGGAACAGGGACATGGGTCTTCTGCATGTTTCTTGCCAGATAAAAGTAGCTGATTCTATTTTTCCTTCAACAAGTTGAGTGCTTCCTTTTGAGATGAAGCACAATAACTTTTTTCTTTCCACTGATATTATTATTTCAACATAACATTGACATAACCTCCATCATAACAACAAAGAAACCACAACACAATGGCACAGAACACATTCGAGAATCGTTAATTCAATGTTGCCAGTTCATGCTATTCCACAAAATTTATCTCATGCGAGTTTGAAGTCGAAAGCAATCGAGAATACCACACTAAAACTCATCTCATAAAGTCATATCTTGAAATCCTTTTTCTTTTCATTGGTTGATCACACTGTTCTAATATATTTTTTGTAAAATGTCACAAAAATATTTTTTTTTTCTACAACAATTCAAGAGAACATCTTCACGGTTATATGACGCATAGAAAATCGAAACCACTTAAGACTAATTGACCTATGGATACAGGGTAAATTCCAGTGTTAGGCTCTAATTTGTATTTGTAAATCAACATGGCAATGTTAAAGGTTTTTGATCGTATCTCAATCGTTTGCCTAATCATACAGATGCTTTCTTTCTTCAAAATCCTGAAGAGTCATGTGATGTCTTGAAAGAATTTCGATTTTCTTGGAATTAAGTTGATAATATAGAACTGGTGGAATGAATTTTGAATTATCCATTATCCCCTTATCTATCAGAATATTTTTCTCGTTTTGAGCATACAGGGTGATTAAAAAATTTGCTTAAATGACCCGTTTTTAGAATATCTTAACTTTCAGTCGTATTTTATCGGTTCCATTTCCATTTGGTAAGTCATCATTCGACTCTCAAATCAGTTTTTTTTCTACCTATCGTATAGTCGTAGAGAAAGTATAGTTTTCTACTATATAGCTACTATTCTCTTGGATTATTGGGAAACTCGCCTACTGCTGGTTGAAGGAATTATCCTCGACAATAATAGCTATCATTATACGCCATTTAAAGAATATACTATTCTAATCATTAGATGATCAATCACCTCTATGGAGAAAGAAGAATTACCTGTCCACATCTTTATCATCCCACAAATCTCTTCTACCTCTTCTTTCGTCCCCATACAGCCTTCCATCGCCCCCGTAGTGGTCGTCGCCCTCCAAATACCTCCTGTCATCATGCCTGCCCCTCTCATAAGGACTGTCATAGTCCTTGTCTCTGTGGCCATAATCACGGTCTCTACCTCTGTCGTATGACCTTCAAAGAAAACGGGCCAAATCACAAAATATCTTGTTGATATTTATTGGAGAAATACTGTGTTTGGTTAGGAACTTTGTATCCTGGTCCAGTTAAATAGCCTAGCGTTAGCCCACTGGTCAAATTCATGAAGTCTATAAGATGGTTTTCCATAGCCAATACGAAAGCAATCAATTTTGATCATTTCAAATCCTTCAGACATGTCAGAAATAATGTTCAGTTAGAGAAAATGCACAGTAATGATAGCTTCAAAACCCAATAAAATATTAAAAATTATTATTTTTTTCGTTTTACCCTGGATTGTTTACAGTCCAGCGTTACTCAGTGTGTTCCGCGGAGCCCAGGTGTTCCGAAATGCCTCCGGTAGGGCTCCACCAATAGTCATAATAAAATGAATACATTTATTACACTGAATTAGGATAAAGTTAGCTAAGATAAAAATAAACGATCAAACGAAACGTCTACCTCAACAATTTTACTGATTGATTTTCTATGCTGGTATCTTGTTAAATACCCACAATTTAACACAGAGACAAAGGATTTGATTTTTCTTCTGCCGTTTCAAACGTACTTGTGTGAAACGGAAATTGAATTTCAGCATGATACAACTACAAAAACTAAATACCTCAATGGACTGAATGCCGAATCAGACTAGAGAATTCAATTTTCTTCTATCAAGCTTGACATTACTAAGTTGATGAGAAATATACAAAATTTCCATGCCTCTTATCGAAAGAACTTGGTCTTATTATTTGCTTACTAACTCACTGCTTACTGTATCCTCTTTTTTCCATATAATTATTAATAAAAAATACACATCTATCTTTGCTTTCAGTTCAGGATTTGGGGTTCCTTTAAAGATAAAGTTTTGCAGAAGGGTTCCGTCAACAAAAAAGTTTGAGAACCGCTGATTAACACTAACAAGATGAACCATCTTTAGGAGAGCAATCAAGCCAGAAATTCTATTCATTAGGTGGCGGTATCTAGGAGCGACAAGATGAACTAATGGGGGGTGGACCTTTTTTTTTCATTTCTTAAATTGAATCATCACTCAAATACCTTTCAATTCCATATTTTTCAAGAATTTTTCGGTCGATATCAAGCTGCTAACATCTAATAATGCCCAGGTAATTTTCAAACGGCCAGAAATGTTATGCTAATGAAAATAAACGTCACGATTTCCTAAGAAGGAGCAGACCATAGCACAGTTGCCATATGTTGAAATACGATTAGGAATTTCAGAAATATTAGTTATTCAATAATTCATAAAATCTCAATTATGCATTGGTAATATTCCTAATTAGCAATGAAAAATCAATTGTATTAGAATGTTCTCTTATGTTGTGGCTTGTTGCTTAAAATAAATTTGTGTAAATAATAATTATATTAATTCACACTAGAGGACATTTGAATCGGTAAACGTGACAACACGGCGAACGAATTGTGGGCGTTGTCTCAATAGTTTTCAGCATTTAGCACAATGTTGCCAAGTATCCAACATTTACATGATATTTTGTTATGGAGTATAAGAAATATTTGGACATGCTGGTGGCTCGGTAAAAAATCAAGAATGAGCTAAAATATCATGGCTTCGTCCTATTATCTTTACGACCTACACAAAAAGTAAGGCCAAATTTGGCTTTTACATTCTGCATGGAGATTGACTATCTTGTAAGTGTAAATTATCAAGGATTTTACCAATTTTTTTGTAAAGTTACCTGTCTTTGTCATGCCTCTTGCCTCTCCGAGGACTTTCTTCGAGGATCTTCCGGTGCTAGACCGATCGTGAGTAGATAATCTTGTTTGCATAAAAAATCAAGGATTTTATCCATTTTTTCTGTAAAGTTACCTGTCTTTGTCATGCCTCTCCGAAGACTTTCTCGAGAATCTTTGGATGCTAGACCGATGGTGCGTAGATCATCTCGTTAGTATAAATAATCAAGGATTTTGTAAAGTTACCCGTCTTTATCATGCCTCTCCGAGGACTCTCGAGGATCTATCGGTGCTAGACCGATCATGATTCAATCATCTTGTTAGTGTAGATAATCAAGGATTTTACCCAATTTATTTGTAAATTTACCTGTGTTTGTCATGCCTCTCCGAGGGCTTCCTCAAAGATCTCTCGGTGTTAGACCGATCGTGAGTGGATCATCTTGTTATTGTAATTAATGAAGAATTCTACCCATTTTTTTTTTGTAATTACCTGTCTTTGTCATGCCTCTCCGAAGACTTTCTCGAGGATCTATCGGTGCTAGACCGATCGTGCCTATCAGATCTGCCTCTGTCCGAACGATCACCCCTATCCAAAGACCGTGCTTTCCTAGATGGCGGCACACGCTCCTCCAACGGCGGCAGAAGACGCTCGACACGATCTCCTGTTGAACAAACTAAATTCGTAATAAAAATAGTAATTCCAATAAAAAACTCGTCAAATCATCTCTCTCACCGGAAGGTTTGTCCAGCCCTCTGTCCTCCCGCCTCGTCCTCTCCCTCCTCCTCTGCTGTTCCTCCTCCTTCTTCAGCCTCTCTCTCTCGCGCTGCCTCTCCTGGCACCTGGCCAACGCTTCCTCTCTCTCTTTCTCTCTGGCCGCTTCTCTCTCTTCTCTCACCAGCCGTCTCTCTCTTTCGCGCTCTCGATCTCTGTCTCTGGACTCGCGACGCGTCGTGCTAGTATTTCTCCCACCTGGATCTTTACGAGGTTTCTCCGCGGATTTCACTTCTTTGACCCTGGACCTAATGGTTAACGAAAATAGTCAAGATAAAAACCAGCTTTTATAAAAATACTAGCTGACCCGGCAAACGTTGTTTTGTCATAACATTATTTCTAGAAAAAATGTTTTTACATAAATATTTATCGAAGAACTTTCATTATTTTATTTATACTTCTTTTTTGGCTATCCATGAAAACGGGATTCTTTAGTTTTTCAAACTATTCTACTTATTCTCTACTTCTTTTCAGTTCTGCACATATCTCTTCATTTTTTCATTTATTTATTACTCACTTCTTTTTAGTTTGGCTATCTATAAAAACGTGTTTCATTATAGTTTTTCAAACTACTATTTATTACAATAGCTGATGCTGATACCTGGCACACTTCTTTTCAGTTAGGACATCCATGAAATCGTGTTTCATTAGTATTTCAAACTACTATTTTCTACTTCATTTTAGTTCGACAATCGTTTTTTAAACCCCCGAGTTTGGCCATCTTTAAAAGCGTGTTTCATAATAGTTTTTTAAACTACTATTTATCACAAAGCTCTCTCGCCATCTTGAATTTCCCAATTTTAAAGAATGAAATCATAATCTCCGACCCCGAAAACACCCAGAAACAGATTTTGAATAGAATCGGATCATAATTACAAAACTCGTCCGCCATATTGGATCCTCCATTTTTAATTTCCAAATTTTGATGAAAGAATCATAATCTATTAACCGAAAATCACCCAGATACAAATTTTGAATGGAATCGGATCATAGTTACAGAACACGTCCGCCATATCGGATCCGCCATCTTAAATTTCCAAATTTAGACAAAAAAATCATTATCTCCGACCCCGAAAACCATCCGATACCAATTTTGAATAGAATCTGACCATAATTACAAAACTCGTCTGCCATATTGTATCCGCAATTTTGAATTTCCCCATTTTGACAAATGATTCATATCTCCGACCTCTATATAAAACCTCAAGATACCAGTTTTGAATAGAATCTGACCATAATTACAAAACTCTTTCGCCATATTGGATCCGCTATTTTGAATTCCTCAAACAAAACTCGTTCGCCATATTGGATCCGCTATTTTGAATTCCTCAATTTTGACGAACGAACCATAATCTCCGACAGTGAAAACCCTCAGATACCAATTTTGAATATAATTGGATCATAATTACAAAACTCGTCCGCCATATTGGATCCGCCATTTTGAATTTCCTAATTCTGATAAAAAATCATAATTTCTGACCTTGAAAACCCCCAGATACCAATTTTGAATAGAATCGGATCATAATTACTATTGATAATAATAATCTTTATTATTCCCAAGAAACATATGTGTTTTTTATTTATTTTATCCATTTATCAAACATATCTTCCAGTCAGAACAAATTCTGGTATGAGGAAGAAGTTAATTATAAAATAATAAGTAATAAATATTTATGAACTACTATACAAACATGAGTAGAAGTGAACATGAATAATAAATCAGAATATCACAATAAATCACAAAACAAAATAATCAATGAACAGAGGAAAGAAATCTAGTCAAGGATCCGCCATTTTGAATTCTTCAATTTTGACAGAAAAATAATAATTGCCGACCGGAAAAACCCCCAGACACCAATTTTGAATTAAATCGGTTCATAATCACAAAACTCATCCGCCATTTTGTTTTCTTCTCTAACAAAAAGTCAATGATGCATTGTCACCAGAATTATGAACAACTGCCAAATTTCAAATCAATAGGATGATTTGAAGTGTGTCATATTATTCAACTTGCAAGATTTGACTCAGACAGCAGAGAACAGGTGAAACTAAATAAAAGCTTGTAAAAATAATACATCTTCCCGCAAATACTATTGCAGAGTTCTAGAAGCTGTGGAGATAATGAGACAGACAATAAAGTCACTCAGTTTGTTGTATTCTATTCATCAAAATCCTTTCATTGGATACTGATATCAAAGATATTGCAGAGAACCAGATAATCCACCATTTTTTGTCGGCCGCCATATTGGATTAGAAATCAACTGACAGGAATGAAAGTTCAATAAAAGTTTGTACTCAAGATAAATTTTCCAATAATTCATGTCACTCACCTTGCTCTGTCATCTCTCTTATTAGTTCTCCTGTCATCTTTAACAGGACTTTTGTGATCTCTTCTGGTTGTGCCCCCTTTTCCTCTACCAGGAGAAATTTTCCTGTCTCTAGAATGTGAAGAATCTGGAGTGTCCCTTTTCCTGACGTCCTTTATAGCCCGGCTGTCTCTCTTTGGGGATTTGATAGGCTCCCTCTTCTTGATCTCCTTCTCTTTCTCGCGCTCTCTCTGTTTCTCCCGCTCTTTGGCTCTCTCTCGCTCCTTCTCTTTTTCACGCTCTCTCTCTCTTTCCTTCTCTCGTTCTTTCTCCCTCTCTTTTTCTCTTTCCCTTTCTCGTTCTTTTTCACGTTCTCGTTCTCTCTCGCGATCTTTATCTTTTGAAGGCTTTGGAGATGGAGTGCAATGTTTTTCTTTGATGCTGGTTCTGCTTAGAGACCTAGGGGACTTCTCTGAACTGAGCTTCTTTGCACTAGAAGTCAGTTTGGCTTTCAGAGGTGGAGTTTCAGATTTTTTTCTCTGTCTCACAGGTGAAGGAGACTTGGCTTTCACTGGTTTCATCACTTTCTTGAGAGGTTTTTCTCTCACTGTTGACTTGGTTCTCTTACCTGTTAGAAACAGTAAACATTAATGGCTATATTATGTTCTCTAATAACAACTAAAGCTTTTGAGACATGTTACAACTAAATAGATAATATTTTCAGACAACCTTGTTCAAAGACCTTCTGAAAGTTTTTCAAATCCCAAAAAGTCATTGAAGATATTTATAATGAAACTCAGAAGATACTTTATTTTCATAATATACATAATATGAACAATATATATCAATGAAAAATAGAGAATGAAAACAGTAAAATAATAATTATTGTTGACATACCCTTTATTTTGTGTTTATTCCTTGCTCTATCCTCTGAAGAAGTTGAACTAGTTCGTTTTGTTTTTACTTTCTTGATTTTCTTCTTTCTCATTTCTCCAGAACTAGAACTAGATGAAGATGAATCCTCACTACTGGAACTTGAGTCAGTGCTTGAAGTGGAACTCCCTGTGCTAGGACTACTTTCCTTAAAACATATTTCGAATCAAAATAGTCTCAGCAACAGATAAAAGTCAGTGAATCAAGGGAATAACAATGCTGTGCAAATTATTTGTGTCCCTTCATTCAGGAGCATCAATTTAGTAAATACCAGGGAAGGAGGTCAAGAAACTCAGATAAAATTTCTGCAATGTTGAAAATGCACCTCAGGCAAACTTTTCAGGAGGTAAAATGCCTCAAAATTGAAAATTAAATGTCTTTGAGACTGACAACAACTCCATCACATTATTATATCATAAACTATTCAGTTACATATTCTCAGTTTCTTGCAATTGATATGAAATTATCTGACAATAGGAACATTAAGAAAAGCAAGAAAAAAGTTTTTTGGATATTGTCTGTAGGATACCTGAGAAGGTGGTTGTTCTTGAAGTTTTTTGGAAGTAAGGATACTGACTCAATTTTTCAACTCACCTAAATTTTTTCATTGTATCTGAATCAACAACTTTCACTCATAACAGGAAATAAGTTAATCATCAGTCTATTGTAACATTTTAGGAAAATATGATGCTTCCTTATTCAGGAATATTCTATGTATGATATATGAAATACCTATTATTATACTGAATGACAATTTTGAAATGTTTTTCTTTCAGTTTCAAGTAGTGATATGATACAATACTGATGTATGTATATTATGTAGTTACAGGAAGAATCTACATGGATTACTTCTTGTACAAAATCAGGGGGAGGCAATTATCCCCTAAATGATGCCTATGTCTTCATTACTAAAGAGAAATTCAAGGGAGTACTTCTATTTGATCAACATTACAACATACATTTTTGAACAATGATCTAACACATTCTTCATCAGTAAATCAGGTATATCAAACTATAGACAATAATGTGTAATGCTTCCCTAGGACTTAGGAAGTTTTGGATTTGTCTTGTTTTTATATTATTGTCTACCAACACACTGGATGAAGGATCAGTTCAGATTGCCCACTTTCTATAGTTTCATTCAATGATTTTGTATTTGCATTTTGGTAAATTTCCCACTCCTCTATACTACTTTTAGTAGGTAGGTAGGTACTAAATCAATTATATATTATTCCATATTTAGAACCAATTAAGTACCTACTTTTTGTGCCTTCTTTTCCTTTTTCTTTGCCTTATTCTCCATCTTCATTTGCAGCTCCAGCTCTCTCTGCAACTCCTGTCTCCTTTTCTCCAGATCATCTGGATCAGCATCTTCCAACTCATCAGGATCCCATTGCTCCCACTCTTCGTATTCGTGCTGGCTCCTCTTGTGGCCCTCTTTCGCGTGCCTCCTCTTCGGCACCCCCGTCTGCACCACCTTCGCCGCCCTCTGCTTGGAAGGGCTGATCAGCGTGTGGGTAGCCGAGTACTTGCACCCTTTGCCGTAAGGACAGGATCCGCTCTGCGCCCAATGGTGGCAAAACTCCTTGCCTGTTCCTCCTCCTGGAGCTTTCGTGCCGAGACGTTCGAAAACGCTCGGACGGTTCTTGACCGTCGTCAGAGATTTCGCTTTCGACGTCGTCAGATTCACGCTGATCTTTCGTTTGATTTTAGACATGGTCACTGTTAGTTCTGATGAAAGTCGAGATCAATGAATTGCCATAAACACTTGCCGTTAACATATTTACTGGAAATAGATTGATTTCTTTTATATTATTTTGATGGATCTAGTTGTGCCTAGGGTCCCTTGATGGAAATTGACGTTAAAGTCATCTTTACAGGGTACGGACAGATCCTCGTGTCCTCTCACTCTAAAGCGTTTGTGAAACAGTTATATAGTTTCATCCTTATTCAATTCTGGGGATAAACACTAGATTTTTGACATTCGTTGTTTTTTAGGTTATATTGAGGTCACTGGCGTATCATACGTGATTTCCATATGGAATTCCTGATTCAACTATACCAAGATATAGATGAACAATCCTCTAGTTTTAGAGTTCACTACTCCAGCATAATCTTTGCGAAGTAGGGAACATATAAATTGTGCTGGAAGCTCAATATATCCCACCAAAAGAGACTGTTCCCAGACTGTATACCAGCGGTTGACTGAATTGACTAAATGAATTCTGATTTCAAGCTGAGCAGAAAGTTAATCTGTGAGCTGAATGAGCTGAGCTTTATGATTGAGAAATGGTGGAAACCTCGATATGGGGATATCTAAACTACTGTACCTCCGTCATGTGTGCTGAATATATTTTCGGAAATCCAATTCGGAGAAGAATTTATGGAGTGACTTATATCACACTATGTATAAAACTTCGTCTGGGACGAATGATAAAAAGTAATACGTGAAAAGTGCAGGAAAATAAAGAATAGAATATACTTATGATTTTTCCGTCTCCCTTAAATAAAAAGTCATCTTCGAATAATTTATTGAATTCTCAAATTTTAACGAAACATTCATTATCTCCTACCTCGAAAACCCCCAGATACCAATTTTGATAAAAACAAAACTCGTTCGCCATATGATCTTCCTCAACAAGTCAATACCCTCTGTACATACCTATTATTAAAATTTTGAATGATTTTCTGTAGCGCCCATGGATGTGACGTGACAGCAATGTCAGGGATGCCAGTAGACAAAACCAAAGTCTCTAGATCATTAAAAAAGAATGCAGCTATGATCTGTCCGTACCCTGTTAAGATGACTTTAACGTCAATTTCCATCAAGGGACCCTAGTTGTGCCAAAATCCAAATTTTCCAATTTCAGTTATCACCGCAGATGACAATGTTGACATAAATGGCAGCCATTTTGTTTTTCTTCTTCTTTTTAGATTACTGAAAAATAGCATGCTATAAAGGCTATCCGGCTACATATTGTACAGGGTGATCGTTTCTACATTTGATTTATCTCATGGAGCACACAGAAGGAAATTCCTGATGTTTAAATTCTGAGAACATGAAAGTTTCACTAAAGAAACAAAAAATATGTGTACTGGTTATCAATGAAGAAAAGAATGTAATGCAATAACTGAAATAAATAAATAAATAAATAATTTATTCATGTGTCTTGGGTAACATATAATATATTCTTTGGATCCAAAAATATTTATGGAAATATATATATATCTACTTTTTTCAACACGCTTATATATTAGTTTATTGGTATTTTATGTATGTTTGCATGAGGTTTTGATGGGTTTAGGTTGTATATATATGTAACGCGGAATTTACGAACGTAATTTTGACCCACCACAAAAAATCGAATTGAATTTATTAAACGTTTTATTCGTACACTTATCAAGATCCGGCGACAATAGCATGGTTTGATGTTTTTGTCCCATTATCCTGATCGGGCGATCAAGATCATCAGGATGAGAGATTTTTTTTCTAGAATAAAATATGGTGAATGAAGTTCCTTCACCAAAAATTCAAAATATGTTCCTTCGCCAAAATTACAAATAAACGTTTTTTCTCCGAATTAATTATTTACCATGTTTTCACTTTTATATATCGCCAGAGGCTCGGCAGTGTCATCTGTACACCAAACTCGTGTGAATATAGTTATACATCCATCAGGAAGACGAGTGTTTTTGACCCACTTCAAAACGTCGAATTAAATTGTAACTTATTCGTACACTTATCAAGGACCCATATTTGACATGATAAAAGCAGGATCTTCAGAATGAGCGATTTTTATATACATTCAGAGACTCGACACTCTCTTGCACTGGCACCAAAGTATATAATCGTATATGATATAATATAAAATATAGTTACGTCCAGAGAGACGGTATATATATATAGTCGTGTCTTGCACCAAGTACTCGTATGAATAATAAAAATGTATTCTTGACAGGGAGTCTGATAAACGGTTTCACATAATCCAAGGATCGAAGGCAACATCAGGTGCGCAAATTCCCCACTTTCACTGCAAGGCGGTCCTCCAAACACCTACCTCGCCTCTTCCTTTATCCTTCCTAGGTAATACGCACGATATATGTTCCACGATAACATTATAGGAATCCCCTTTAGTGCGCTCCAAGTGATAAACAAAGGTATGAGTTGATTATTTGATGATTGATATTGATATCGGGAAAATCAATATAGCTGGTTTCCATGGCTACCTTTGAGAGGTCGGCCGGTAGCGATTCGTGATTGTCCCACAGCGCCGCATCTGAATGACATCCGACACGAATAGCTAGCCAGAAATGGAAAACATTTTCAGATTCAAAAAGGTAATCTATTAATTGAAGTACTTTCCTACCTTTATTGTCGATAGCACTTAAGCTAAGTAGGCCATTTAAATGTTCTTCGATGTGCCAGAGAGCCTCTTTCCTTAAACGGCAGCCGTTTGTTTAACTTTAGCTCGACGCTTGATATTACGTATGTTTTATTTGTCTGAGATTTAGGCGCAATTTTCAGTGGGCCGGTTTATTGTGAATATACTTGTAAGTGATGTTTTTTCTCGTGGGATCTCAAATAAATACCTATACTGGTGTCCAGTCCAGTTTTACAAAAATTGCCGGACGATTTTTGTGTACAATTCAGAATATAGGCCCCATTGAATTTTTGATTTCCTAAGATTGACAAAATATATTAAATTGTATTGTGTTCAAGAGTATGGTATACCCGGAACAATTGAATTTGGACCAAATTAGCAGCAAAACCGCACAAATTGCATCTTGGTGTAGTGAACCCCTAGAGGAAAATAGCAATAACATACACGTGAACGAAACGTTGAAAAATAATATAGACAATATAGACGAGAGTGATGAAACCAGCAGATCTTCTGATGGAGACGATAGTGTTTTTGCAAATTCAAATATCAGTATCAATGATGAAGCAACGTGAGTATTGAAAAATATAAATAATTGGCTTAGCTTCATTTTCTTCTACCGAGCTTTATTAATAACTTATATAGTAGGTACCCAACTTTTTCGAAGAATTACGAACCTTTTTTTTAAATTGACTCGACCGTAATTACTTTTATATACTACTACTACTAATATTTAGAAAATTCTCCCTCGCCTTAGACTCGGGAAAATGAGAGTGGTGCAAAAAGTTGAATCTCAATAAAATCTCAAAATATATGTATAGGCCTGTTCGTTTGTGTTTGGTCTACCTGCTGAACTTGATTTTTTTTATGACTTTCTCTGTTTACATCATTCCATGAACAGACAACTATAGAAAAAATCAACTTTCGCAAGTTCAGCAATAAAATCGAAATTGAAGTATCTATATAGTTTGTAGATTACAATTATTATTAAATCAATCGTTGGACGTATATGTTTATGTGAGAAGACGAAAAAAATGCGTCAGGGCTTGATATAGATCGGAATTTTAGGACAGCAAACAGTCAGTTCATTCAAGACCGTATACGACACCTGGTGGATGCATTTTCAACCAGAGCTCAAGCCGCCAGAGAAAGAATAATTGAAACTCCTGCTACACCATCTTCTATAAGCAGCAGAGAAACTATTGAGCATCATCAGACTGTGATCTCCATGAAACCGAAGCTCAGTATCTCGTTTTCTGATAAATATACAGAAGACTTACCCGATATTTCTGCAAAAAACAAGGGTTTCTTCAATAATCTAGGTGAAATCATACAATATAGCACTTATAGTAAACTTTACTAATGATTTTTGTATTTAGAAAATTCTATCGTGGATCCTAATAGTAAACTCTACCTGATCTGGATGTGTATTACGGCTATGTCTGTCCTGTATAACGCTTGGGTGATACCCCTGAGGAACAGTTTTCCATACCAGACGAAAGAAAACAGACCAATCTGGATGACGTTTGACTACTTAGCCGATTTGATTTACTTGATCGATACGATACTCATCCAACCGCGAGTCAAATATTTGAACGAAGGGTTTTGGGTTACAGACACGAAAATATTGAGAGCCACTTATATGAAGAGCAAACGTTTCAAAGTTAGTGGATTATCTTTATCATTTTCATTCAAAGATTTCAACAAAAAAACCTGCACGTTTTATATGATGGATTTATGAAAAAGAAAAATGAACAATTCCTATAATTATTTAATGAATGAATGAGCATAAAATGAAGACATCGAAGTTATTGTATGTATTTTTTAGTTGGACGTGTTATCTCTGTTACCTCTGGACTTTTTGTACGTGATTTGGGGCCCAGAGTGCGTGATTCTTCGGTTCCCGCGTTTTTTGAAAACTCACACATTCTGGGAGTTCTTCAGCTTCGTGGACAAGCTGCTATCCAATCCATATGTCATCAGAATATCTAGAACGTTGATGTACATGATGTACCTGATCCATCTGAACGCATGCGCGTACTATTCTTTTTCCTCTTGGGAAGGCATCGGCAGCAATAATTTCGTTTTCAATGGCAAAGGAAACGCTTACATAAAGTGCTTTTACTTTGCTACCAAAACGGCAACGTCAATAGGTGAGAAAAATAATCATCCGACCCTGTATACTAATTATATTTTAATGTTGAAGTCACCCTGTACGTTATAAATTTTCCTATACTTACTCAGTATTCTTAGAGTCAAATAATACCATCCAGTGACTCTTAGTATTCTAGAGGCATAACGCAGGAAAACGCTCTGAAATAACTGAATTTTTCGAAAAGTTATACGGGTAGCGGTCAATATATTTCATCCCGTCGTAGGCAAAAATCCGAAACCCACTCAGGAAATCGAATACATGTTCATGACGTTCTCTTGGCTGATGGGTGTGTTCGTGTTCGCCCTTCTGATTGGCCAGATTCGCGACATCATCTCCACAGCTACTAGATCCAAAACCGAGTACAGGAAGCTTGTTGACGAAACGTTGGAGTATATGAGGAGGCTGAATATGCCACAGGATATGCAGAGGAGGGTCCAGCTGTGGTTCAATTATACTTGGGAAACTCAGCGTACTTTGGGTATGTATTTTTCATGATATTATTTTGGGTTTATACCTGAGGATGCTTATTTTCAGATGAAAACACTATTATGGACTGTTTGCCGCATAAAATGAAAACCGATATAGCTATAAATGTGCACATACAAACTCTGAACAAGGTTACACTGTTTGCAGACTGTGATGAGGCTCTTTTGAGAGAATTGGTGCTTCAACTAAGATCGGTTATCTACTTACCAGGAGATATAATTTGTAAAAAAGGTGATGTAGGGAAAGAAATGTATATTGTCAAATCCGGTAAAGTTCAGGTTTGTATCGTAACGTGGGCGTCGGCGTATGTATTTTATTTTGAATACATTAATATGATTGTGTTCCAGGTGATAGGAACAGCTGAAAACGAGGTTCTAGCTACTCTCTCAGAAGGCTCAGTTTTTGGTGAGATCAGCCTTTTAGGAATACCAGGAATGAACAGAAGAACGGCAGACGTGAGGTACTGAACAATTCTATATACGACTACTCGATAGATTTTGTGACTATATACAGTTTTACCGGTCGCGTTTGATAATATGTTTGTTTTAGGTCTCACGGCTACTCAAATTTGTTCGTTTTGAGTAAAGCCGATCTGAACGCTGCATTATCTCATTATCCGGAAGCTCAAGAATTGCTCAATAAAAAAGCGAAATCGCTCATGAAGAAAAACGCTGCTCTAGAAAGAAAACACAAAGCAATGATTGTCATCAATAATCCAAAATCACCTGCAAAACAGGCCAAACTATTAGACACAGTTTTGAAGGTTCAGTAAATCCATCATTTAGAAGGAATTTCATTGATTACGATTCATTATTGTAGGTTCTACCCCCTCAGTCAAGGTCAAATAGACTTTTGAGATACGGCAGCAGAGGAAAACCTATTACTAATCCAGAATACGACAAGTTGAAATATAGAAATAGTTTACCAATAATACAAACTAACAATGAGAATAAAGAGGATGAAAAGAGATTTCAAGCCAAAGTTACTGTACATAGAAGTATGAGCTGAGAATTTTAGTAATTGAAATGATGGAATTTGATAAGGTGCTTACTTGTTATAGATCCTTTATTATTTTGTTGAACATTTTACAAGATGTGTGATAATGTGGTATAGATTCCAAGAAATAAAAATATTTTTTAATTAGCCATTGGTCATTCATTTACGTACGCCATTTTTGCTTGATGATATCTGGGGCAGTCACATCGTATCTCAATATATCGGCAGCTTCTTCTAAATAAATCAAACGATCATCACCAACCTACAAAGAAGCATTGCATGGAATGATTTTGTAGTTGTGTAAAAAACATAATCTTACTTCGTCGTTGTTGTTTTTTCTTTGTAGGATTTCTTCAAGACATTGAAAAACTTCATACAATAGCAACCCTCGCATTTTACATTGTCCCATGTTGAGCTTCTTCAATAATTTCAATAAATCTTCACAATACTCTCTTTTCAATTCCAATAATTCGGTAGACATGTCTAAAAAATGGCTAATAATAGGTACCCAACGAGTTGTTTATACCCACTCTTTTTCTTTATCACCTTTCCAGGAATATTTCTCCTGGTACCCTAAAATCCATATAATTTTATATTTGATTTCGACGACTACTTGACTGAATTTCGGCACGAGGGTCGCCAACTTTCCTTTCAAAAAAGAGTCCATAAGCTCGAAATCGCCATCATCGAAACACTTCAAAACAGAACCGATCAGTGAAAACACTCTAGCGACGTCTTTCAGTGGAACAATTTCATTGCAATCCTCGCATTTCCAGGCGCAACTTTTCAGAGGGTTGGTCGGTATCAAATTTCCTCGACAGTTTTTACACAGGATGGAACTCATATAAGTACCGAATTCCGTTGGATCCAAACATCTATAAAAACAATAATAAGTGCCTCTATGATAATTATAATCAAACAAACAGTCAACTACCTTTTGCATTTGCAGACAAAATGTTTAGTTTTCTTTAAATGCATACTTCTAGTGGCAGTTCCCCATATAACTCTGGAATAAGAATCGAATATTTCTGAATCTTTTTCGATAAAAACCGAAGCTCTGGTCACCATTCTCCGTTCATCGTCGAACACATGGAAAGCGTTTGGAAAACAACTGTGATTAGCCAAACTGCCCAGAGGATATAACCCTGAAATAGAGGCCCTCTCAAAGACTTTTCTTCTTAGGAGTCTTTCCATTCAAACTTACCTCTTAAACTTGTTTGGGCTTGTTTGTTCACCACAATTACTTCAAAAGCATTGGCATCCAATACAGAACACACGAATCTCATGAAATTCTGATCATCTTTGGGAATTTTGAAATGCAATTCGTCTGTCAGAATGTCGATTTCATGGCCGTGTTGATTGCCCCAATGGTTCTTCAGGTTTTTCACGACTTCTTTGTCCTCTTCGCTCAAAAGAAGGGATCTCAAGGGTGCTAGGCATTTGATCATAGCTGTTGATTTTTCAACCAAATCTAGATCGGTTTTGAGACTCAGGATTAGGCTACATTCACCCTGGTGTTTTCCCTCATTGTCACAGCTTGGGCATAACAACAGACCGCATTTTTTCTCGCAGATCTTCACATCTGATTTTCTGAATCATGTACAGAGAACAATCTAGTTTGAATGGTTAAGTTCTTTCGAATTTTGAATCGACAGTCTTATATACAGGGTGATTCTAAAGTAAGTGGCATCCTTTCAGGGGCGTTTTCCTTACATAAAAATGAAGTAAAAAGTTACTATTATTAAGGGTCCGAAACTGGGGACCTTTGAATAGGACACCTCAAAGACGCTTTTTTCACTATAACTTTTAAATCCTTCACAATAAATCTTCAAAAATTGGTGTACGGCATAAACATTTGATGGTAAATTAGACTCTGAATTCAAAATTGCAACATTTTATTCAGGGGGTCACATGCGGGGAAGGGTAAGCGTAAAAACATCCCTCCTTCTTTTGATATTCAGGTTATTGTGATTTCATTTAAAAATTATAAAATTCTAGAGTTTTTCACGTAAAAAAGGTTCTCCTAGTTCATTTTGATAGAGCCTACCATTTAGGAGAAAATCGACTTTGAAAACTTTCTGATTTGCGTAAATCACTATAGCTTGAATATCAAAAGAAAAAGGGATGTTTTTACACTTACCCTTCCCCGCATGTGAAGCCGCTGAAAAAAATTTTGAAATTTTGAATTCAGAGTCTTATTTACCATCGAATGTTTATGCCGCACACCAATTTTCGAAAATTTATTGTGAAGGATTTTAAAGTTATAGAGAAAAAAATCGTCTTTGAGGTGTCATATTCGAAGGGGCGTAGCTCCCTTGGGAAGTATTTTCGGACCCTTATTAATGCAATTGTTTGCCTTATTTTTATGCAGGGAATACGCCTCTGGAATGATGCCGCTTACTTTTGAATCACCCTGTGTAGGAATACTTACGAGAAACATTGGAGACAACATTCTAAAGGAACATTCAAACACCTCGGGCCCAAAATGACTGGCAAATCCCTGAAAATTAGATCGCCAGCTTCAATATTTCTTTTCGCAAAAACCCCAAAGCCGCCTAAGGGAGAACTTCTTATTTGCCAAGGGCAGTTTTCAACGAAAAGATGATTTCTTATCATGTACTGCTCAATAACTGTGGCCAGATGGTCTACAGTTCTCTTATCAGTCATACTGGAGTGATTTTCTGTTCATTTAAACTTCGAACTTTCGCTTATGGATTGAAGAGCAGTGCGTTTTCTTCGACATTTAGTCAACCTGTATAATAAATCATATTCAGGTAAATTTGATTCAAATACGACAAGACATTTTTCAAAAAATAAACTGAAAACTAACGATGCATTCAATGATAAACATCAGCTTGTTAAAATTGACGAAACAGTTCATAAACAAGCAAATAATGAAAGTTTCCCAGCTTTCTTACCTTTTCCATGTTAAATCTACCGCACAATCCAATTCAGTCTAGCTTGGTAAGTAACTTTTGCATGTCTCTTCACTCAGTATCTTATCAATGCGCTTTTTAATCGACTAAATGCAGTTCTTGATCTATTTTTAACTTCAATCAAAATAAACATTTAATTAGAGTAGAGGAGGAGGGTCTTAAGGTATGCCAAAATTTTTCGTTCAGAACTACTCTATAGATCAACTGACCTATTAGTATTTTTAGAGGACATACTCTGTGCTTTATTTTCTCGTTATAATTTCTTTCCTCTCACGCATACGCGCGTATACAGGGTGTCCCGAAATGAGCCTGAAAAACTTCAATAGCGGCTTCTAAGACCAAAAATAGGAAGAAGAGTTTTAACGAATATGAGTCAAAAAATATACCTCAGGGTAGCTACGGCCTCCTGAAAGGGGGGCGCTTAAAGATGATATTTCTTGAATATTTCTGAAACACCAAATGAGATAAAATGATCCGATTCGGTACAAGAACCAACATTTCTATGCCCAATGCGGTGAAAATAAAATTCCAACATTTCATTCAGGAATGTGAAATACTGCATTGAATATTGCTCAAACTTATTTGTATGCATATTTTTGGACAATTTTATCTCGGATTATGTAAATACACACCTCTTTACAGAAAAAAGGTGCACTTGTTTCGTATCTATGAGATATGTATCATTTACGAGTAAAATCGATTTGAAAATATTGTTACATTCTCACATATTATTAGGCAGAACATAACAATAAATCGAAGTTGGAAAAAATGCATTAAAAAATGGAGTAGTTTTCCTATTTGACGCGCCTCTATGAAATTATTTGGTCAAAAGTAGTAGTTTTGCTATTATTTGAGATGTAACAATATTTTTAAATCAATTTCACTCGAAAATGTAAAGAGGTGTAAATTTTCATAATCCGAGATCAAATTGTCGGAAAAGATGCATTTAAAAAGCTTGATTAATATTTTATGTACTCCCCTGTATTATACACTTTTGAATGAGATTTTGGAATGATTTTATGTTCACTGCATAGGGCATAGAAAGTTTAGTTCTTGTACCGAATTGCATCGTCTTATCACATGGCGTTTCGGAAAAATTCTAGAAATATCATCTTCAGCAGTCACCTTGAAGTAGGCCCTAGCCGTCTTGCTCCCCTAGGAGACACTTTTCGACTCGAGTTCACTGGAATTTTTCTTTTTATTTTTGGTCGTAGAAGCCGCTGGTGGAGTTTGGCAGGCTAATTTCGATACACCCTTATATTTTTTTGAGAAATACTTGGTGCATGTATCGGCAACGGTGCGAGAAAAGTAGAACACCCTGAATAGAGGTTTCAGACTTGCGGTAGTTAATTTCAGGTTGGTACAAAAAACCTTATCGACAATAATGATGAAAAACACCGCGAGCAAAAATGTTGAATGTTGCAAGGTCAAATTTCAATTCTCTTAAACTTTTCTCATCACTCAAATTAAAACTAATCAAGATTGAACAGTTTCAATAATAAGGATTATTTTTTATATTAACAAAAAGCGTAGTGGTTGTTCATAAAAAGAAATGTATTTGGATGCATCAAAAACATTTTAACGTACAATAAATAGATTTTGTAACATTCAATCAACTTCACCTAATGATTTTATCAAAAATATACATTTGGAATGCGATACTATAAAATAATCGACGAATATAATTCAATAATATGCTCAATCATAGGCGTACCAAAAAATAATTTCGTAACCATGAAATCAATAAATGAGTTTAGAAAAGACATGGTCTTGTAAAACTGATGGAAAATACGATCACCGCTAGTTTTTCTTATTATTTCAATGCTAAGGGAGCTATAACGACAATATAATTTCACACAACAGTTCCCTCTAGTGGAACATCGGTAAAACTATATAACTAAACAACAACATGGTACCGGCTGAGAGAAGAGCTGCTATCGGAACCGTTATCAACCAAGCCGATATGATGTTCCTAGGAAAATAGAAAACAGTCATTCAGGTTTTCAAGCTCTAAAAAATGAAAATTAGTGAATACCTGAATAAACTCCAGTCGACGCCTTTTTTTGATGAGCTGAAATATCCGACGAAAACAACAGAGCCGACTTTACAGTGCGTTGTAGAAATCGGTATTCCTATTTTGCTTGCTAGCAATACTGTGAAAGCTGACCCTATTTCAATGGTGAAACCTCTGAAAAAAAATTACCAATATCAAAATAACCCCTAATGAAATTTGGATAAGCTAAAAATTGATTTTTGATGGGTCTAATTTACTCAGAAATGGCGCTACAATCTCGGTAGGTTCGTTTATAAAGTTTTTTCTTATATAAGGTTTCCATTTGAGAACTCAAGACTTCAGAAATCCGCAATATATAGGGTGTGCAGAGATAAAACCGACAAAACCTATGGGGTTATAGGGCCTGCCAATATGATTGCAAAATGCCATATACAAATGTACAGAACCGCTCAACATCAGTTTTAATTCTCATGGAATTTCTGATATGTGATATTCAGTTGCAGATCCGAGAAGCAAAGTGTTTGATACTTGTCAATAAATTGGAGAAAACAATCCAGTCAAGACGGACCGAACAGAAAATCCGCCGAGAGAACTGACCAGAGTATACTTTTAAGAATTCTGATCCTTATGGAAGGCGATATATTGAATTCCTTTCCAGATTCTCAAGCAAACAAATAGACAGATATTCACCTTTATGTCTCTATGGAAACACGACAGGTACCCTTACGAGGGGAGAGTAGCAAAGTAGCCTTCTGAACGTAACCAATATCAGGACCGGAATATAACTTCTCTCCGATGTTGAGTTATTGTGAGAATAACTCAACCTGTATAATGATTACAAAAAATCTGATGACATATTATGAATCTACGGATCAGATAAAATGTCAGCAAAAATACCAAGACATAATTGTTGTTATTGTCTTGGATTGCCACATAGTGATATTTTTATAGATTACTCTCATAATAAGCTGAAAAACTGAAGAATAAATTCGTATCTGGGATGGAATAAGTGTTATTTGTGTTAGTAGGTATAACTGACCTAGTATACCAATCATCATTTATCTGATCCTAGATTCGGAATAACTGAAAAAATCATATTGGAACTTGTATTGGAATATACTAGTAAAAGTTTCCATTCCCGAATATTGTGTGCATGTTACAATAATAAATCTTACGTGGATGGAGTGATGGTGGTTAAATCTTCCCCTATGGTTTCTATGACCCTTCTGCCCCACAGCCACAGTCCTACGGAAATGCCGAGCCCCCCGTATAACAAAATAAATAGGGGGGTTTCGGCCTTCTGCTGAACGGTTCCTTCAGAATAAATGAGCCACAAGGTGATGAGGGGTCCGATAGCATTACTGAAATATAAAAAACAATATAATACATATAATAAGGTGATTACATTACAAAAAACTGAATATATTTAGAGCGTTTTATGGGACATATTAGATTCCCAGACAGCACTGGATATTCATAGAATATTCTCTAAATATGCTAAAAAGGAGGAGTATATTCCGAATATTCATCGATTATTCCTAGAATATATACATGCCACTGAAACATCTAAAAGGAATATTCCAAAGTGAATAGTCGGATATGTTCAGGGAATATTCAGGTATGAATCTTCCAGGAATATTCCCAACTGAATATTCTCTGTTGTATATTCATGAAATATACCCAACTGAATATTCTGTGCGGTATATTCATGAAATATACCCAACTGAATATTCTGTGCGGTATATTCATGAAATATTCTCAACTGAATATTCGGTGGTGAATATTCATGAAATATTCCATGAATATTCCTTTGTTTCTCAACACATAAATACCATTTATTATTTCAGAGATATGATTATCGAACATCAATTAGATGTAAGGGGATTTTGAAACAAAAAGTGTTTATGATCCGATTTCGAACAATGCTCTCACAAGAACTTGATATGTATAACATTATTCAATCTGATTACTGGCCTAGTGGTCAAGGCGTTGCTCTGATAGTCTTGAGGTCACGAGTTCGATCCCTACTTGGGTAACTTTTTTTAATTTCAGAATATGTTTATTGGTATATTCCAGGAACATTCAACATAGAATATTCTTTTGGGTATATTCTATGATTATCTGAGGAATTCCCATTCGCATATTTAGAGAATATTCCACAGATATTCCGGAATATTCCAGATTATTTCTAGAATATTCCAATATTCCAAAAGGAATATGATAGGGAGATTCATGGAATATCTGGTGCTGTCTGGGTTATGTACCCCTATTTTTCCAAAGCTATATGTTAGCATCCAGCAACTAGATGTGCTACTGCTCAGTGGAATGTGCTTAGATCAGAGCCTATGACAGACGTGTGTGAAGACTGGCTCATACAGTGTTCGGCAGGCAGCCGAGTTAAGAGCAAGTGTAACCCTTGTCCATGTCATTTGTGCTCGTGTTTATTGAATTATGACCATAATATAACACTATCATAAAAAGGAGCTATAGGTCAGTGAGTCTTTCCATTCAAACTGCCTTTCTCGGCTACCTTCCATTGAAAATTACTACTATGTCAAAATTTTATGCAGTGGCGTCAGTAAAGAGTGCCATAATACAATTATCGTATATTTGGGTTCCTTTTTTTGTACACTACTCACACTTAATTGGTTCTTGAACTCATCAGCATATATGTATACAGTTTATTTTTTTACTCTATTATTTTTAGAATTTTGAGACATAGTATTATGGAAACAGATTGATATAATTTTTCCGTTTTTCAACTCGAACTCCAACCCTTGTAATAAAAATTATAATTCTTTTGATACAATAAATGATATATATATCTATCTATCTATATTTGAGTTGCTCTTCCACTCTTCCAGAATTCATAATAAATCCTGAAAAAATATAATCAGAAAAAGAGAAAAAGAGTGAAATACATAGTTTCGAAAGTAACTGAATCACCCTGGGAAAAATTGCAACAAATCATATGATTCAATGAAAAAAAGTACTTCTTTATCAACTTCAACGAGTTTTACTATCGATTTCTGCGATAAATACCTGGAACACCCTGTATGATATGGATAGCCAGTGTGGAATACAACCACGAACCGGTATATGTTATATATTTGGATTTCCCGGGATCTTTTCATAGTTGCATGACAAAAATAAAATATAGTCTAAACATGAGACCTCAAATAGAGTGAATCATTTATGATTTAATTTCCGATCGAATTACTGATAATATCATTGAATATTAATGAAAACTTGATAAATATATCAATATTTTTAGCATACGGGACGGAAACACAGACATATAAACACGGGAAAGCAAAGTAACCTACCTGACGTCATTTCCGCCATGAGCAAAACTTCCAAACATGGCGGTCAGGGCTTGCAAGAAACTAAAAAGCTTCGATACGCTTTTATTTTCCACATCTAAATCAGGATTATTTTCCAAGCGGGCAACGAAATCGCCATGACCTGAAAATGCAAAAAAAATGCGTTACTGAATACCAACAGTACCAGGCACGATCACAAATTATCGTTCCACACAACCCACTATCCGCAGCTACACAATCTGCGACCTCAATTCCGCGCGAGTCATTATATCCGCGACATTCAATATCGAAATTTGTAATACAATAAATAGAATTGAGTACAAAAACCACTCTAATTGATACAGTGAAGTTTTGATACTGACAAATACAACTGAAAAAGCAGTACAATAATTATTAACAATACATACCAAACCTCCCTCACCTTTCTCAGACAAAATGAAAGGAGCGAATCCTCTCTGAATTTTGTATAATATGTTACAGATATAATGGGTCTGTATACATGCACTAGTCGAATTTATATTGATCATTTAAATCATCGCAAATATATTTTTTTCAATAATGAAATTCGACACCCTCGAAAAAGCCAGCTTGGATGACGTCATGAACCGAACCGAAAGCCATCGTCATCTGAATTCTGGCTTTCGCATGAAAAATAGGACCACATATTTCGACGCTGGCAAATTTGTAATTAGTAATAATTACCATATGAGGTTCCATATGACAAATTAAAACAGTATTCACATCCACAGAAGACAATAATAGTTCGACCTGGTTCCTAATAATCACTTATTGAATACTTATATACTCGCCAGATGCTTCAGTACCAATGAAAATAGACTAGTATTCCTAATAATGATCGAGATTTTACTTAAATCCAAATTATTTCGTAGCAGCAGTGAAGAAGAAGGCGAACTACATTGCCAACCAAACTTCTTTAACTTCAATATCGTCTGTCACCTTCATTTTCAAATCCTTGTTTCATCTCATGATTTGAATATTCAAAGATATTCCTCTTATCATCTGATTCTTCAGTTGTGTGTTGTGTTCTCTGTTATCTGCAGTAAGTATTCAGTCAAGAAAATTCACTAGAGTCTAGGGCGAGCTTCTTCTGACGAGGCGAACTTTTTTCATATTTTCATTGAAATGACAATCAGAAATATTATTGCCTTTGTCTTACCAGATAAGGAGAATATACGTATGTCGAATTTTTTTCGAATGAATACGTCATGCGTTTTCCCGCGTTTTTATGATACGAATTATCGTGAGTTACAATAATTATTCAAAAAATGTACAGAGCTCTGGGGAAAAAACGGTAGGCGACAGTGAAACTTAGGGTTAGTACTTCGAAATAATGAAATAAAATGTTTCACTATTACACGGATGTAATGTCGCGCAGATACGAAGTCGCGGATATAATGACCATGGATCAAGCAACATGTTACCGTTCCGCATATACGAGGATAGTTCCATATATTCACATACCTTGTTCGCTGCGGTTGTTGAAACTCTTATTCATGATGAGCGGCACTCCGCTAGAGCTCGGAGACAGCGCGGGGTTTATGTCGGCCGTACTATCGACGAGTTTCAGCTCCGATGGTCTCACGTGCTTGCGACCGACATCAGTCTCTCTGGTGGCGGGAATGCGTTTGTCTTTGGTTTGTACCGGGAAAATGTACTTTGCGGCCGTGATTCGGTTCTGATCGAGAGATTGGAGTTCCGTGCTCTCCGAGATGACCGTTAATTGACGTTCCAATAGAGCTGAGTTGCGGTTTGATTTGCGATTAGGGCTTCCCTCAGGTGACGTATCTGGAAATCCGTATAGTACATACAATTGTCTGCTGAATATGGAGAAAAAATTCTGGGGGGCTGTAGTATCTGGTCTGCTCAAACAAGGAAAATCACCTACAGGTTTCTGTGGCCGATACAGTAGTGCCGCCATACGGTCAACTCGAGGAAACACTTATTTCAACTGTTTTCCTGTCCAACCTACATAACCTTGAAAATCGTAAACGAGTTGAGCAGCTCCCTCAGCGGTGCTCTCGGCAGTCTCGGCCGGCGGCGTAGTTTGTTCAGTGAGTAAGAGTTTCAGTATCACGACATAGTCACTCAGTAACTCAAAAATTGAAAAAATCATTCCTTCTCAAAATAGTTGTTTCAGACACTACAATAATTATAGTCCCCAATTTAAGTAGTATCGATTATTAGCTTTTAATCAGGGCTCTGATTATCTTACTTGTAAAGAGTCTGTCAGACTCAATATCGAATGTATCCACTTATGTCGCAAAGAAATATCACTTGGTAATCCATGGATGGAGACGGTTTCACACTTTCTGGTAGGTCCAATTGAGAGACAGAGTTTGTAACAAATTATCAATCAGAATAAATTACTTTTAATACTGGGAGCACAACATTTATAAACGAATGTAATATTAGAACAATAGGAATTGAAGTAGAAAGATTTGTTTTAGAAAAATATACAATACAAGTCACGATGGCACGACAGCTCTCGACATTGACAACTTACATAACCACATATTTGGGAAATTTTTACGGTAACGTCCTCTGGTGGTCATACATTCAACTGAGCTATAGAGCAGACCAGTAGTTACAGCTCATTAGATTCTTTCTCCATATTTAGCAGACAATGGCACATACAAGCTCGAAATACTCTTCAATAATATACAGGGAGTCCCTGTACAAAATCTTGGCACATATTATTCCAGATGTCAAAATTAGCCAATTTGAAGCAACTTACCTCATTCCGAAATTACTCCTTTCCCGAGATACTGATGGTTGCATGGATGAGTTGAATAATAAAATTCGACAAGCACACTCCAAAAAGGTATTTTGATACAACAATTTCTGCACTGCTAATTCATTGACCAACTTACATCTACGACGATAACAGCAAACATTTTTTATTCGGAATAATTTAAACATTCCGATACGTACGGCTTACGACTTTAGCGGATTTTCACAGTAGTGGCTTTTTATCTTGAAAATGTTCTAAAGAAAAATGTGAAAAACTACACTAAGAAAAAAGTTATTGCCATTCTAAACCATAGGAAATGCATTGGTAAGCGCCCTCTAATGGCCACAGTGAAGTGTCTGTATTCGGTTCCCGCATCTAAAAAAACCGGCTACAAATTTTTGAAGTAGTAAGTTAAAAAATATTCATGAATTCTGAAAAATTCGATATTTATTTTTCAACTTTACCACCCTGTTTCTCGGAAACGCAGCAATTTCCGACTGAGGTAAGTTGCTTTAAATCGGCTCAGTTTGAAGGCAATATGGTTAAAACGTCAAATCATTTCATTGCTATCAAAACAAAAGCTGGCTATTAGTCTCTTCAAGGAGTTTATTTGCTTCTCATGAGTGGGAATGGAAGAGATTATCTGATCAATCTGATCAATAGCTAAACAGCATAAAAACTAACGTCACCATTTATTCGCCGTATCGCCAAATGGCGGCCATGACGGTTTGTTTGAAATGAGCTCCGAAATTCAACGATTTTGAACAACGCAATAATGAGTCTTTATTTACATAAAAAAAGCGTGAGAAGTGTTGCAAAAATTAATCTAGGTCCCTATGGACACAGTGGAGTAACTGAATGTCAATAAGTCATTCTGTTCACTCGCCCATTCAAAATATTATACAGTGAGAACGTAAAAAGTCCTCCCTCCTCTTTTTCACCTTTGAACGGAACGAGCTAGCGAGGTCGAGTAAAATTCAGGCAAAAATGTACCTCTTTCACTACTATTTAGCATAAAAATGGTTGTGGTCACGTGACCTAGTGTCAAGTGGGCACCATCAACTTTTTTTTCAAATATCAAGAGGGGTCACATGATACCTTGTTTTGAAGGCCTTTCATTTCTCTATCCAACACCGCTTCATTTGTACAATTCGGGCAAGCCGTTTCAAAATGACAAACGTTCGGAATATTTGCGTCAAATATTTATATTAATGAATAAAAAACTTAGATAACTTTTGATTGCAACAGAATTTCAAGTAGGAATTGTAATAAGTGCTCAAACATGCTCGAAATGTTCATCGTTTACTTATTGACACGAAAAAATCGGTTTTGGGATTCAATCCGAACGTGATTAACTGTTTCCGAGGTACATTTCAAACGCTTGTCTTTTGAAACGGCTTGACCGATTTGCACAAACAAAGCGGAGTTGGATAGAGAATCGAAAGGCCTTCAAAACAACGTACCATGTGACACGTGACCCCTCTTCATATATGAAAAAAAAGTTGATGGTGCCCACTTGACACTAGCTCACGTGACCAAAACCATTTTTAAGCAAAATCCTTCAAATAGTAGTGAAAGAGGTACCTTTTTGCCTGAATTTTCCCGACCTCGCTAGCTTGTTCCGTTCAAAGTTTAAAGGGGGGGAAGGACTTTTTACGTCCTCACTGTATTGATTCAGTTTAAAGGAGTCTGTCAAAATCAGATGATATGAAAGAATTTTAGAGTGGTATGCCTCGCTATATACCTGCTGATTCGCCTATGTTGAAATTGACTGGAAGTTTGTCGGCTATTGTCTGTTCCTTGATAATCTTCCTCTGCCACGGCACCACAAACAACCATATAATAACCATAAAAAACAGCGCTATACTAATACTGATGGTGGCAGCCATCCATAATGGGATATTGTCCATATTCAGCAATTTCGGTCCGTCATGGATGATGGAAAAAACATTGATGAGAATCGTGAAGCTGTAGAAAATAGGCAACGAAATCAGACCGGCCTCTAACGGATCAGGCCTGCTGAGAACGCCCTTCTTTATGATCCAGAGTATGCAGCAGGAAGTGGCGCCGCTCAGCATGGGACTGATGAACCAGGAACCCACGATTTTCCCCAGGGTTTTCCAATGGACCCCTTCTGTCCCGCGCATCACCAAGCTGTACCCCACCGTGGCTCCGACTATACTGTGTGTTCCCGAAATCGGTAGCTTGAAAAACGTGGCGACCAGCAACCAGGTGGCGCTGGCAGCCAAAGCGCTTATGGAACCGAGCATCAATTCCACTTCTGAGTCTTTGTATACGTCGATGTCCAGGATTCCCTTACGCATTGTATCGGAAACTTTGTAGCCTGCGAAAAAAATCGAAATAAACAACTTTATACAGGGTGTCCGGAAAGGTCAAGTCATAAATGATAGGGCAGGTAAAGTGAGACAAAATAATTTCAGTACTTCCTCCCTCTGAGAGCCCCACCATTTACGACATGACTGGACACCCTGTATATATCTTCACGAGTTAACGCAATCTATACATGGAGAACTATAGTAGCACGATTATGAAAATTCATGTGATCAGTGAAGGAAACATGGAGCCCTACGAATTTTCAGCTACTTTTAGTTCTCCATATATACGTATAGATCGCGTCAACTCATGAAGATATACCCTGCATTAATTGTTCTACCTATACTCAAATAAAACTCAAAAATATTAAAATATCCATAGGTGCGATAGCCTTCATCATACCAATTAAAATTGCTCCGGATATTTCAAAAACAGTTGCCAAACAGCAGGCCTGGAATATTGTCAGTACTTTCGATCCAACACTAGTACCGAAAGAATTTGCGACGTCGTTTGCACCAATTCCGAATGCTACAAAAAATACGGTGAAGTCGAATGAATAAAATAGGAGTTAGGTACTTCAACAACTTACCTAAAATAAAAGCAATGATAAAACCCAATACGACAAGCCATATCAATTCAGGAGAATATGGATTCAACATAATTTTGTTGTTTTGGAAAAGAAGTAACGAAAACTAGATGAATTATTGTATGGGTGAGTATGTTTTAATGGACTACCATTTTGGAATAGGAGTGCTGTTGGTTGGTATCTGAAAAATAATAATTTCATAAATATACAAGAGAAAATATTCATTTGGGAATATTCCTGGAAAATTCATATCTGATTATTCCCTGAACATATCCGACTATTCACTTTGGAATATTTTTTTTACATGTTCCAGAGGCATGTATATATTCTAGGAATAATCGATGAATATTCGGAATATACTCCTCCTTTTTAGCATATTTAGAGAATATTCTAGGAATATCCAGTGCTGTCTGGGAGGTTTCGTCAAGATAAACTTCTATTTTCCTAAGAAGTCTGTGTTTAAAGTTAAATGAAAATAACTGCAATAGCAAATAACTAATGACGAAAACCAACTATGAATTGGAAAATGTCAACCATCTGTATCTCGAAAACTAATTATATTTTGATAAACATTTTGAAGGAAAAAAGTAGTTTATTTTATTTTCGCAGATTTTGTAGTTCTCAGCAACTTCACTTAGCGCCCGAGGAGCTAATTAACATGCATTGATATAGACTTTTGAATACCTCGAAAACAATCACCTTCAACGTTGTTGAAGAAGTGTACCTTCTTTACTTGGAAAAGGTGTGGGAATAAGATTTTTTTTCATGAAAACTACCAAAATTTTACTGTCAAAAATATTAGGGCAATTTTAAATTAATAATGACAGCGCCCACTAGATTTTACATGAAAATTAACACGAGATAATGATTTCCCAGACTTCAAAAAACCACCGGGTACCAAATTTCGTGCAAATTACTAATTATTTGCAAACGTTATTTTCATAAAGCGAACAAATAAAAACAATTTCAACATTTTCGACACCTCTGCTGTATCTTCGAAACGACGCATTTCTTAAAATTGTCTCAGCAATACGTCACTTGAATATTTCAAAGTACTTATATGCTACATCTGTATACGTATAGACATAGATAAATGAAAATTTAGGCTTTGCTTTGCCGTAAATATTAGTACGTACTTGTTTAAAAAAATAATGATCGGACCCTCTATAGCTACAAAGAAACCCAATAAAACTGTTTTCTTTTTCAGTGTCGCAGAAAAAGTTTCGAACTTGGTATATAAACAATTTTGTGGTTTGATATTGGGAAATGATGAAAAATCAGCTGTATATAGGGGTTTAATTTAGGCCGTAGAGTGGATTCTATCAAATTATCGATTTCCGCAAGCAAAGCACGTGTAGGTAGTTGGATATATGGAAATCCTGTAAAATGTACTGTATATAAAGCATCGTACATTCATGCACAACAAACTAAATCTCGCTAAGCACATCTACAGCTAACTAAGGAACTTTTGATGGGTATTTACGTTTCAAAGACTTTTTTCAGCTTTTCCGGAAAATTTTACTAACGCCATATTAATATGATGGTAATTCGAGTGTGGCTCACAATCGACTTCCAAGTGCGCAAAATCGACGCCCCGCCGTGGAAAAAGGACAAAACCCTTTTTACCTGTTGGTTTGCGCAAGGGTTCAAATACGGGTGAATCTGAAACTGAGGTTTTTTATTTAACAGGGTCGGTATATCTCTCGCCAAAATAGGTTAATTGTTGGCCAAAAATTGTTTAGGTAAAAAATGTAAGAGGTACAGGTCGTTTTTTACGGTTTTGTACATTAGAAATCTAATATATAATTATTAGAGATGATATGAAAAAAAAAAATCATAAAAATTGTTCAAAATTATCTTGCGACTATCAGACCGGCAAATTAACAAGAATTTTTTGCGAAGTAGTTTTTTGGTTTACTTTAAAACGAAAATAAATAGGTTGAAAGTGTAGGAAGAGGTTTTTGATTAATTTTTCTGATTGAGTAAAATGCATGCACTTGAAGGGTATATATATCTAATGTCTAATGCTGAACTAATAAAAGGGCTCTTTTTGCGTTTTTTTGAGAAAATTCAAACAAAACGATTTATATAGTTGGAGTCTTCTTTAAACTTTCAAATACCTGTACCTCCGTTATCTTAAATATTTATATCAACAATTTTTTGCTATTTTCAATATATTCTCTATAAATAATACACTACTATCAACAAGCTTGTTATTATAATGATTAGATATATGTGATGCTGGCTCAGAGACATGTTTACTACCGATAAGACAAAATCAAAAATGGATTGAAAATTTGTGAATAGTATTAATTTGTTTGATGTCAACTCTTTATATAATCATAATTATTGATGGGAAACTCTGAATAGAATATATATATTATTTGGAAATATATTCATCTATAATCTGCCTAGATTTTAAAGATATGAGTGCAATGTACCAATTTTTTTTTTATCTTTCAATCTACAACACCCTGTAAATCTTGTTAGATGGTAATTGATGCAAATGGTGTCAGAATCAAAATACAAATCTATGGAAGGAAGTACATAGCTAGATGAAAAAGAAGAGGAAATAAATCTCAGGTTATGGTTGGTTGACGGAAGATTGGAGGTTAGGTTGGAAAAACTTGGAAGTTTCGGACTGCGGAGGACTCTGTACTTTTAAAACAGGAAAAGGTGCGGCGTTTTTTAAGATACCTGTGTAAGTAGACAGTATAAACTTTAGTTTTGTAGACAGATAATAATCTTTCGTTATCAATAGCAAAGGTTGAACAATGATGAGCAATGGTTAATAGGAATATTCAAAATAATAATACAGTTTCCGAAATACCAGGTACCTAACAAGATCTGTTTTTTTGTTGTTGATTAGATACTAGGAAAATAAGTAAATATACAAAAAAATGTCAGAACATGGCGAGGGAATTCGTAGAAGAACCAAGAGTGTAACAAGGGCAGAGGATATTCAGGCAGAAGAACAGAAAATCAGAAAAAAGCAGCCTGATAAACCGTGAGTTTTTTTTCAACTCACAAAAAACTCCAACTGGATTAAATAAGAGAGTTGATAAATGTTTTCTGTTACTAATTTTACTGGTTAATTCTTAATTTTTACTGTATATTTCCACCCTAACTAAAAATTGCAACATCCACTCCCTGCCTATATTAGAAATTTTGTGTATGCTTATTTCATAAATTATATGCTTGATATATTTTTTTCAGATGTCACAAACCTAGAGATTCTTTATTTTCCTGGAACTCTGGTTTCAATGACTTCACAGGTTTCATAAATTGGGCATTTCTGCTGCTCTCTATCGGAGGATTAAGACTTTTCTTAGAAAATTTTCTGAAGTAGGTATTAAACACATATATGATCAACTCTAAAATATGACAAAATCTTAAAATTTCAGGTATGGAATAAGAATTGACCCACTCCAATGGTTTTATATTCTCACAGGTCAAGATGACTCAGGTGATGAGCACCCGTCACTAGTTCTGATATTATGTAAGATCATTAGTACATATTAACAAGCATTTTTTCATATTCCTAAATATTGAGTTCATTGGGTGATGATTATTTAACCATAAGATACAAGTATTCCTAAAACTGCAATAATATTAGTAAATGATCCACTAACAACCAATAGAATCAGGTTGTCAGGTTTTGAAATTTTTGTATGCTCTTAATAATTGGGTCTTGAATATTTTATATTGATGGATTCTACAATTTTGTCCTTTTAGCCAAGTCAGTGAAAATCAGTTCTTATATGATTAAATAACCAATTTTTGTAGGGTATTAATAATAATTGTACAAAATATGTTAATCTTTTTTGTCATAGATTCATGTGTGCCTATTGTTTTGTGCCTTCTAACAGAAAAAGGATTGGCTGTGGTATGATTTTTATTTCCATGTATTGTTGCCTGAGCTATGTTCATAGAATATATTTTTTAGGAAATTGTACCTAACATGACTGGTATGACCATTCACATTATAAATTTATTGGTTCTGATTTTGTTGCCAATGGTTGTTATACATGTTAAAGATGGTTTCAGTTTAGGTATGTGCTCAATGACAGAATTCATGTAAAAAGATATGATTACAAAGTTTTTTTTCAGTTGGTGCTTCCTTTGTTACAACTTTATACAGTGTTCTTTTCCTAAAATTATGGTCATATGTTCAAGTAAACATGTGGTGCAGAATGGCCAGACAAAATGCCAAAGGAAATCTCAGGAGACAATCTTTGTCTTACAGCAATTTAAAATCAAGTACAAAATAATATGATCCAAACATTATTGAACCTTCCTTTCAATTTTTGTTTTTTTAGATAAAGTTAACCTACATGATGATGATTCATCTACAGAAGACCTCAAAGAACATAAGAAGCTCATACAATACCCTGACAATTTGACTTTAAAGGATCTTTACTATTTTTTGTGTGTCCCAACTTTGTGCTATGAATTAAACTTCCCAAAAACAGAGAGAATTCGTAAACGTTTCCTCATCAAGAGAATTTTTGAAGTACTAATTGGAGTTCAAATCATATTCTGTGTTATCCAGCAATATATGATTCCCTCTGTCAAAAATTCCCTGATACCATTCAGCAATATGGATTATACATTAGCTACTGAAAGGCTTCTGAAATTGGCTGTATGTATTATGAAGAAAACTAAGTTAATATACTACTGCTAGTCCACCAAATATTTTCAACATTGTTAGAAAGTTTAAATATTTTTCTCTGATTTTTGAAAGAAACTTACCCTGATTTGCAGATGAAAATTCCCAACAGCTTCTCCTGTTGCTTCTGTAAAAAAATTGATTGTTTATTTGAAGTGAAATTTTGATGTTTAGTTAAATTTACCATGAAATCAATTTCCCATAATGTTTTTCACAGATACCAAACCATCTAGCCTGGCTCTGTATGTTCTACATTATGTTCCATTCCTGGTTGAATCTTCTGGGAGAAATCCTGCATTTTGCAGACAGAAGTTTCTATGGGGACTGGTGGAATGCTAACAACATTGACAGTTTCTGGCGCAACTGGAATTTGCCGGTGCATAGATGGGCTCTCCGCCATTTGTACTTGCCCATGATTGAAATGGGATACAGCAAATCAGTCGGAAGTCTGGCGGTGTTCTTCATCAGTGCATTTTTCCATGAATATATGGTATGTATACACTGAAAAGCAGGTTTTAAATGCAAAGTCAGTAAAGGAATACAAAATTGTATTCTCACATGATGTTGTCATCTAAATTGAACTGCTTTCATTCAACAATCTAATAATTCTAATACAGTGTGACCCATTTAAGATGGAAGCACCCTTATAAAACTTACATTTTTCAACTGATTGGAATGATTTTTTTTTTAGGTAGATATTCAAAAAGTCTATTAGGACACCAAATATCATGAATAAATCTCCATTTCCAGGGCCAACTAATCTGATTTTTCGAGGTCAAAAATCTAAAAAAATTACTAGCGATTTTTTTAGAAAAAATCTGACTACACCACTGGATTTGTGACATTTTCAAATGGGTAACATGTAAATTACGTTGAAATGCGTCAATCAATAAAAAAGTTATAAAGGAATGAAATTTGAAAAATATGCCGTTTAATCAACCCATCAATTTTTATTACTGAACAGATTTCGATGAAACTGTGATCAGTAATATTTCAAGACATCCTGAATCCAGTGGAGTATACAGAAGTTTCATAAAATTCCTGAACATGAATTGGTGGGTTGATTAAACGGCATATTTTTCAAATTTCATTCCTTTATAACTTTTTTATTGATCGACGCATTTCAACGTAGTTTACATGTTACCCATTTGAAAATGTCACAAATCCAGTGGTGTAGTCAGATTTTTTCTGAAAAAATCGCTAGTAATTTTTTTAGATGTTTGACCTTGAAAAATCAGATTAGTTGGCCCTGGAAATGGAGATTTATTCATGATATTTGGTGTCCTAATAGACTTTTTGAATATCTACCTAACAACAAAAAAATCATTCCAATCGGTTGAAAAATGTAAGTTTTATAAGGGTGCTTCCATCTTAAATGGGTCACACTGTATATAAAATTCTCCTGTCCCGGTCACGGTATTAGTGGTCGAACTCCTCTGAAACGGCTCGACCGATTCGTATGACATTTTTTTTGCGTATTCGGTAGGTATGAGAATTATTTTTTAAATCGAAAATTCAAGATGGCGGATCCAATATGGCGGACCAGTATTGTTATCCGATTTCATTTAAAATTGGTATTTGGGAGTTTTCGGGGTCGGAGATTGATTCTTTCGTCAAATTTTGGAAATTCAAGATGGCGGATCCAATATGGCGGACGAGTATTGTTATCCGATTTCATTCAAAATTGGTATTTGGGAGTTTTCGGGGTCGGAGATTATGATTCTTTTTTCAAATTTTGGAAATTCAAGATGGCGGATCCAATATGGCGGACGAGTTTTGTAATTATGGTCAGATTCCATTCAAAATTGGTATCTGGGGGTTTTCGAGGTCTGAGAAAATGATATCTTCATCAAAATTTGAAAATTCAAAATGGCGGATCCAATATGGCGGACGAGTTTTGTAATTATGGTCAGATTCCATTCAAAATTGGCATCAGGGGGTTTTCGAGGTCTGAGAATATGATTTCTTCATCAAAATTTAAAAATTCATAATGGCGGATCCAATATGGCGGACGAGTTTTGTAATTATGGTCAGATTCCATTCAAAATCCTAGAAGGTAGATATACAGGCTGATTCACGGCACATAAGACGTTTCTGGTGAACGCAACTCAGGATTATTTGAAATGTTGATGCCTCGAATACGTAGTTGTGTTCTATCGACCTAAAATACTCTAAGCGTTGCGACGTTGCCACTTAAATTATTGAAAAGTAGCAACAACTTTGATTTTTTTCAATGGAACACCCTGTATATTATTTCATTTTCAGATTCTTCCTGAAGACCTGATTTCATTGACCTATAACACTTGGGGTCTAGCAGTAATAATTACAGAGTTATGGGATGTGAAAAATCGAGATTTTTCAACTAAGGGAATTTTGTGTAGAAACTATTCATAATTGGTCAAAACAGTTCTCATGTCCCTATGCCAAAATTTTTTTCACTATCAATTGATATTTAATTGAAATAAATACAGGGTGGTTCAAAATTAAGATTTTCGACCACCCTGTATCTATTTCAATTGATAGTACGTGAAAAGTTAAGATAAGGATTGGCCAATTATGAATAGCTTCAACACAAAAAATTCTTGAAGTTGGAAAATCTCGATTTTTCACACCCTATATCTTTGTTATCATTCCCGCTAGACCCCAAGTATTATAGATCGATGAAATGAGCTCTTCAGGGAGAATCTGAAAATTTCAAAAATCAAAGTTGTTGCTACTTTTCAATATAAGTGGCAACGTCGCAATAACGCTGAGAATATTTCAGGTCGATAGAACACAACTAAATATTCAAGGAACCAACTTTTCAAAATAATCCTACGTTGCGTTCTCCAGAAACCATTCACCGTGAATCAGCCTGTATAGTGTTATTAAATATCAGGGCAAGTTTTTTAAGACTCATTGACATTAGTATGTTTCTTGACTAAGTTGGTTCTCTACTAAATATGCACTTCAGTTTTGATTTGAAGCCAAAAATCAAAAGCAATAGAATGTGTTATTACAGAAAGTTATTCATGAACCAATCCCGTTTGTTTTAGGTTAGTGTTCCTCTGAAAACTTACAAAATATGGGCCTTTATGGGTATGATGGGCCAAGTTCCACTTTCATACATTTCTAAATCTGTGGAACGTGCGTATGGCCGAAGGTTCGGCAATTTGGTGTTTTGGTCTTCTATCATTTTGGGCCAACCTTTGTGCATCATGATGTACTACCATGATTACATTGTGGTTAGGTATGGTGAATCTTTGTTGGAAGATTATGCACATGTTTAAAGTCCATAATCATTGTCTTCTACTGATTTTCTCTTGCAACATTCTTGTCAATTATCATGTCCAAAAATATTTATTATGAGCATTCCATGTCGTTTTGTGGATTGTAACATTGAGATTGAACTATCAAACTCTATTCTTTTCCATTATACAGGGTGTCCCATTGGGAAACGGAAAAACTTCAACGGTGGGTAGAGCTCATCAAGGTGGTTCTGAATATACCATATTTGTAGGGTCTCACAAGTTTTATATCCCAGATATAGGGTGTTTTATAACTTTTGCCCAATTCTTTGTGAGGACATAACTTACGAACCTCTTAGTATATTCTTTTGAAATTTGGTACACAATTCCTTCTTTTTTCACCAAAGCGACTCACTTATCAGTCACGAAAAAAATCCAGGTCCGGATTACCAAAAGTTGATAATATTTCTGGACACCAAAAAGAACACCCTGTATTCCGCTTACATATTTGGAAAGTGCACAAAAAGCTGAACCGAATGATATACTTGTCATTTTTCCGCATGCATTTCACTAAGGAATTTCTGATTTTGAATTCGAGATTTTATGCATTTGGATAGGTAAAAATAATATGTTTGGAGTTTTCCCAATCGAATAACAACAATTATCACGAACCACCCAGTATATTCTTTTGGACTTTGGTACACGAGTTCTCCTTATTCTACCCAAGCGCCTCACCTATCATCCACGAGAAAAATCCAGGTCCGGATTAACGAAAATTGATAATATTTCTGGACCCCAAAAAGAACACCCTGTATTTTCGAATTTTCAAAATCCGCTTACATATTTGGAAAGTGCACAAAAAGCTGAACCGAATGGTGTACTCTTCATTTTCCCACATGCAATTTCACAAAGGAATTCCTGATTTTGAATTCGAGGTTTTATGCATTTGGATAGGTAAAAATAATATGTTTCGAGTTTTCCCAATCGAATAATATTATCACGAACCACCCAGTATATTTTTTTCGAATTTGGTACACGAGTTCTCCTTGATCTACCCAAGCCCGTCACCTATCATTCACGAGAAAAATCCAGGTCCGAATTAACGAAAATTGATTATATTTCTGGGCCCCAAAAAGAACACCCTGTATTTTCGAATTTCCATAATATGCTCACATATTTGAAAGTTGTACAAAAAGCTGAATCGGATTGTCTACTTTTCATTTTCATACGAATGCTATTTCACTACTGAATTTCTGATTTTGAATTTGAGGTTTTATGCATTTGGATAGGTAGAAATCGAGGTAAAATGGAAAGTTTTGAGTTTTCAGAATCAGAAATTAATAAGTGAAAGAGCATGCGGGATATTGAAAAGTACACAACTCGATTAATCTATTTGTGAACTTTCCATATATGGAATCGGATTTTGGAAATTCGAAAATACTGGGTGTTTTTTTTCGGGCCCAGAAAATAATAATTCTTCGTTGATCCGGACCTGGATTTTCATCGTGACTGATAGGTGAGTCGCTGGGGTAGAAGAGGGAAGACTTTTGTACAAAATTCCAAAAGAATATACTGGGTGATTCGTGATAGTTTTTGTTATTCGATTGGGAAAATTCAAAACATTTCATTTTTACCTTTCCAAATGCATGAAACCTCATATTCAAAATCAGATATTACCTAGTGAAATAGCATGCGGAAAAATGGAAAGTACATCATACGATTCAGATTTTCATGCACTTTCCAAATATGTGAGCGGATTTTGGAGATTCGAAAATACAGGGTGATATTTTTGGAGTCCAGATATATGATCAATTTTCGTTGATCCGGTCCTGGGTTTTTCTCGTGACTGATAGGTGAGTCGCTTTGGTAGAAGAAGGCGAAATTGTGCACCAACTTCCGAATGATACTGGGTGGTTTGTAAGTTATGTCCTCACAAAGAATTGAACAAAATTGATAAAACACCCTATATCTCGAATATAAAACTTGCGAGACCCTACAAATATGGTATATTCAGAACCACCTCCTTGATGAGCTCTACCCACTGTTGAAGTTTTTCCGTTTCCCAATGGGACACCCTGTATAGGAGGTACCTGAATATTATATTTGATATTCACAGGCCGTTTGTATGAGTACCTACTAAATTGTTAAATTTTTTATACACATGTTGTTGTGAATATTCATATCAATGTTATATAATGTATCTATATTATGATAATTAATTTATACCAAGATTACATTTACTGATCTACTTATACTTACTTTTATTGTAATTATTGCTCAAGCTATATTTTAAGACCAAGTATTTTTTCATTGGGATAATTTTGTTATCTGCATATTTTATTCTATGTATATTGCATTTATATATTTAGCAGAATGTATGTAAATAAAAGCAAATGGAAGATTTTCAATATACACATATTTTTAAATACTTTTTTCATAGTTTTTTTTCTATTTCAAAGAAAAACTGAAACACTTCAACTACTTAAAATACTTCTATTACATCATCAAAGTAAAAATAAATTAAGTTCTATTCAGAGTTGTTAAATTATTTTGCATATTGAAAAAAATTCAAAATTGGATAGTTGAATCAAGCTCAATAAAAGAAAGTACATCAAATTGACTATGTCATGAAATATCATTAAACTATTCTAGATGGAATGGTACTTAAATTGACTATCAGTGATTTTTCTATTGAGGATGTGAGCATCTTGAATTTAAATGTCATTTTTAATCTCATTATATGGAATCTCCCAAGCAATTGACTTTCTGCAAATTTCATTCATCTTCCTCTTTCAACTCTTCAGTGATACATTGATACTCTTTCACTTTGTCTAAAAGCTGTTTCCTCAATTTTAAAGCTGTGCTTCTGAGATCTTTACTGTGCTGTACAAGTTTTTGTACTTTTGCCAAAGTTTTCTTCTGTTGCTGTTGATCTATTATCCACCTAAAAACTGCAATAATCAAGTACAGCTGATATTTAAAACAAAACTGGATAAATAAATACAAGATTTAATAACATATACAGTGTGACCCACTCAAGACCGGAGCACCATTGTAAAATCCATAGTTTTGAACCGATTTCCTTTTTTTTTGTGTCAGCAGAAGGACTTCCCGGATTTCTACGTTTACACAAATTTGCAAAATAAAATTTCAATCTACAGGGCATACTATGTTATTTTTTTCTTGTTAAAAATTGCGAAATATCATTAGCGATTTTTTGAAAAAAAAAATCGACCCCACCACTGAATTCAGCATCTTTCAATTAGGTTGAGCGCAAAATTTCATTGAAGAATTTCAATTGGCAACAAAGTTATAACAGCAATAATTTTGATGGCTCACCATTTCTTATGAATAGTTCAGACAAATTCTGAGAAGCGGCAACATTGTCAACACAAATGTTGGAAATCATTGAGATTTCTGGTATACATTTGAATTTATAACACAAATTATTATCGAGTTTTAATCTCTAGAATGGTACCCTTTTGGAATAATCTACATTTTTAATTAGATGGCTGCCCAGTGCATCATCCTATAGAATTTTTTTTTTATCGATTGGAGCGCACGATTTGACCCCTCTTGACTTCTTCTTGTGGGGTTTTCTTGTACAAAAAGTTCACAAAACCCGCCCAAGAACTAGACAGGAGTTGTGTGAAAGAATACGTCAAGCTTGTAGGGAAGTAACAACCGAAGGACTCAAAAATACTGTGAAAAATAGATATAAAAATGTATTCAATTGAATGGTGGTTTAGTGGAAGCAACAAAAATTCGAAATGTATTGATTAGGACTAGATAGTGATGGGCCGAGATTATTCAATGATGTATGTTATTGAACTTATTTGTACGATGGCTGGTAGAACATTTGGAAATGATAAAATTGAGATGAAGTTACTATTTGATACAAAAATTCTTGGTTGATGATATAATTATTGTGAGAAGCCGATTTTTCGACGTTATGGATTTTTCATATTATGAATCTTTTCATGAATACCAAGATAAATTCCATTTTAGATGCTATAACTCGATAATAATTTGTGTTATCAATTCAAATGTTTACCAGAAATTTCAATGATTTCCAATATTTGTGTTAACAATGTTGCCGTTTCTCCGAATTTGTCTGAAATATTCATTAAAAATGGTGAGCAATCAAAATTAAATGTTGTTATAACTTTGTTGCCAATTGAAATTTTTCAATGAAATTTTGCGCTCAACCTTATTGAAAGATGCTGAATTCAGTGGTGGGGTCGATTTTGTTTGAAAAAAATCGCTAATGATATTTCGCAATTTTTAACATGAAAAAAATAACATAGTATGCCCTGTAGATTGAAATTTAATTTTGCAAATTTGTATAAACGTAGATCTCCGGATAGTCCTTCTGCTGAAACAAAAAAAAAAGGAAATCGGTTCAAAACTATAGATTTTATAAGGGTGCTCCGGTATTAAGTGGGTCACACTGTGCATATTTTCAATTTCTGTTCATAATTATTGCAACAATGAAAACTTTATGAATTACAGTGAAACCTGAATTAAATGAGTAAGAGTATTTTCATGCCTTGCAAAAAACTACTTATAATGACTAATGACACAATTTGTATCTGCTTTGCATTGTTCAAATATTTTCAGAATAAAATTTTCAGGTTGGTTGAAGTCTCACCTGAAATAGAGGTCACCCCAAAAATTAATACTAACTGGGGCAACACTAGGCCATATTGGAGATTTATTAGGCTCATAGATAGGATTCAATAGAGAGGTGAGAACATCTGGTCTGTTCAAATATGACCAGAGACTTGTTGTTTTCCTGAACAATTCAATATGAACTCTCTCTGATTCACAGTTGCCTAAAAATGTGCCAAACTGACTGAAATAAGAGTGTTCAAACAACAAAATGAGCATATCAGTCTTAAACTCAAAACTGCATGGGAACTGATAGTAGAGTTGCTGAACACAGTCTAAAAAAATCAGAAATGTTGGCTGAGAGCCTTTCAACCTTGCATTTGAAAAACACAATTTTTGGTGCCTAGTTTGGAAAGGATGGCCCCCTTGTAACCACTCCCGTTCTATTAATGCCTGCAGACCTATAAAAAAATAACATATTTTATAAATCCCTTTTCTAATAATTGCCATGATTACCTCTGACTGTTCTACAATCAGGGTTAAGTATCACTTGAGCTATTGAAGTAACAATTAGAGTGCTATCTTGGCCACTAGAGCCATGGACCAGCACAGAAGCACCATCTTTGTCCAAACATTGTGCTACCAAGCAAGCTGCATTCAGGACATTCTGTATGTGCATAAACCAGCTACTGCTACGTGATAACCATTTGTCTGAGCTTGAATTTCCCTCATTACAGGCTGGAATTTGAAACAATAACTGAAAGTTCAGGGGGAGATGTTGTTTGTTTATTCACCTTCTATAAATTTTGATAAATGCTCCATTACAGAACCATCACACTTTGAGATCTTATCCAATGGCTTGAATACTTTTTTCCACTGGTTATAATAACTATCTGGTTCTGTACCACCACCTTTTCCCTTACAATTACTTATATAGCTAGGGCTCCTCATATCTATGATGTAGCCTTTTTTGTATGGCCCAAGAACAGCATTTAATATTTTTTCATCAGCTTTGCATCTTCTATTAGCATTGTTCAACATTGGCTGACCACTTCTAAGTAGTATAGTACCATTTTCATGTCTTGAAATCAAAAACAGATTAATATAGCCCATGACATGAAAAGTGTTGATTGTACCTGTAGCTAAGTATAGGAAATCTTCCTCCATCCCTGAAATTTCCACTAGCAATGATGGTATCATCATCTATAGATTTGGGGACAATTAAGGTACTGCCATAAGTGCTACATATAGAATAGTTTTTGTTGGCATATGAAACTCTCCACTCTTCACCAGCTAGTAGCTTTGCAAACTCTATTTCTGGTTCAAAAAGTGTGTAACCTTCTTCTAGAATATTGTACATTGGCCTGTAAAAGAAAGGATACAGCAGTTCAGGCTTTTCTAAATTGGACAGGCGTTGAATTGACAAGAATATATTGTGAAAATCATCTGTGTGAGCAATATCTAATTGAAGGGTTCTGAAATCTTTGCATCTCAGTATAATTGAGCCACCGTTTTGAGCTGATGTGTTGTTGCTAGATTGTTTCTTTTCCACTGAATCAATGCACTGGTGTAAAAGCTACAAAATAATAGTGAATGATTAGACGATTAAATAATTACAACGAATCACCTACCCATAATTCCTGAACATCTTCTTTTCTGGAAGAGAGGATCAGATGGTGCCCCGTTATACAAAGAGTTCCATCTACAGGGTCAATAAAAGGGCTGTGAAGAATAACTCCGTCCAATTTCGGTGTAATTATCAATTCGGCGAACTCCATCGCCAAAATCCTTTCACCTCACTTTTTCCTCGCCATATTTTTAAATATGATATTCCTAATCATGAACAATTTTATTTGAATTTGGGAAGTTGGGAAACGTCATAATTCCACCCCTCTACCCGTCATAATAAATAACTGTCAATACTAGTCAATAGTGTCAATACTGTCAATGATACAAATTGTCAAGTGTTCTGGGTCGGCAGTGAGCCGTCATTGGTCGAGTGGTTTCCACAAAACCATAAAAATGGAATCCCCTTCTTCTTCTTCTTCTTCTGAAAATCGGAGATATTTGCCAAAAACTTCTTCTTTTGTTCATTATTCGCGGTAGATTTGGAATTTGGAATATTGTTTTGGAAATGCAAAACTAATACAATTTCAAACTTCCATTGATTTTTAAACAGGTAAGTATGTACTATTTGTTTAGAGGGTGTCCACTGTGTATATTCATCTACTCATATCTTCTAGAAAATCTTATTAATAATACCTATATATCAAAATAATCAATTGAGTTAGCTACCAAACGGTGGACTATTTATTTGGATCAGCTCTCAGTATGAAACAGATGAAACAAATGTTTCCCATCTATGAAATGTGAAGCACAGAAATGCAGGAAAAAATCAACTGGTGAAAAGCTACACCGGAAGCCGAGTGCTATTTTTAAAAGCAGTCAATATCGGAACCAGTGTAAATATTGATATCAAGAAAATAATGATTGTAATGTCCCATTTATATGCATAAATATACAGTGCTACAATTTCTCTATTGACAAACTACAAACTTAATAGCGTGTGAAATTCATAATTCATAAATAATGAGTAGTATAGAGGTATCATTGAGAATATGGGAAAATTATTCCGTTCATAACAATTTGAAAAAAGATACAGAAGTATTGAAAAGACATGTTGATGCTCATACTGACTCTTGAGTACAATGCAATAAGGCTCTTTATCCGTGATAATCCCCATCCTCTTTTTATCTAATCGATTCTAATAGTGAAAAGGGAGAGGGAAATGCCTGTTCCTTTGGCACACTCGAGTTGAAGCAGATTGAAGTTTGTATGGAGGTTTTATGAGGGTTTCATTCATTTTCTGTACACTTTTGGGTTCGGAGCAGTTAGAAGAAACGCAGGAGAGTGAGGAGAATGCAGTACACGCATTGTAGCCTTGAATCGCACTCCATTCATAAATTTCCGTACGATTTTGTATGACGAGTTGACGAGTGACTATTGACTATCCCGAATTATTAAACATCAAACAAAAACACCCAAATGCCCGTCGTCGAATTGTGTGATCAGTATGACTAGACAGGAAACGGTTTGGTTTATCATTTCCAATAATTGAAAAATCTCGGAGAACCGAGATTTCCTTATGTCTTATGTCAAAACTGTTTCATTCATTTTTTACAGTACATAGCTGTTAAATATGGCGGACGAGCATTTTAAAGTCCGAACTGAAGAACGTTTGAAAATAAAAATAGGTGAGTACACTTTTCGATTTGAACACTCCTGTAAATTTCAATGGTCTCCAATAATGTCTAACAAAAATATGTTGTCATCATGAAACCCACAATGGATACATGCTATGCAGGTGGTAGTATTCAAAGTTGGTGTTGGTGCAGATTTGTCCTATTTTAATTAAAATTGGATTAATTTTTTTGGTGTTGCTTGTAGGGGAGGCCAAAAACTTACAATCTCGCCTTCATGGTTCTGCCACACATAGAGATGTTTACTGTACATTATCCTTGGACCAGGAAGAAATATTTAGAACATCCACAGTGTATCAAAGTTTAAGGTAAGTGATGAAAATACACTACTTGGGGAAGTGATTAGGAAAACCAATTGAAATGCAGCTTCATTCAAAACATTGTAGGATTTTCTGCAGTCTTAAAATCAACCATATTTCAGAATATTGTCATTTGATCATTCATTAGTAGGTATATCCACAGTATGAGTCAGATAATGGTAATGTAATTTGAATTGAAGGTTCAATGATTCAATTACACACTATTCAACATATTCAACTCCATGTTTAAACATTTCCTTTCATTGATACATTCCCTGTTATTGAATGAATTTGCCATAGGTATACATAATATATTGAACCACAATGCATTTGCATTTTACATACATGGAATTTCCTATTTAGATTACACCACAAAGTGGTATATTGTTTCCCATTTTTGATCACTATGAATATAATAGTTATTTATTGAAGATATGTTATTCAAATATTGGTTGAAAACACCAAATAGTTATCTTGTGCCTGTTATCAATTTCTTATCAATACATTATGCAACAAAACATTCATTCATGAAAGTTTATAGTGTTATGGGGGGATATATCCAAGATATATCAAAGGAACAATAATGAATATTGTATACAATGATCCCATTCATTTATAAGTTTATAATGAAGAGCTGCTGAACTTGAGAGAGTACAAGAAGTAGGTACCTAGCTGATATTCACTTACTGATGAATCCCTTGTGATATTGTTTTGACTTTTGAATGGTGACCTTATTATCTATGATGGAATGTTAAAAAAATATTATAATTATCATGTGGTGGGTGGCCACCTTCCTAGGTGAATGAAAAAAAAAAATAAACTCCAGTAATATAGGCTCTTCAAATGAAAAATGTGAGACAGTTTATTTTATACAGTCAAAATACAAACATTCATGTAGGTACAATGATTATTGTAGTGTAAGTACTAAGTACATATTTTCAGCTATATGGATAAATCATAATTCTATGTTTTTTTAAATTTAATTCTTTCATTAGTTGTATAGCTTTATTAAATTTAAACCTATATTATGAACCAGTAATTGGTATATAGGTCTCAACAATACTGCTTCAGGTCAGGTTCATTGTAAAATTTAGTAAGGAAATTTTTGATGAATGTTGAACTAGTTTGTTTTATTTTTCATTGATGTTTGTGGTTGCAAGTTGATTGTTCAACCTGTTTGACCAATAGACCCCTCAGAACAGAAATCATACTTCAGTTTTTTTTTATATATATACCTACTTAGTACTTTTGTCCCAATTTTTGATTATTGCCCAGGTTGTCATTTGTTCTATAGCAACTTTCAAGTCATGTTTATGAAAATTAAGTTACTTTTTTATGTATGATCCAGTAAGTTGCGGTTTATTAAAAGAACTGAAAAAATACTTATGTCTTTGATTCTCTTATATCATCCTAAATCAATTCAAGAACTTATATTCAACAGTCTCTAGAAGAAACAACATTATATGTACTATCCTTGTACTATGTATATGATTTAAACATTATTTTCTGATTATCAAATTTAATTTTTTTTTAGTTGCTCTTTCATAATTTTTCCTGCTATAAACATATGTTTCTTGGGAATAATAAAGATTATTATTATTTTTGCATACTGTAGATAACTTTGTTATTTCTCTGTATATTGAACATACCAATACATTTGATTTTAGATGTATATTGTCTTTCTATAATATTTGTTATCAACTTCAACTTTGTGAAGTTACAATGATAGCCATTTGCCATTAATGTAAAAAGGTCTATTCACAATTATTTTCAGTCTGTTCTCCAGTGAAGAATTCCTGTGAAAAGTGGTCATTAACAATTTCAATTATCTGAATTTAATAAAAACACTTCAGCTGTCTGTATGAGTGATATTCTGTTTCATAACGTTGACCGATATTTTCTGACAATGAATTTTCAGTTTTATGGTTTCTGAATTCTTATCAAGTCTTCACAAATTACATTTGCCATTCAAATGAAAAGGCCTATTCCCAATCATTTTCAGTCAACTCTTTGGCGAAAAAAAGAGTCAACGGAAACTCGCTGTATGAAACCAGAATAATAACATAGGGTTGTCCAAGAAAAAAACGGAATTTTTTTGATTAATATATTTTTTATTAATGGACCGATTCCATTGATTTTGGTCTCGTTTGAGAGAGAATTGAACAAGACAAAACGTCAACTCCATATTTATTGAATTCTTCCATAAAACAAAATGGGAGAAACACCTAAACTTTGACGAACTTTGAAACATGTGGGAACTTTTTGAGTTGCCCTGTATATTTTTTCTTGTGATGTCCTGAGAGATCTCTCCTGAGAGCGTGGACATGCAAATTCTTCAAAAAATAACTGACATATGACAGGATAAAGACAGGTATGTAACCACATCATCCGAAATCCTATTTTCTTTTCTTAATTTCTTGATAAATATATCTCTTGTCTTAGAATTTAATGAACTAAAAAAAACATTACCCACCTATCCACACTCATTTTCAGTCCATTCGTCGGCGAAAAGTTCCGCTTCATCTACGTGTACGTTAAGTGGTCATCAAGCGTGAGCAGGTCGCTTTCTACAACAACAAGAACCACTGGTTCTCCACGAAAAACCCTCGTAAAAACACTTCGTCTCTCTGTATCAGTTATCTGTTTTCAAATGGTAACATCAATTATCATGAAAAACTATTCAACAATTCTGGATTCCACAGCATAGGCCTAACGTAGGTTTATGTGAGGTTTTCAGTGAAGTTTTTCTGAATGAAAAGGCCTATTCCCACTCATTTCAGTCCATTCTTCGGTGAGGAATTCCAGTTCGAAGTTCCCCGCGACTTCCGCTTCATCTCCGTGTACGTCTTCGGCAGAGACAAGCACCTCAAACAAGACAAAATCCTCGGCAAAGTGGCCATCAAAAGGGAACAGCTCGCCACATACAACAAGGACCAGTGGTTCCCCATGAAAAACCTCGCAGAAATACTCAGTTATCTGTTTTATAATGTTAACATTGATTATTATGAAAAACTATTCAATAGTTCAACAATAATTGTTGATTGCGTTCGTCTTCAGAACAAATTCTGATTGGACATTCCATGATGAAGAGTCGTTGACAAGTTTCAATGCTACAACCTTTGTGGACGGTATTTTCACATTCTGCCAACCATTAAACACCATGGGCATACGTTATTGCGCTTTTTCATTCTCCTGTTGAAAGCAGGTATCATTTCTTATGCAATTTTGGGTGATGAAAAGGCCTATTCCACTCATTTCAGTCCATTCTTCGGCGAGGAATTCCAGTTCGAAGTACCCCGCGACTTCCGCTTCATCTCCGTGTACGTCTTCGACAGAGACAAGCACCTCAAACAAGACAAAATCCTCGGCAAAGTGGCCATCAAAAGGGAACAGCTGGCCTCCTACAACAACAAGGACCACTGGTTCCCCATGAAGGCCGTGGACGCGGACTCGGAAGTGCAGGGCAAGGCCAACATCGAGATCAGGTTCGAGGCGGAGGCCAATGCGACGCGCAGGCTTTTGGTGAGGGTGGTGCAGTGCCTGGATTTGACGTTGAAGAACGGCGCATGCGATCCGTACGCCTTGGTTTGCGTGACGTATACGAACGGCAAGCGGATCTCGAAAAGGACGAAGGTGATTGGGGTTGTTGGTTGTTGGATTGGATTGGGGAAAGCTCACATATGTACTGCAAACTAGGATCCCTTGATGCAAACTGACGTATTTGTCATCTAACAGGGTACAGACAGATCATAGCTCCTTTCTTTTTTAATCATCTAGTGACTTTGGTTTCGTGTATTGGCGTCCCTGACATGACATTGCTGTCACGTCACATTCATAGGCGTTAAAAGATATCTTACAAAATTTTAATTTCATACTTTATCTTGAAACGACATTATTCAATTCTGTTTTGGAAGGATGGTAAAATGTGCTGCGTTAGGCTGTATCAATCAGCTGGATGGCAAATTTGAATTTGTCAACTTTCCACCAAATGCAAATGAACTTAGAACATGAAAAGTGAAGTGACCGCATGGGAAAAATTGGTAAATACACCAGCAAGATATTCGAGGTAAAACTAATACGAAATCACATATTATACTTTCTCATTGTGCCTATAATCATCCATTCCACAAGTTTTTTAATGCATTTTAGTTGAAACAGTTCGGATTAAAACGGAGGAATAAAAGAAGAGCGGCATATGCCCTACCATTTAAAAAATTATACCTACATTCAGGAAATACTAAGTGTTCGTGAAAAACTGCAAAAATGATTCTCACACATGACATATGAGCACATTAGTTCAAATACCTACATAAATTTTTTCACCATTTCCCAACCATAAGGCTTAGTTTGAAATCAAAGTTCATTGATAGGTACTGCCTCAGAACAGTCCCATTTGGTAAAATGTATTGAATTTTCAGAAAAGTTTGCTCATTGCCTCACAAAGATTATGCTGGAATTGAAAAATCAAAAACTCGAAAATCATCATCATTTGGATATAATATGTAGAGTTGAATGAGAAATTACATGTGGAAATTACGTTTTATACGCCAATGTCCTCAATATAACCTAAAAAACAACAAGTGTCAGAAATCTAGTGTTTATCCCCAGAAATGAATAAAGATGAAACTATATAACTGTTTCACCAACACTTTAGAGCGAGAGGAGACGAGGATCTGTCTATACCCTGTCAAATACGTCAATTTACATCAAGGGACCCTACTGCAGACTGGTCTGCCCCTGTCTCTTTTATGCCAAATACACGAGCGCCACCTGTCTAGCCTAATGTAGAGTGAGTAGTTTGAATAGAGTGACGACTATAGACCTCCAAATGGCCTCCGTTTTTGGAATGTAATTCGTGGTCAAGTCACTGAATAGCTGAAAATCTGAAGGGTATCTCCGATGTAGTAATGAATTTGCACCTTCAAAGTGCCCACCTGATTAGGATTAGATATTTGATATCTTCATTTCTGAATATAAATAATCTGAGACCTAGGAGTCCCAAAAGACGGATTCTAATAGTTAATATCCAAGGTACTGACGATAATGTTTCATGTCTGATTGTGGGATGTTTTGGGTTCAAAGAGCAAAAAACATAGTCAAAGCATGGATAAAGTGAAAAATAATGCGTAGAACTGAACTAGACCTCCACATTAAAGGTCTGTTCGTCACTATTTATAAAGTCATTCTAGCCTAACATAGTTTGTTCTCATAATATGCTTCAGGAACATGAAAAACTCCATGAAAGATCGTTGAAATATCATGAAAAACGTGCAAAACGTGAAGATAACCTGAGGAACATGAAAAAGATTGAACAAGCGTCTTGAACTTGAATCAAGAGCGTTGAAAAAAGGTGTCAACACGAGAAGAACATAAGAACGTGAGAAAACATGAAAGGGAATAAAAAAGCGTCAAAAACTCCATTCAAGAGCATTGAAAAAATGAAAAACTATGAATAGTTTCCATCAAAACCCGTTTTTCCTATCTTTTTGATGTTTTTTTACATGTTTCTGATGCTTTTGACCCTTGACCAAACTATCGGAGATATAAGGGCAGATGGTCTGAGAATGATAAATGTGCATTGCTTACCTAATCCAACTGTTAGAAATTTCTTATTGAGTTTGAATCATTGTAACTTCTGATTGCCCTTCCGTGCTTAAACAATTTTTTTTACTTTTGAAAAATTCATGATTTGAGGGTCATGAACGTTACCTATTTTATGGTTAATATGGTGGTCTGGAAGTTATGAGCGGGAAAGTTGAGTTTTCCGCATGCAGGTAGATAAAATAATTGAAGATCAGTTGTGATGGAAGTTAGAATTATTCAAATTTATATGTTTGCATTCCGACGAAATTCAGCGATTTCAACACTGAATGTTTCTGTTATTTCGGTGATTGAAGGTGAGGAAAAAAACGACTTCGCCGCAGTTCGACGAGATCTTCACCTTCTTCAACAGCGAAGGGAGGGACATTATGTGCGAGAGCGATTCGGAGATTTGCGAATTGCACATGTCCATTTGGCACGACACGCCCGGTATTAGCGATGACGTCTTCCTCGGGGAAGTCAGGGTGCAGCTAAGGGGGATGCAGCAACAGAATTCGGCGCATCGAAACGCATGGCTAGTGCACATTCTATTTAATAATTAATATGCAGAGTGACCCTCTTTCAAATGGGTCACTCTGTATCTGAGCTGTACAGGGTGATTCACCATAAATGTCACCCCCTCTAGCTCACCTATTTCTAAACCGATTTGCAAATTTGAAGAATCATTCAAAATGATTTTTCAGATTTTTTTTCCTGTTGCATCGGAAAATACAGGGTGCTCGGAACAAACGATCTACAGAGTACTACTTGATTGTTTCGAATAGAACACTCTGTATTTCATTGTATTTTTAGGTTGTCCCTGAAGGGCAGATTTCATCAATGTCTAGCGGGAATGACCACAGAGATATAGGGTGTTCAAAATCGAGATTTTTCAACTTTAGGAATTTTTTGTGTGGAAACTATTCCTTATTGGTCAAAACGGCTCAATTGTCCCTATTTCAACTTTTGATTTACTATCTACTGACATTTAATTGGAACATATACAGTGTGGTTCATGATTCAGAATTCTGATCACCCTGTATCTGTTCCAATTATCAAATGTCAGTAGAGAGTAAATCAAAAGTTGAAATACGGACATGACCGATAATGAATAGTTTCGTCACAAAAAAACCTAAAGTTGAAATATCTTTATTTTGAACACCCTATATCTCTGTAATCATTTTCACTAGACCCTAAGTGTGATGCATTGATGAAATCAGCTTGTCAGGGAGAATCTGAAAATATAATGAAGAATAGGGTGTTCCATTCAAAAAAATCAATTAGTACCCTGTAGATTGTTTGTTCCGAGCACCTTGTATTTTCTGATGTAGCGGAAATGAACTCTATCGAAAATCATTTTAGAAAAATAACTGAGCTAGAGGGGAGGGGGGGACATTTATGGTGAATCACCCTGTACATGGTGCGCCTCTTAAAATTGAACCCCCTCTTAACTGTTTTGTTCTTATGAATTAAATGAATAAGTTTTTCGAACTTTTATTTTGTTTAGTTGTTTTATATACTGGGTCATTCGTTTTTCCGGAAAGGACGATTTCTTTCAATGTAATACCCTATATATTTTTCTACATTTCGATACAGCCTTCTCTTATGATTTACAAAATATAAATATGTCGCATATTTCCATTCCTCCATTCAAACTATAACATATTTTGTTTTTAACTATTTCAATTTCATAATAAAAAATATCATGACATTTAATCTTTGGAAGAAGTCCATGGTAACTCAAAGTGGAGTGGTGTAGTTCATAGATGAAAACCTTTTTGAAAAACTTTTGAAAAACTTTTATTTAATGATCATAGATCATATAAGGGAACATGTTAAAAGTTTTTTAAAAAACATTTTTATCATATAAACAGTAAGTTTCACTCATATTGATATTTTTTAAAAAAATTTCACTGTTCCTTTTCCAGATCATGGAGCAATGGCTTTTGCTTGCTCCGTTATTGCTTATTGTATACACATTGCAACATTTTTCACTTCCATGTAAGTAAAATATTATGGTATCATACCATAGGTCAAATCTGTCCTTTTTTAGAACTTTACATTTTCTTGGCTGATGATGGGCTTATATAAGCCCGAAACATGTTCCCTTATATGATCTATGATCATTAAATAAAAGTTGTGGAGATGACTTTGGGTTTTCATCTATGATCATGACATTTCTATGGAACTTGAACAATATATAAACATTATTTCAAAGCCCACTATGTTCAACTGACATTAGGTGATATAAAGTGAAGATTCATGAAGCGGTATTTTGGTGAAGTTTGATCATTAATAACTCAATAATTTTTCCTAATATGCAACCTATTTATATTTTTGAAATCAGAAAAAAAGTTCTATCGACATGTCTATTGAATAAATCAGAGTTAATGTATTTTCCAGAAAAACGAATGACCCTGTATATAAAATAACTACACAGAATAAAAGTCATTTTGAACAACTTTTTCATTCAACATTTTTTTATATCTCTTGAGACAAAGGGTTCAAGAGGGGGTCAATTTTAAGAGGTGTATTCTGTACAAAAACCAACTATTTTTATGATTTTTCACATAATTTTTATATATCCCCAAATTACTGGATACTCTACCTCAAACTCACGTTCAAAAATGTGTTTACCACAGGAGAATTAACATAAACGCATCTTGTGAGTCTCCATCAGTATGCAGGCAATGCATTTGAAAAATAATTAAAACAATAGAGAAAAGCAGTCGTGAACAGTCCGCCCACGAAAAAAAAGAAGCTGAAAATAAAAGAACAATTAGCACTCATTTGTATTCATCCATGGAGGCAATGATTGTAGCCAGCCTCTATTATTAATAATTCATAATTTCATTGTTGGGACGATAGCATAGCCCACATTAACCTTGTGTAAAAGAAGAGATAATCTCATTTTCATTGTGTGCCGACAAACAATGAGGTAGAAATTTTTAAGTGTGCGATTTTTCCGATACTACTAACAATTGCGGATCATTTTCTATTATGACGACATTTTCCATGGTTTCATTCGGTTTTACTTTTATTCTACTCACACAGTCTAGTATTTATATCCATTAACCCAATTGTGTTAGAAGAAACTGCAGGGCGATAATTCTACTTGACCTAGAACTCTTTCACTTTCACTTTATTTTCCTGAGAGATACAAATATTTTGGTTTTCAAAAACTCTGATTGTTCAACTTTTAGGTACTTTCTACAGCCTAGATCTGGAAAAAATCGACCTTTTTTGACTCATTCGACTCCACCCGGTACTCGATTGTCTAGTGACAACTCTTTGGGCTGTCTTCGCCTCCAAATTCAATACACCGAAGACAGGGTGTTTCCCGCAACTGTATATAATGATCTGAAAAACTTGTTATTGCAAAGTACACATATACAAGTGAGTTGAAACTTCCCGAATTATATGTTTTTTGTGTGAATTTAATCGTATATAATTTATTGATTATTTTTATTCCTTTGTTGTTTTAGCCTATCACAGCTACTTCAGTGTATGTTCTTGGCGAAATTGTCAACAAAATGGACATTGCCCAACCTTTAGTCAGGATATTTTTACATTATGACAGGATAGTACCGATAATTCGGGCACTGGCCAATGTCGAAATTTCTAATGTTACGTGAGTACTTTGATTTCCATTTATTCATCCACAATTATAATGAAAATGTTCGTATATTATTCCAATAGTTCTAAGAACTTTCGATACATTCCTTGTTGGTTTCAGGGACCCGACGACGATATTCAGAGGCAATACTCTGGTATCGAAAATGATGGACGAAGCGATGCGGCTGATCGGGTTACAATACCTGCACAAAACGCTGAGGCCCACGTTGGAGCTCATATTCAATGAGCGAAAACCCTGCGAAATCGACCCTACCAGAGGTAAATATGATATCATGAAAACAAAAAAGAATAAATATATTCTGAGTTGAAAAAAATCACAATATATTTTTATCGAAAAAATCTGATTTTTTGAATAAGTCGTGCTTTTTTTAGTCGTAATGGTTTTTTGATTTTCGCCCTTGAATATGAAAATAACGAGGAAATAATAAACTATTATTAAGATCATTTATATTTTAATTATTTTTCTCTTCGCCCAAAAATATTTTGAATTCTCTAGATTCAGTTTTGGAATCAACTCGGCGACATAAAATTTGTGTTGATGGAAATTTTCGGCAGCGTGCCGCGTATTTCCTGTAAAAACAAGAAAATTCTTTTTTACAGTTACATGATGAATGTAAACACTGAGTTTGAAAAAATCTTAATTTTTTTTAATTGCCTGATGAGTTATCTTCTTCGTCGACAGCAATTTTCGATAATTGATTTAAATCGTATTGTTGGTAATGTCATGATATGAATGTTACAATTACGTGGTCGTTTGTCTTACGTAGATGAAATGATAATAATAAAAATGATGGTGGTATATCTCCCACAGAATTTTTTTTATAAGAAGTAGTATAGTTCAGTTCTACCTGTTGCAAATTTTCGTTCTCCGGTTTTTATCAGATTTTTAGCCTGTTGCGAATTGGCTAGTGTTTAGGCTTTTATTTAAAACCCTTACGACACTATGTAGTTTATTGTATGAATCAATTGTTTGGACTATTGAAACATGAATAATCTCAGATGATATCTATTGCTCCACACTCAAACAAGTATTGAATACAACTGTGTCACTTCTGCTTTCTGATTTACATACTTCAACGGATTTATATAACCACTCTGACTAATATCTCTTGATACATTCCAAAAATTATTCTATACAGGATGGTTCAAGCAGAGTGCTATCATGAATGATCATAATAATAGCTGGTAATATTGATTATAATAATGATAGATATATGAAGAATATTCATTTTAGTTTTCAGTTCACAGTTGCAATCTTGATTCTTCTACAGATCTTTGCACGAGAGTGTACTGTATGTTCTGATGTTGTTGAACCATAAATTAACCATATTTTACTTGGAAATCGTCAGGTATTTCTTGCTATTTGTTCGCTGCCAAATTGAGTATTTTCAATCAAATTTATTTTGTCAATGTCATTTATAATTTGTTTGTAAAAGAAGGCTCTGAGAAGTTGTTCTTGCTCTCATTTTCCATAACAATTCAACTGTTTTCGTTCCGTTATATATATGATAATTTTGAGAGTGGTGCAGATTCACATTTGACTTTCGGCACCTTTGTAGCCAACCTCACCACACGAAATGTCTAACGCTTGCTTGAGAATATGGTCGGTCAATGAGGGCTAATTAACATTTTCAGTCTCTCCGGTTGGCGTTACTGAAACGTGAGATCAATGTCAAAAAGTCCAAAATCTGCCGGGAAAACTGATGTGGCCCATGTGAATAACTAGAACAACTCAAGTTATGGATATATTTCAGCAGACACGAAAAGAAGAAGTATATTTATTAGTTCTACTAACTCTGACCTCGACTTTCAGTAGCTCGATCTGGTGGACAATAAATAATAGAGAGTAGACCTCAACGTAGACGTTAACGTACGGAAACTTACGTTTACGGGTCATTCTTAAATTGAGTTCAAGTCATCAGTGTGATCCTGACGTAAAAAAAGTTTTTATTTTCGGTTTGTTTCGGTCCTTTCTAGTTGTTTGTTTTGATCTAAACATTAATTCGTGTTAAATTAAAATTAGCGGAAGTATATTTATTAATTCTACTAACATACCTCACTTTTCACTATTTTCATAGCTCGATCTGGGAGATAATAAATAGAGAGTTAATTATGATTTTGTGTACAAGATACTCATCTTTCGACAATAAAGTATATTTTGATTTGATTTGAATAGGGAGTTGAAGTACACACTCTACGTTAACTTCCACGTAGACGTTAACGTACGGAAAATGACGTTTACCCATCATCCTTGAATTGAGTTGAAGTTATCAGTGTCATCGTAACGTAAAAATACATTTAATTCTTCGGTTTTTATTGGTCCTTTTTTGATGTTTGTTTTGATCTGAACATTAATTAGTGTTGAATCAAAATTAGCGAAATCCTTGAAGAAGAACATTTTGGGGATCCAGGCTTAAATAATCTTCACTCAGTGGTATATTTCGGTTAACGAACGTTAATATTTGAAGTGTAAATGAAAGTACGCAAGATAACATACACCCCACTACCAACGCAAACATGGAAACACGAGAAATGCGCATGTGTAGCTGTAAATTTCTACGTTTACGTTAACGTTAGTGTTCCCATGAACGTTGCAGTAAACGTAGAAATTGGCAGCTACGCATATGCATTTTCCAATCCTTCACGTTCACGTTGGTTGTGGGCTTACGGGTGTATGTTATCTCGCGTACTTTAACGTATACCTTAAGTATCAACGTACGTTAACTAACCTATACTCGAAGTATGCTGATGAGTCGAAATTATCAAATTCGGGATCCCCAAGGAGTTCTGCATCGAGGACTCCTCTCATTTCAAACCATTATTAAGTATTCAAAAATATGTTTTGAAAATAATTTTTCGCAAACCTTTGGATTATCCATCATCCTCATTATTTGTAGATAATCATATACTGAATGTCAAACAATTATTTTATAAAGCATCATTGAATTTCTTGAAAAAAAACACTGCATTTAGTAATAAAATTAGTCACAATTATTGTACAAGAAATGATAATGTTCAACTTGAAAAACATAATCTCAAAATCATGCAAAACCATAGTAGTTTTATTGGATCAAAAATTTTTAACAGAGTTCCATCAAAATTGAGACGTTTGAATATTGTAACATTCAAAAAAAAAATTAAAATTTGGTTTTTGGATAATGCAAAAGAAATTGATAATCTCTTCAAATAATTTTTTTTTTTTTTTTTTTTTTGTTTGTGTGCTTTGTATATATTGAATTTATAATCAATATTTAATCTAAATATTTTTAAGAACTTGAAAATTTTTTACAAAAAGTTTATAATAATTATCTAATTCACACACAGGTCAATAACCTATGTGAAGTAGATAAAATTTAGAATTTTTATAATATTAGAATATGTATGTCTTTGTAAATGTATTCATATGAGAATAAATAAATAAATAAATAAATAAACAAACAACAGAAGATGACCCATACAAACCTGAAACAAAATGTATTATTACGTTACGATGACAAAGTGACGACTTCAACTCAAATTAAAGACAATGCGTGAACGTTATTTTTCGTACGTTGACGTCTACCTGGAGGTCCACGTACATACAGTGATTACTTCAACTCTCTACTCTCTAAATGTTAGCCATCATTGACAATTTCCTGCATGTCATCTTCAGTGCGAGACGCCAATACGATAGCTACCAACCTGGCGAACCTGAAATTCTACATCCAGAAAATCTTCGAGGCCATCACGCAGAGCGCCGTCCACTGTCCGGCGCTGATGTGCCGGATCTTCCACAATCTGAAGGAGTGCGCCATGATGCACTTTCCGGAAAACAAGGGGGTGCGCTATTCGGTCATATCCGGCTTCATCTTCCTCAGGTTCTTCGCGCCCGCCATCTTGGGGCCCAAGCTGTTCGATCTGACCAACCAGCCAGGGGTAATCACACACTTTTATTCATTTCATTTTGCAAAAAAAATCATGTTTTAATAGTTTTTGCATTGTATTACTTTCATATTACACTGCTTCACTTCTGATCAAACCGATTTGCGAAGTATTTTCAGCAATAAATTGGAAAAAGTCATTATTTCCTGAACTTTTGTGTGTAACATGTTCCTTTAACCTAGTTTCAGTGGTTCTCCTAGTTTGACCTATTGTTTTTCAACTGTATCGACTTTGTCTTCTGGATTTCCCAACGAATTGCCTTATTTAGTCATGGATTGTTATACACTTTTTTCAGAAATTGAACTCTGCTCGAAGAGGACACCACAAGACATTAAAAAATTCAATTTCAAGATACAGGCAACGTGAAATTTGAGAAGAGGACAACTGTAAAATGATCTTCTAATTTTTTTTGTGAATAATGGTTTTGATGGTTTTCTTCTGATATTTTGTGTTACCAACATGAAATTTTCATTATTTTCCTTCGAATCCGGAGGACAGAGGCGGAAATGTTTTATCTTCATGCTGGCTTAACAAATCAACGAAGAATGTTTGCTGGACAGGTTGAACCAGATAATGGAGACCACTGATTTTTCAAAACGACTTCATCGTGACCTCTATTCCAAAAAACTGCCAGTAAATATAATTTTGAATTCTTCCATTCATACTAGGACCACAAAATGGTGTCAATTCATTGGTGTGGCTGGTGTGACGTATTAGTCTTACCACGCCTGTTGTCCTTGAGTTGACCAATCACACTGCAACACTGCAGAATGGCAAGGTATCAGAGAGAGATAGCTACAGTTCTGGATTAATACGTCACGGCTCCACCTTCATATCTGGCTCTTCGAAATATTGAATGGAATATGCTGATTTCAGAATGCTATAGATTCGATTCCTTTCAACATCAACTTATAATATTGAATGTAAAATCATGATTTATCAAATGAAAGAGGATTTTAAACCTCAGTAATTTTCAACATTAAATAATTACCTGGCTTTCAGTTTTGCTTCCTGGAGGAGCATCCGTTTTAATAAAACAAGTTTTACTCAGTGATTTCCTTTGTCTTTTCACGTCTCTTCTGTGGCGTTTTTGAAGGAAAACTTCTTAAGGCGGTGATGAACAATTTTTTGGGTAAAAAAAAAACATTGGATTTCGTGTCATCCTCACGTCACCGTTTGTTTGTTTCGATATCACGCCAAAACTACTTAACCCATTATCATGAAACTTTGTATATCTACATATTATTTGATGTATTAGAAAGGACATGATACTTTTTATTAACATAAATGCAAGATGGCAGATCCAATATGGCGACGAGTATTGTAATTATGATCCGACTGTATTCAAAATTGGTATCTGGGAATTTTTGGGATCGGAGATGATTGTTTCGTCAAAATTTAAAAATTTGAGATGCCGGAACCAATATAGCGGACGAGTTTTATCATAATCATGGTCCGATTCTATTCGAAATTGGTATCCGGGGGTTTTCGGGGTCGGAAATTATGATTATTTCGTCAAAATTAGGAAATTCAAGATGGCGGAAGCAGTACGGCGGACGAGTTTTGAAATTATGATCCGATTCTATTCAAATTTTGTATCTGGGGGTTTTCAGGGTCGAAGATTACAAGTCATTCGTCAAAATTAGGAGATTCAAGCGAACTAAAAAGGAGTAGAAAAATAATCTAATAGCTCAACGATACAATTCACAAGCTTTTTTTTATCGTTTGGTCCGCACGAAAGGAAATCGTGCGTTCCTAGAGAGGATAGGGAGAGGAGGTAGATGTTAGATTAGAAATACTCCCTTAGGAAATGAATTAGTTTTCACTTCGCCACTCCTCAAAGACTGTCCCTTGTTTTCCTATTTCGGAGGTATTTCATCAACTGTTATGGCTGACCTTTCTCTCAGGACTGCCAAACTGCCAGGACGCTGACGCTGATCTCGAAGACGATCCAGTCGCTGGGCAACCTGGTCAGTTGCCGGTCGTCGCACCAGGTGTGCAAGGAGGAGTACATGGAGGGGTTGTACAAGGCGTTCTACACGGAGCGGCACATGACGGCCGTAAGGCAATTCCTCGAAATCATCTCGGCCAACACGTCCAGCCAGCAGCCGATCAACAACAACGATGTGCCGGTCACGTTGAAAGAGGGGTGAGTATTTTTCATTCAAAATTGAAAGAATCGTTTTTTCTCATTTTTGAAGTGATAGCTCCTCTAGGCCAGTTGGACACTTTCTGGCAACCGGCAAACTCGCGCCACGGAAGAGCTCTCGCACCATAAGACCTATATTATCATGAGTACCAGAGTAGTGGCGAGACAGGGCGAAACAGATTATCCATGTGGATGCAATAGAGCAATTCTACTAGCGTTGAGAGAGAAAACAAGAATGTCTCTCTCATCTGTCCTTGTCTTCAGTGTTCCAACGTAGGATAATGGAAATTTCATGATGGTTACATTGGAAATGAGAAAGAATGGAGAAGAAGATCATACTAACCTCAATATTGAAATGGTCTTCTTCTTCATTTCTCCTTATTTCCAGTGTTGCCAACACAAAATTTTCATTATTTCATGTTGGAACACTGAAGGCAAGGTCAGAAGGCGAAGACATTTTTTTTCTCTCAAAGCTAACTGCAGGGGGATTTTCTTTCACGATCGTCGATTGTCGTACGATACGATGATGCACTCGAAGTCGATTTCATTTCCTATTCTATTTCTCGATTATGCCACCATCGAATTCGACTTCGAAAATCGTCGTTTTCTGGCGAAATGGGATGAGATTTTGATCCAATGAAACGAGCACCGAGGACATAGCCCCAAAGCCGTCACAAATTTGAGGTTATTGAATTTAAATTTATTTCAATCCCAAGACAAACAAAAATAATTCTAATTGTTCGAGATGTTATTTCAGCAGCAAAAGATAGGCAAAGAAAGGATAGAATTCGTCAACGACAAGAACTATGAAACAGAAGTAGGTACCTACCTAATCTTTTTCATTACCTGAAAAATTATTTATTGAACTATTTGAATTGAACAAAAGGTTGATTCATCTTCTAATACAATCATTGAGACCCCGCTTATCAGTGGATAGGTCAAAGTATGAAGGGAACAGGTATACAGAATCTCAAATATTCTGTGAATTGAGGTTTTATGCAACTGGATGATAGCAAAGATGCTACCTTATGTAATTTCTCAGGAGTTCACTCGCCAAGCCCCAATGAATTTACTTGGCATGGCCAGATTCACAGTATTTTATCGATGTCCCGACCATTAGACTCTGAAAATCATCCTGTGGCCATGGCCATGTCATATATATTATATTTATGAAGTGATAAGTTGATTACACACTTTCAAAGCTGTGCTTTCACATAAACAAGATGATTTAACCTCAAATTGGGATGAAGATGAGAAGAAACATTCGATGATAGATAAGGATAGATTGACAAAACGCATCGACTCGACTCCTCTTCCTCCTATCGAGGAATCGAGTCGAGTTTACAATTCCAGAAACAGAATACCAAATATCGAATAAAGATGGCCGATTCGACTCGATTCGTTGAATAGAATCTCCCTGCTGGACACGATAGAGACACGATGCAATAGAGCAGTTCAGCTAGCGTTGAGAGAAAAAACAAAAATGTCTCTATCATCTGTCCTTGTCATCACTGTTCCAACGTAGGATAATGGAAATTTTATGATGGTCACATTGGAAATGGGAAAGATTGAAGAAGAAGATCATATCAACCTCAATATTGAAATGGTCTTCTTCTCCATTTCTTCATATTTCCAGTGTTGCCAACACAAAATTTTCATTATTTTGTGTTGGAACACTGAAGACAAGGACAGATGGGGAAGACATTTTTTTCTCTCTCTCAAAGCTAGCTGAACTGCTCTATTCGCGGTCGCCAAGGTCATTAGATGGTTGCGATGACATTAAAAACTACGGGAAAACATGTCTAACTTTCAATCTATGCCAGGAGTTTGCTGGGTATTAGATAATTATTTAACATTATTGGGTATTTCTATTTTATTTCTTCCTTGTATAGATTTGTTTTTATCAAAATGATTCAATGCATCAGACACTAAATATTTTTTATTTCAAATCATGCTGCAGGCATATAATAAGGTGAGCTACCGATTAAAATTACTTGGATGTTTCATTGGTTTCTGTATAATTGGATATATCTGGTCACTTAAATCCAAAGTACACCTTTGCCATTAAAAAATAATTTGATGTCTCAAAAACTTTAAGGATGGCAAAGTTGTGTACATTGGAAACTGAATTAAAAATACATAATTATTATCATTGTGATCACCTGTTTTAGGCTTATGATCAAAAGAGCCCAAGGAAGGAAACGATTTGGAAGAAAAAACTTCAAGCAGCGTTATTTCCGACTTACCACACAAGATCTCAGTTATTCAAAAAATCGAGGTGAGTAATCCTCATTCAGTGTTGTAACCAATTAATTCTTCACACACACATTTTCGCACAGAAAGATTTGTTCAGATGAGAGAAAACAGATGGCTGTATACACATTGATTTACATACCTCGGGAGAGGAGCAATTCGGAAAAAAATGATTAAAAATACCTTGAAAAATCGAATTCTCAAACCAATCAATGCCTCACATTGATTTTCCCACAGAAGATAGGCTGAAATAATAGAAAAGGAATGGTTATGGTCAGGTGACCATATTGCTGACATTACTGGCCACAGTAAGCAATTTAGGAATACTAAACAGTAGCAGTAGCTTTGAATTCTCTTCTAATTTTCGGAACGATTTTGGTACATTTAATAGAAATATTGTTTTTGTCTTTTCATCAATTTCAATAAAAAGTTGTGGTTTTGTTAATAGTAATATGTAGCTTCTTCTTGTGCAATTAGATTCGAAATTATATTTCCAGTGGCGTCACAGTGGGTAAATACTAAATTTATGGATATTCATATTTTCATATTTCATATTTTCATTGGATTGAACCATAGATTGAACTATTGAAATAACAACTTTTTTATCCTCTGTGTGATTTTTGTATCTAGCTTAGTTTTTGAGGAAACAATAAAAATTAGATTTGACTCCAAATTTCATTGAAGGTGATTTCAAGACTTCCATTGAGATTACTCAATTGATACTTCCAACTTCAACATCCTGTATCTAAAAAACGGAACTTTATTTGCTAGAATGTCACAAGGAAACACTCCTTGAATTTTTTTTTCGGTGTTATTTAGATACACCTCGTATATATTGTAGTCGATTCATCTACTAACATGTGTTTATGAAAGAGAAAAAGTCGTCAAAGCTGGATGTATCTGCGAAAAACTAATCTACCTAGTAGAAAAAATTAAACATATATGCTTTGATTTTGAGTAAGGATTTAATGTTTTCAAATTCCTACTGTAACTTTTGACTTCTGGGAATAAAATGAAAATTGAATTATATCTCGAAGTTATGAGAACATCTTTCAATTATATACTGATTGAAATTTTCATTTTCTGTGAAATGCAGTGAGAAAACTTACATGAATAACATGTGACACCGGGCAATAATGATTCAAAATACTCTGCTAAAGAATTTAACCTCGAAAAATATCACAATGAGTACTAAAATTTCGAGTAAATGCATGGAAACCTGAATGTAAACAAACCATCAATGTACTTTCCATAATGTAAAAACTTCACAAACTATAAGATTTCCACAAAATTCTCAAACACACGATATGTTTCGCTTACACAGTAGCTTCGTTAGGTGATATACTGGTACGAATCATGTGAAGAAGCTACTGTGTTAGCGAAACATGTCGTGTGTTTGAGAATTTTGTGAAAATCTTATCGTTTGTGAAGTTTTTACATTTGTCATGGATTTCCATCAAGTAATGGCCGAGTCAATTCAATTATTTCCATTAGTTGATTGAAAATGCGTAAGAGGGCGTATCGCTTATTTCGAATCGCCTATACTGTCGACTTCTACCGGAGTACATTATTCGTAAATTATCGTTAGGCAAAGACGCTTTATGTCGCATCCCTCTGACCAACATCCTGGCGGTGGAGAGGCTGGCCGAGACGTCGTTCAAGATGAAGAACATGTTCCAGATCGTGCAGCCCGAGAGGGCGCTGTACGTGCAGGCGGCGAATTGCGTCGAAGAGAAGGAGTGGGTCGACTTGTTGACCAAGATCTGTCAGACCAACGCCAACAGGCTCAAAAAATACCATCCGTCCGCCTTCATCAACGGTCACTGGTTGTGGTGAGCGAGATTTTGTTTTTTGGGGATTTTCAACACTGTTTTACTCTGGAGTCTCAGAATGCTCAGATATTTTGAAAGATTCCAACTACAAAATAGCCACAATGCTCAAAGTGGAAGGAAATGTTGAATAAATACTAAAAGCTGTAAGTCATATCCACACAATCTTCATAAAATGAACAACAATAATGGTAGATTTCGGGAGAAAAACAACTACAGTCTGTAGGTGTCTACCGTGGACTGGCTAAATCGACATCAATAGGCATTCAGGAAATAATCATTTGTAATCAGTATCCGTTTATACGAGCCGATGCATATGTTCTGCATGGCATTAGCCAGGAAATTAGTTGTTTTTCTCCCGAAATCTACCATTGTTGTTCATTTTATAAACATTGTGTGGATATGACTTTGAGTTTTTATTTAATTTCTGGATTATTTGAAGATCTTTGTTGAGATATCTTGGATTTTATTATCCTTTGAAGTATGGATATTTCTTGATGTCTGCATTTTTACTAGAGTTCCTTAATGTACTATAACACTTATGTCTTGACGTTTTTGTATATTTATAGTACATACACTCGACAAGTAGTGCAAGAACTGTCAGATAACCGACCCTGGAGATGAAACATTGAAACACAACCTCACTTTTCTTATTGGTTTATAGGTCGCGTGCACGAAGACCGACCCTGGAGGCAAAATATTGAAACACAACCTCATTCTTCTGTGAATTATTGAAACACAACCTCACTTTTTTATTTGGTTACAGAGGAATCAAAAGGTTGAAATAGTTTTTCACAATATTTTGGCATACGAATCGTGTTTCTTGCGTTATTCATTAATTCAAGCATGCCTTCGCATTGTGCTGTTGTACAATGCACAAAAAATGCAGCAAGAGACTAGGGAATATGATTTTTCAGGTAAATAGTAATCTCACATAGTTAGCATTATGAAATGTTGTCATTCCTTATTAAAATTCCTTCTGCCTTCTGCCACTTCTGCAATACAAGCTAATGCTGCCAATAGATTGAAAATGTCTACAACACACAATCGTCAGCATGTCAGACCAGTCCTACCAATTGATTGCATGAATCCAATCTTCTTGCATTATTCTAGAAATTTCAGGTATATTTCTATTAGCTGATCCTATTGCAGAAGGAATTCCGATGAGAAATCAGAGAAATAACCAAATTTCAAAAATGAAAACTATGTGAGTGACTATAGTAGGTACTTACTTTTGAATCATAATGTACCATCCGGATATCTTCATCTTCTGCTGCAGTTTTTGTGCATTTTACAACAGCACAATGTGATGGCATTAGCGAATTGATGAATAGCGGAAAAATACGATTCATATGCCAAAATAATTGTGGAAAACTATTTCGATCACTTGTAAACAAATATGTTTTGCCTCCAGGGTCGGTCATCTGACAGTTCTTGCACGCGACCTATAGGTCGCGTGCACGATGACCAACCCTGGAGGCAAAATATTGAAACACAACCTCATTCTTCTGTGAATTATTGAAACACAACCTCACTTTTTTACAGAGGAATCAAAGGATTGAACTAGTATTTCACAATATTTTGGCATACGAATCGTGTTTTTTGCGCTATTCATAATTCGAGCATGCCTTCGCATTGTGCTGTTGTACAATGCACAAAAAATGCAGCAAGAGACTAAAGAATATGATTTTTCAGGTAAATAGTAATCTCACATAGTTATTATTATGAAATGTTGTCATTCCTTATTAAAATTCCTTCTGCCTTCTGTCACTTCTGCAATACAAGCTAATACTGCTAATAGATTGAAAATGTCTACAACACACACGATCGTCAGCATGTCAGACCAGTCCTCCCGATTGATTGCATGAATCCAATTTTCTGGCATTATTTTAGAAATTTCAGATATATTTCTATTAGCTTCTATCGCAGAAAGAATTCCGATGAGAAATCAGAGAAATTACCAAATTTCAAAAATGAAAACTATATGTGAGTGGCTATAGTAGGTACTTACTTTTGAATCACATTGTACCAACCGGATTACTTCGTCTTCCGCTGCAGTTTTTGTGCATTTTACAACAGCATAATGTGATGGCATGAGCGAATAGATGAATAGCGGAAAAATACGATTCGTATGCCAAATAATTGTGAAAAACTATTTCAATCACTTTTAAACAAATAAGTTAAGTGACGTTTGTGTTTCAATATTTTGCCTCCAGGGTCGGTCATCTGACAGTTCTTGCACGCAAATCATTGATGATTGAAATAGTTTTTCACAATTGTTTTGGCAAACGAATTGTGTTTTTCGGCTATTAATTAATTCGCGCATGCCATCACATTGTGCTGTTGTACAATGCATAAAAAATGCAGCGAGAGACGAAGGAATCCGGTTGGTACATTATGATTTGAAAGTAAGTACCTACTATAGTCACTCACATATAATGTTCATTTTGAAATTTGGTAATTTCTCATCGGAATTCCTTCTGCAATAGGAGCTAATAGAAATACTCGTAAAATTTCTAATAGAATGCAGGAAGATTGGATTCATGCACTCAAACGGGAGGACCGGTTTGACATGCTGACGAAATATGATCGTGTGTGTTGTAGACATCTTCAATCTATTAGCAGTATTAGCTTCTATTGCAGAAGTGGCAGAAGGAATTTCAATAAGAAATGACAAAATTTCATAATTAAAACTATGTGACATTACTATTCATCGGAAAAATCATATTCATTCGTCTCGCTGCATTCTTGTGTATTTTACAACAGCAAAATATTGTGAAAAGCTATTTTAATCCTTTGATTCCTCTGTAAACAAATGAAAAAAATGAGGCTGTGTTTCAATGTTTTACAGAAAAGTGAGATAGTGTTTCAATATTTTACCTCCAGGGTCGGTCATCGTGCAAGCGACCTATCCCCTCATTTCTCATCTATTCATTTGTGGTTATGTCTGACTGCCAGTGCTTGTCAGAGTGTCCGTACTCTAAATATACAAAACTAAAGTGTCAAGTACATTAAGGAACTCTAAATTTCACAAAAATCTCGAGAAATCACCCGTTTACGTTCGTCTCGCAGCTGTAAATCCCCCAACGAACTGGCGCCCGGCTGCAGCGAGGTATCGCCCGCCGACAACAACTATCACATGACGCTCGACCCCGAAAGGGATTTGCAGCGCATCCATTCGCTGATCATCGCGCACCTCTTGACGTTCGACAAGTTCATAGCCGCCTTCGAGGGCAACGACGCCGCCGTCTGCGACATCCTGAAGCGGCTGCGCGAGAGCGCCTTCCAGATCGAGCAGAAGCACAGGCTGTACAAGCGGACGCTGGACCGCAACACCAAATACGGCAGTCTGTGAGTATAGGAACGGTCGAGTTGTTTTGGGATTTGTTGTTTTTTTTTTTTAATTTTTGAACGGCGTTTCGTCATTCAGGTCAGCAAAGTGAGAGCGACTGATGAGCCCTGGCAGGCCGAAACAGTGCAGACAATGGGGAAGTTTCCATTCAAATAATTGATTATTTCAAAATACATTCATGAGGCGGTAAACTATGACGTAGAAGCTCGATATGGAGTGAATATATAGCATGTCTCACTTTAAACGGACCACATATCTCAGCTATTAGTCATGTGATTCTAACCAAATTTGGATCGAATGAATAACCATCAATATAAAACGGTCGATTTTTCATTAAATCATATTAGGATTTTTTTTTGCAGAAAAACTAACTTCATAGTATTGTGCTTCATCCCAAATTACCAGGATCAGCTTCATTTTTTCATTTTCTATCTCGAAAAAATAATGAATTCAAATTGATTGCAAATTTTGAAACGTTTAATATGGTTCCGGTAGGTAGAAAATTGTGGTTGAAAAGAAAAATTCGAGATATACTTTTTTTGTTGAATTTACCTTTTCCGAGTAAATAATTATATGCGTTCACAAAAATGCTGTTTAGAGATGCCTGTTTTTTTGAACCCTTCATAAAAATCATTCAAAAATTCACATATGAGAGTTTAAAACCATGAAGAACAATAATACTATTTCAATAAAAACGCACGGCACTGTCCATATTATGTTTCCTATTGGGTCAACTCTATATCTGTTTTTTTTTAGATTTGCAATCAGGCATCTATGGACTTTCCTATCTCAAATTATTATTTATTAAATTATTATTTTTTTATTATTATTTTTTAAATTGGAAATTCAAGATGGCGGATCCAAAATTTCAAAACTCAAGATGGCATATTGAATATGGCAGGCGAGTTTTGTAATTATGATCCGATTCAATTCAAAATTGGTTTCTGAGGGTTTTCGAAATCGGATATTATGATTCTCTCGTCAAAAATTTGAAATTGAAGATGATAGATCCAAGATGGCGGAACCAATATGGCGGGCGAGTTTTGTAATTATGATCAGTTTTTTTTCAAAATTGGTATCTGGGGATTTTAGGGGTCGGAGATTATGATTCCTTCGTCAAAATTTCAAAATTCATGATGACATATCCAATATGGCAGGCGAGTTTTGTAATTATGATCCGATTCAATTCAAAATTGGTATCTGAGGGTTTTCGAAGTCGGATATTATGATTCTCTCGTCAAAAATTTGAAATTGAAGATGACAGATCCAAGATGGCGGAACCAATATGGCGGGCGAGTTTTGTAATTATGATCCGATTCTATTCAAAATTGGTATCTGGGGATTTTAGGGGTCGGAGATTATGATTCCTACGTCAAAATTTTGATATTGAGGATGACAGGTCCAATATGACAAGTCATTTTGTGAATATGATTCCTTCGTCAAAATGTTGAAATTTAAGATGGCGCATCCTATATGGCGGGCAAGTTTTGTAATTATGATCCAATTCTATTCAACATTTGTATCTGGGGGTTTTAGGGGTCGGAGATCATGATCCTTTCGTAAAAATTTGGAAATTCAAGATGGCGCACCCAATATGGCGGATGAGTTTTGTAATTATGTTTCAAAACCATGAAAAAAGGAATTATTGAATATCGTTTTCAGTGCTGCGCCGATTGGTGACGACAACTACCTGTTGGCGTCCCGTCTCAACATGGACACGTCCATTTTGAGAAGATGCAACTCCAGCGAGCCCTCCTGCCCTTGACGAATTTGAATGTTCAAGAAATGTTGCATGCAAGATTGAACGAAAAAAAAAACATATACAGTGAAAATACGGCGAAAGGTATGCAGTTCAGTTATTCGTTTCTCAGGAAGTTCCCTTTTGTATTGCATCAATGAATTAAGAGGAAGGAAAAAACCAGCTGATTGGATAACATTTTGTATTTGTACAAATTTCCAGAGACAAAAAACCCTCAAAAACTAATAATAGAGAGATTTTGATGCATACCTTTTGTTGATCATTGTATATACATGAAGATTCTCATATAGAAGACTGCTAACATTTAAGCGATTCTAAAGCAATTGCAGAAACAAAAACACACGTGTAATCCTAGAAAAAAATGCGAAGAAATTATTTGTATGTTGTACAGGGTGGTGCGACGATTGCAGACGACATACGATTCGTCGTATCATCGTGTACAAGGTGAGCTTTATTCTTGGGCCAAACTCCGATTTATGTAAATATGCAGTTGAAAACTGTTGAAAAATGGAAAGATTTCCATATGTAATTATTCTAATACTGATAAAGAAGTTTGAAAATGCTTAAGTGAAGGACGAAAGTGTAACAGCATTTGAAAGGCAAAACTGAGAGTCTCCGAAATATTGCCGACACTGAAAATAATCCAAAGATTTGGCTCACCATTTATATTTTAGATTTTAACTAGTTCTAGAAGAACAGACAATCATTTTTATTTTCCTATTGTACAAAAGAGTTTGTTAGTCATTTGTATTGATCAAGTACAAAATAAATAATATGTATACAGGGTGATACCTGAATCACCCTCGGAGTGAGTAATTGAGCAATAAATTGATATAGGGGCATTGAGGGACAATTTCAGAAATCGCAAAGCTGATCGAGTGAGCGAGTCTATTCCTTGAAGATTTTTTGAGAAATTGTATCGTTTTTTCTTCAGCTTTTGAAAATAACGTTTGATTTTACCTCCAGTGTTTCCACAACTAATGAAAATTGTCTTCCTATTCATAGTTTATTGGGTGATTCACTTTTGCAGTTATAAATTCACTAATTCCAGAGAGAAAAACATAATTTCGTAATTTTTCAAACATTGACTTGTTTAAGAAAGAAAAATTCAAAGTCGTCTCCACAATTTTAATGTCTAAGGAGGCAGTCAATCCTGCTTCAATAAGGTTGATACATGTTTCGGCCATTCAAATGGCCATCTTCAGTCGAATTAGCAACAAAGTGTATCTACAATAGAAACCAAACATGATTTCATATAAAGAAGAAATTGAAATGGAAAAGACAACAGTTGTAAATTCAAAATTGAATTGGTTAACAAATTTCAGTAGGATAAAAGAGCAACGGTGATTTTTATGAGTATAACAATGATAATTGATCAGTAATTGATGGTAAAAAGTGAAAAAACAAATTTTTCTATTAACTCTGACAACAAAATGGCGAACCATAGATAAGAAGGTTGTACTCACGTGGAAATCACTTCAAAACATCGTGAAGGCGAAAAAATTATTATTGTAACATCATTAATAATTATTCAATTTATTAAATGGAAAAGAAGTGATGTCGGTGGAATTGGGAGGAAGGCAATTCCACCGACATCACTTCTTTTCCATTTAATAAATTAAATAATTAATGATGTTACAATAATAATTTTTTCGCCTTCACGATGTTTTGAAGTAATTTCCACGTGAGTACATACAACCTTCTTATCTATGGTTCGCCATTTTGATGTCAGAATTTTTGATCCAATAAAAAAAATTGTTTTTTCACTTTTTACCATCAATTATCATTGTTATACTTATAAAAATCACCGTTGCTCTTTTATCCTACTGAAATTTGTTAACCAATTCAATTTTGAATTTACAACTGTTGTCTTTTCCATTTCAATTTCTTCTTTATATAAAATCATGTTTGGTTTCTATTGTAGATACACTTTGTTGCTGATTCGACTGAAGATGGCCATTTGAATGGCCGAAACATGTATCAACCTTATTGAAGCAGGATTGACTGCCTCCTTAGACATTAAAATTGTGGAGACGACTTTGAGTTTTTTTTTCTTGATCATTCCACTCCACTTTGAGTGTTTGTTTTCGGGCTCGAGTTTTTTTTAGGTAAAAAAAGTGAATCGACCTATTTTCCGAAAAGCAATCATCCTGCTTCGTTGTTTTCGCCAAAAATAACATAACAAGAAGAGTTGTTACTTTGTAAAGATTTGCTGCTTTTGGTTTCGAACAAAACCGACTGATTCTATTTTTTTTGTAAAATTTCATTTTGGAGTATAATAACTAAATAATACATTGAATAATGATTACCTCCTATATTAAATTTATTTGTTGATCATTGATTGAGTTTGAGTTTTGAGGTTTTATATGGGGTTTCAAAAAACTATCATTTGACGATTGTTACCTCGGAAAAAATTCAATGCTTGGATTGTGTATGTATTATTGTGATATTTTTTTGAATACCTTGTATTTTCAGACATGCCGTTATTGTACAGTGTAGATATTTTGTTAAGAGGCCATTCAAAGAGGGCATTTATCGCTATTAATATTATTGATAGACCACTTTTCAGACCCCAATGAGCTCTTTTACATTTATTTTGTATTGTGGCACATATTAGTTTAAGAAAATGTTTATTTCTAAGGTATTTTTGATAAAAAGTATCAAAATTTGATGTTCTCGCTTTAAAAACCATTTATATGTATAATTTTATTGCATGTATATTTTTATTTGCACTGATTTTATAGATTTTTTATTTAATTCATGTTTTTGTTCTTTTCCATTAACTTATTAACTTTTTGTAAATTTTGTGTAATATTAATGTTGTTTTTAAAACAAGTTTTAATAAACATTATATAAAATCATTATGATGACTTTTTTTAAAATCTTTTATTTAACTTGCATTGTATGTTTGTATGTATGTTCGGGTGGAATCTTTGAACTCAATTTTGAAGTAGAAATCTTCAACCGATTGAGCTGAAATTTTGTCCAATATGGCGGACCATCCAAGATGGCGGAATGGTCATTTTTAATCTACTTCTACAATATGGGTATCAAATGGAAGGGCTCGTTGAGAGTAATTCGAAAAATAATGTGACGTTATTCTAAATCCAATATGGCGGACCATCCAATATGGCGGAATAGCTATTTTTAATATACTTCTACAATATGGGTATCAAATGAAAAAGCTCGTTGAGAGTAACTCGAGAAATGATGTGACGTCATTCTGAATCGAATATGGCGGACCATCCAAGATGGCGAAATGGTCATTTTCAATATACTTCTACAATATGGGTATCAAATGAAAAGGCTCGTTGAGAGTAAATCGAAAAATCCAGCTAGCGATAACTAAAAATTAAAAAATGAATTAAAATTAAAAAAAAACTTTTTAATAAATGGCTTTTATTTAAACGCTCTAAAAAGAAGAAAATAAAATTTTTCTTAATGACTTCAACTATCAACTTATAACCTCATTATACACAATTTATATGATCATGAAAGCTTGTCGCGATAACTTTTATGATCATATACATTGTGTATAATGAGGTTATTAGTTGATAGTTAAAATTATTAAGAAAAATTTCATTTTCTTCTTTTTAGAGCCTTTAAATGAAAGCTTTTTATTAAAAAGTTTTTTTTTTTTACTTTTAATTAGTCAACGTTGAGTTCAAATACATTTTGTTATACATATTTTGACTCATCCTGTATACGTAGAAAACATTTTGATTACTTGAAAGAAGCCATGGAGCAAAGGAAGAAAAACTCAATCTATATTTAAAAATACTGCCAAGATTTACATTGTAATAGTTATTTAACCAACTAGTTTATTAATGAGGGCGATTAATGATCGAGATATTTTAACGTGCGAGCGAAGCGAGCGCGTTAATGTTCGAGATCATTAATCGCCTTTTAATATACAAGTTGGTTACACAATTTTTCCGTCGACTATATTTCCCATTTCTCCTGCAATGAAGAAAACTTGGTTCGCGAATTCATCATCCATCCGGAAACTGCTAAGAATCACCCAGTAGCCTTGTCACTGACATTAGTGTCATTTGACATTTGTCGAAATGATCAACATAGAAAATAAATTCCTTGTGTTAGAAAACAGGGATTAAAATCGTGTCAGAAACTTGGAAAGGTGAACCCGTTAACAGAAAATCTTCAATGAAATCCATATTTTCGATTTATATGCAGATTCCGTAAGTTATAGCATAAACAATGAATGCACGCGGTGTATGTTTGGTTGCCTATAAAACAATCGTACATTAATAGACAAATCGTTCATTAATAGGGGTCATTAATGAACGATTTCATATACATTAAACTTAGTCGTTAATACGAGGTCGACGGAAAAACTATTTTTAAACACTGTTTTGAGTGTTGCCAAGTTATATAAACAGTTAAAAATGGAACGAAACTGAGAGAAATGGGAAAGGATTTTCACAAAAAAATAATTAATGGCATTTTCAAAAGAGAATTAGACTTTCTAAATTCGAAAATAGTAACAGAAGCACGGAAAATTCATGAGTAATTGTAAATTGAATTACCTAACACCAAATTTTTCATCATTAATACCTAGTGAAGGATATTTTATTATGAGTGAGGGTTGCTGGGCTGTGTGCACGTGACTATATACCAAAGAAGGGAAGATTTGTATTTCGTGCAAAATAATTTATTCAATATTCGTAGCAGAGCGCTTTCGACTGTTAAGTCATCATCAGTATTTTATTATGTGCACCCACTTACCTAGTGAGCAGATTTTACGTAAGATATTGTCTTCAAATAATTTTAGAATATCTGTCAACAGCCAACGAATGGTTCCAATTATGTCGGATATGACGACTGGTTGCACGTTATCTGATCCAAAGCAGTTCATAAAAATTCGTAGACAACTAGGCGCGTGATGAAAATAGTGGGTGTCATTGTTTGCGTTGCCCAGAGATGCGGCACCGCTGTTTTCCACTTTTTTGCGTCACCGGTGAAAGCACGTGATTTTATATTTACAAATTCTGGCAAGATTCGGAAAACAGAATTTCCACAAATTAATAGAAAATGAGTTAATGGCTCACGTGAGTGGTGGTGAATCGATCAATAGTACCGATTCCAAAGAAAAACTGGGAACATGGTGAGTAGAATATGTATAAGTAGCCTTCATCTATATCATTCTCAAAATTCCAATACAGATAGTTTTTTTCTCCTGATTTGTCAATAATATAAAGAGATTGTTTGTATTATTTATATTGAAAAATATGTGACTGATCTCTATATGGTTTGCAATTTTTATTCAGATAATACAATACACCTCTATGTACCTACATTTATTTATCATGGTAATTCGATGATTTTCATTAATATGACTTGTTTATACAGTAATAACTATTAACTAGAGAGTACGGTTTATTTACAACCTATCGTGCTTAGGTAAATGAACTGTTACATCCATTTAACATCTGATAATATTATTTAGTACATGAACACTATTGAATATAAAATATAAAATCAGAGATGCGAATACATAATATCATGTGATGATCTTGATCTATTAATTGTTTTGTTGAGTAAATTCGATTATCATGCTCGAAGGAGATGTTTGTTTCCGAACATAATTTAGATTACTTAGTCAATTACATAATTAGATTGTTTTTCAAGTGGAAACTGCCACTATACAGAATTGACGCCATCTCAACGAATACGGATCGTATTATTCAGGGAATGCAGATTCAAAGAGAGGCAGTTATTATTTGATTCCTTGTCAACACCAAATCAGTCAAAGAACATTAAATATACGGATAGGAGTGAATCAAATGATGATAATGTGGGCAAAATTGGCCCATTGGTAGGTACCTACCTGATAATCAATTATTATTGAAGCATGTGAACTGTGGAGCATTTGTTTTCAGATTCGAAGAAACAGTGAGGAGTTCAGTCATCTGACTGACCTGATTTTCGGTTCAACAGCTTTGAAATACCATGAAACTTATTACAAAATTCATAGCATATCGTCTCCACAACGTATGATTTTTACTCAGGTATAGAGAATTTTCGAAATTATGCTTTTCTGAACAATAATATTTTCTAGGTTTTCATTCCACAGCGTCGAAGAAGTTTAAAAAAGTGCTCTGGCTTATCATTGTCCAAATCCGGTTTACTGGAACTCCAAAATTCATTTTCCAGTCCAAAATTGCCGTCTACACAAAGCGAAATTTCAAGCTATGATTCATTTTCCAGTAACAAATTCGATTACTTGAAAAAATACAATTTCTACTGTTATTTTTTTAGTTTTTCGGAGAGATTCTAAACCAACCCCAAATTCAACTAGTACCACAATGGACTCAGGGTTTTCGGAACTTAGTTTGGCAAGTTCCTCTTCGAGTCGGTTTTTTGAAAATTCATCGCGACGTAAGTACTACAAAAAAATCACAATAAATACAGGGTGTCCGGGAAGAGAATGTCGTAAACGCTAGGGCTGATAGAGTGATCGTTCATCCACTGAACGTGCATTCACGTCCATTTTGTAAACGTACAAACTGGATCCAATCATGTACATCCATCAGACGTACCATTTTGAACTTAAAAATATATCCGGAATCGTACATTCATTGATCGTACATAAACGTTCAAATCGTAAACGTACAATTTAGATCCGATTTCGTTTATTTCTTGGACGTTCTGAAACCTACAAATATGGATGTTTTGGTGAAGTCGAATATCGTACTCCCAATGGACATCCATAAGGCGTACAGTACTGAACGTTACATGGACCTTTGGACATTATTTGGACATAAACTGGACGTCCACTGGACGTTGTGTGTTATATGGGTTAACTCATAGGTACTAATGCACCTTTCGAAATGTAAACGGATGTTCAGTGAATAAGTTTTATACAGGATTTCCGTTTATTGGAGGCATTTTTGACAGAGGTGACAAATTTGACATTTTGCTTCCACCGTTTGATTCCTTCATCTTCGTACTCCGTAAAGAAGTGCGATAGACATCATTTTTTTACATGAAGTACTAACATTATTTTGGTTCTCTTTATCAGCCCTATAATTTACGACATGACCTTTCCGAACACCCTGTATATTAGAATCGACTGTATTTTCAGGAAATTCTTATGAACCATCTGATACATCCCTAGATTTCCATAATTCTTCAAAAGATTTCTGTGTGGGATATTCCAAATTAGGCTTAGCTTTGATAGTTGCTGTAGGTACAGATAATGATACGTAAGTACAGGAAACAATCATGTTAATGGAAATGAAATTATTGAACTGGCCTTGTATTTTATACCAGGCACGTTCCGCTTATTTCCGACCAAATAACATACAATTTTGCAGATACAAGGATAAATACATGCAGAATATTACATTTATAGAATCAATCTTAACGCGTCTTAGGCAATACGTAGAAATTGCTTTGAGCACGCCAAGCTATTTCATCTCTGTCTTGATCGACATCTCCAAAGATACTGCATTGTGGCTGATTGATTTTGCAAACGATATACATTCTTGGACCACAAAAGCCGAAAAAAATAAATGTGATAAAAAATGCAACTGCAGAAATTCTAGTGTAGAAATATTCAATAAAAGTTGGAGTATTCTGAAGTTCCCAATGAATATATTTTTCAAGAAAGAAATCAATGAGGAATTTGTGAGTTTCTGTAAAGTGATAAATGACTTTGATGTGAAAGAAACAAATTTGTGAGTACAATCTTTTGAGAGAAAACAATACATAAAAGTTATTTTTCATTTCAGCTTTTTGAGTACGCTATTAACATCAGTGCTGATGCACCATACAGGGTGGGTAGCGACTTGTTTCGCTGCTCAAAGTACAAAACTAAAATTGAATAGTTCATACCACGCTGTGTGGATGCAATTAACGAACCTCCAAGGATCCACAGGTTACTTAACCAAGACGACAAGAACAGTTGTGTATGGTTTAAAGAGCGAAAATGTAATTAAGCGACTGTTAAACTTCCTTCGATACTTTATTAGGTTAATAATAGAGACAAAATCACCGAGTCGGATTTCCACTTTTTAAATTTCGTAATTATTTTATAACTACTTGCATATTATAAAGAGTCAATTGAAATCGAGAACTTATATAATAATGCATTCTAATTATTTCGATATCACTGCACAATTTTCTTTTGAATAGGTACTCGTCCTTGTATTACCTGAATCGTTATTATGAAGAAGACATATAATTCTGTTATCATCTATAATAGTCATAATAATGTACAAATATTTATCTGATACAGTCATTCAAAAAGTATCGTACATAGATAATAGTATATTGTTTAACGAGCACGGAATGATAGTGATTAGCATTCCGTGCGAGTTATGCACTATAATTTTTCTACGGCTGTAACAAATAACAGTGACTTTTTCTATTCTTTCGTCTTTTTTTTAAATGATAACACAATGGAGTCATTGTGATATCAGATACGGAAATAAAATTGATGACAAACAAAGCACCTCATTGATTTATCGACCACAGTAAAACAAGAGCAATTTTGTGTTATAGCCGTAGAAAAATAGTTTTTTTCTGCAATCGACTCAAAAGTCTTCCGTTTGTTCCAAAATTAACTCTGGCAGTTGACCATTCTCTTACTGACACAATAAAATGATTAGTATGTATGTTGCTACTCAATACGTTTAGTGTCTAGGAGCTAAAGTTGAAGTTCAACTCCTAGGAACTAAAAGTGTGTCGGCGGATGACAGTTGATATGATAGCTGCTTTGACACTGACATGTTCAAGTGAGTAACCACTCAAATTTTATTAATTGGATATCAATTATTTCGATTGCAGAAAAAATAGCATGTTTCATTCGGATCAAAAGTGATTGTTTTGACAAGCGATAGCAGATGATAACAGATGCACATGAAATACAATCCCCCTATTATGTTCGAGCAATTTGAATATACAGGGTGGCATTGAAACAAGTGCAAATATTTCAAACACTGAGAAAGCTCGACGTGTACTATCGAATGGCAATAATAAAAAAAAAATAGGGATCAAAATAAAATTTGAGGTTTGACCCCTTTTTCCACTCAAAGTTCTACACTGTAGCAAATGTGACGTCACCTCTGTTCGAATTTCCATGCGGTAGACATAATCACGCGGATGTCAATGATTTAAATTGTTTTAAAGAGGCGTACTTGAATTTTTTCCCGTGTTTTGTTCAATTTTTGGGATGAAATTTTTCGTTAAGTAGAAGAATTAGGAAGAATCTGATATCATGGGAATATTCCTTAGACTGTATCATAAACGTGCTGAATATGTGCACTTATTTCAAAAACACCTCGTATATTATTGTGAGTATATTTGAGAAGTGAAAATTGGACTCTGGGTGAATTTATCTTTATTATTATGATCGAGTCCGCTTCAATATGGCATTCATCAGGTATTTTAGAGTGCAGAGAAGATATGTAGAACGTGATAATATCGATGAAGAAAATAAATTAGTGGATGAAATATGTGAAAGAGAAAAAAACATGCGTGACAATGAACAACCGATAATAAGAGACAATAATTCGGGCATGAGGAAATCAAAAGCTTTCAGAATGGATTTGTCCAAAATTGTTTCATCTGAAGAAGAAACCAAGCTGGATATTGAGACTGAGGACGTAAAAAAATCCGTATTATTCATTCTTGGTGAAGATGAAGAGCTTATGAACTTGAAGAAGACACCTAGGAAACTATCCAGCGAACATAAAAAAATTAGCAATAACAAATCTGTTGAGAACATAGACAGATGTACAGAACAATCTAAAACCCTAAAAATCACCAAGTTTCCTTTACCAAAGTGAGTCGGTAACATACAGTATGTAGTCCTTTCAGAATTAATTTGAAAGATTTGTTCGTTCTAGGGTGAAATTTAGCGAGGATTACTTGGACATGATGCCATTTGAATTTACATTTCAGGACAGTTCACTTGACAAATTTTCACCTGAACTGATGCTCCAAGGAACCGAAATGCCTGAGGAAAAGTGGAAACCTATATTGAAAACCGATCTCACCAACACGAATAGAGAAACCGTAGATGAATCGGTTGCTATTTTAGCAAATACCGACAAATGGTAAATTGCAGGAAAGCGCTGTTTTGTTCAAGTTGAAAATTATCTGTTTTCAGGAAACTACAAGTTTGGTCTAGTAAGAGAGAAAAATTTACATGTGGCCATGGAGATCACCTGGACAGCTCTCCATTAGTTGAAAATATGTTGGAAGTAATCTTACAAATGTGGAAATCAAACCTGTCCAAGCAATATGTCAGTATCTACAGGGTGTCCCATAAGTCATGGATCAAGAGGGTCATTTCCAATGTTTCTTCATTAAAATAGTTATTCATTATACAAGGGAAAAAAGTAGTAGATTCTAGCTCCAGGTTGTGTTGTGAGACAAAAAACCGTGAGCTAAAATCTAATATTTTTCCCGTATATAATACACTATTTTTTTCTGTGACAGAAGAAAGGACGAATCAATATTGAAAAGATATTACATTATTTTGAAATCTGAAAATTATCGACGTGAAATTTTATGTTTTTAACAGTAGGGACACCTGCGTTGTAGGCATCTTTATCATTATTTTGAAGTAATCAAATATCTGATGTCACTTCTATCAGTCTAATTCTGTGATATGAATTCAAAAAATTGCGAATTTAGTGGTTGTTTAGTAATATACGTAGGTAACCGCGAAGTCGAATGGAAGTTGAAAGAACTTGCAGTTCTTTCTCGGAGACGTTATTAATGACTCATTTTCCCACGGGAAAAAAGTAATTTATGAAAAGTGACATTTTATAACCTGCCAACAGAGATAAAATGCCAAACTTTTTTCCCATCACAGAAAAAAATCATTTTTTTACTGATTTTATCCGCATAAGTGCACTTTTCCCAAGAAATTAAAAAATATTTCTGTCCTCTGTTATTTCGTATCAAAAAAGAAAAATGTTGTTTTGGCCAACTATCAGAAAATAGTTGCCTATTTATTACAGATTCCGAAATGGTACAACACAAAGTATAAACTATGGGCAGTTATTCAAAGCAGCCTTTTGTTATTAATTTTTTCAAATGGGTCGCGTATTTTTGTAGAGAAAGAATAACTCTTGAACCGTCAACAATGGGCGTGTACACCTTAGTAGAACTTTTAACTCAAACCATGTTTATAATGATTCTTTTATACATAAATAATGATTGACGACATAATTCGATAGAAAAATTAACTGAAATGTTTTATTTTTGGACATAAATAATAAAACCTTCTGAAAACGGAGCCTCTTATGACGTAGAAACCTCATCTCGCCATAGTTAAAAGAAAATACCAAACGCCCGACGGAGACTGAGGCAACTGATATATTAATTATTTCAACTGTCATCTCGCTCTAATTCACTCTGTCAGAAATCATGTATCAATCATCTCTGTCTGGAATAGTCTTGTTTCAGTATCAGGGTTTTGACGTCACATCATCGCCTCGTTTTCAGAGGTCCGAAAAATCGGGGATTTCAATAATTTTTTGTAAAACGTAGGGAGCTCACAGCAAGAAACGGTTTGCGGTGGTGAGCTAGTTTGGGTGAGTTCTATCGAATTACGAAATAACAATTTTTTGTGATATAAGCCCATTGCATATACATATACAGTTAGTTTGATCGGAAATGACCACCCCACTTCTTTTGATCCATGACTTATGGGACACCCTGTATATTCTTTCAAATACAACTTTCCTTCATCTCTTGCTTGTTTTCAGTGTGAAACTTTTATGGAACAACGTCTATTGGAAATTTGCCTGAAAGCCAGTACCCTAGCACAGTTCCTTCTGAGCACAGACTTTTGTTCAATGGATCTCATCGAATCGACTCTTAATCTCAATGTACTGGATGTTCCCTTACTCATGTGTGTAGGATCCAGTATTTATCCTGAAGTTACCCGAAAATATGGCATCAGTTATCAGTGAAAAAAATAAATGTTTTGGTACCTATTTTCTTTATTAAAAAAATTATTAAATTGGAAACACATGTGAATTCTCTCAATATCCTGCCTGAATCAAGTACCTGAAAGCCATAATCATTCACTTTAAGAAAAAACAATCACTAACGTGTTTTTTTAAGCTTAATTAAGATAAAAAAATCGGGAAAAGATGGTGAGAACAATTCAGTAGAATATTCAACAAAAGGTTTATTTTGAGGAAAATATTCAGTATCTATTCAGTTTGTTGGAAAAAGTTCGTCATAAGCGAAAGTCTTGCATATGATATTCGCAACTTCTGTGAACTTGTCGGCCAGAGCGGACTCCAAATTCGGCATTATTTCGTTGAGGAACAAATCAGAATTGTCGTTAACGACCTGATTAGTGGCTCTTCCAATGTTTCTATTCCCGGAGAAAAGGTTCGCCAGGTACAAATAACTTTTTTCGACGTTGAGATGGATGGTGAACTTCTGGAATTGGAGGTGAGTGACACCGTCGAATTTTACTAGGCGGCCTTTCAGCAAAACATCGGCACCCAAATTTGCTAAAATAAAAAAAATAATAACTGCCAGAATAAATTATCAAACTATGAACTTGTGCTTCAAAGAACATTATATTAATATCACAATTATTGTATGCACTCACTGAAATTCCCAGTGATTGGTCCTTGTCCTTTGTACTTCAGAACCAGTATATTCATGTTGATGTCATAATCGCCCTCGAAATAGATTTGGGGGACGTTGATTCTGAATATAAATCTATTCTTTTTTATGTCAGGTCTAAAAAAATAATCGTTGATTGTTGATCGATACTGAGAATAATAAGAGTGATGTTATATTAAATGGTCGTTAGAATCTCCAGGAAAAAACTAATGATGATAATTTGTTATGATGACTATACAAACAAGATTAATTACTTCAAATCTATTATTTCGAATGATGACGGGCCCCAAACCATCAAATTGGTGATGTTGGCATCGATTTTGGCGGTATTAGGACCACTTCTCATTTGTATCTGTTCCAGAGGAAGAGGTTCTATGGAAGGCACATGCAATTCTGGGATTCCTTCCTTTAGTTTGGGTCTCAATTCTTCCACGGAATTTATTATACATTTTGTTACATCTGGGGAGTTTCGGTTACAAACTTTTATATACGGTGCTGCCAAAGATAATTAATATTTTAATATAAACGAATTTTCATATTGGAAACCATGAGTATTAAAAACCTTGTACTAATGATTTTGTTTACATACAAAGAGTGATATATGGGTAAATTATGTACCTACCCACTTAATTGATTTAATAAATTTAATCAATTACATGATATTGTGCCTCTGAAGTTGCGAAATTAAATATGTATCATAGTACAAATTCAAATTGATTTTTTCAACCTGGAACCTTACCTCAATTAACCTTCGTTTGTTAATGCTAATAGTTTTTATAAATGAAGAAACATTAGTACTTATGTGATTCTGAAATTTGAAGCCAATAAATATTAAAATGCTGGTAAACCGGTATTACTTATTTCAACTATCAAAATATTGTTATATACCATCCATTGAGTTTATTTCAAAATCATGATGACTAAAGTTCATTTTATTCAATAAAATATGTCTAGCAGTCATAAAGGTGACGTCTTATAACTGACACCTAGTATTGCTGAGAATACACTTTTTTTTTTTCATTTTCATTAAGTGATATGACTTCAATTCTAGTAGATGATTCGTTTCTTTTATATACAGGATCATTGAGTTGGAGATAGTATATAAGCTGTATAAATTATGGTAATCCAGAAATTGATGATTGTCTATTGCTGAAAAATATTCAAGGCAAAACCATTAATATGAAAAAATCTGAAAAAACTGTGATATAATGATTTTCACAATCTCAATCAGGTGGAATTATTAGTTCAATTAGTATCACATCAAAATAATCCCTTGTTACTTATTGCTAACAACTATACCCAGATCAAAATCAGCAGAAAGACTCAATTTTCAAAAAACTATTTTTATAATTAAAACTTCAACACTCTGTTTCTCGCAAACAAAGCCATTTAGGACAGACACATGCTTTTATAATATTTTATTTGGCAAAGGAATCATGTCCTGATCTTAAAGTCACCACTTTTCAGTGTTTTCTACCTAATCATTTTTACTTCAATAAGATATTATATAAAAAAGATACATTTCAGTATACAGGGTGATCCACGGTTGATGGCCTATTAGAAGTATCTGGAGAACGAAATGACAGAACATTATGAAAATTGGGGAGCTTCGATAATTGAACATTCTCTATCCGTCTAAAATATTTTCATCGATACAGTGTTGCCACTTCTATCAGAAACAACTAGCAACTTTGTTATTTCAAATGGAACACCCTGTATTTTATTGCATTTTTAAATTGTTCCCGAAGAGCTGACTTCATCAATGCATCACACTTGGGGTCTAGCAGGAATGATTACAGAGATATAGGGTGTTTTCAGGATTTTTTTGTGTCGAAACTATTCATCATCGATCAAAACGGCTTACATGTCCCTATCCTAACTTTCAATTCACTATCTACTGACATTTAATTGGAACCGATACAGGGTGATCAGAATTCTGAATTGAAGCACCCTGTATTTTTTCTAATTGAATTCCAGTAGATATAGTGAATCTGCATTGATGAAATCAGTTCTTCAGGAAGAATCTAAAAATGCAATAAAATACAGGGTGTTCCATTTGAAATAACAAAGTTGCTAGTTGTTTCTGATAGAAGTGGCAACACTGTATCAATGGAAATATTTTAGAGGGATAGAGAATGTTCAATTATTAAAGCATCCCAATCTTCAGAATGTTCTGTCTTTTCGTTTTCCAGATACTTCTAATAGGCCATCCACCGTGGATCACCCTGTATGTACCTATTCAAAATAAAAAAACTACCCTCTCTGTTGTGTTTATGTGACACATTATTGATAGTCACCAATAAAATATTTTAATGTACTTTAATAGGGGACATAACTAATTCTCTGACAATACTAACAATAGAAGATAAATAATACACTTGAATTGGAAACTCATTGAAATAACTACTTATGATTATAGTAATTTTATACTTACGTAAAACTGCAGAAACAAAGCACAGACTTGCACACAAAATTAATAACTTGATGTGTCTCATTGTTTCAACAATATTTTGATCTACCAATGTTCAAGATCATTCACCTAGCTTGCACCAACTTCAAACTCAAATCATAACCAGAATGATGCTTATGGTTCATTTTATATTTATAATTGATATTAGACCTTGATGATATCAATTACTACAATAATGATTTTTTTATGTAAATCTTAGGTGGTAACTATGATTTCAGGTACAGTGTACTAGAGGAAGTTGCCGACAAACTGAAAATACAGTGACTAGTGCAGTTAATATAATCACACTAAAAAACAGTAAGTTTTGTGTAGGCCTATGAAACAGAAGGGAAAAATACATTTCTCTTATCATAAACATCCAAGTGTACTGCATTTTATTGCAAATGAACAATCTGCTTATTTTGGTACTTTATACATGTGGTTGCTTGTTTATTGAGAATATTAATACAGATTATTTCAATAGATTTCATGTTTTCTGAAATATATCAAAATATTGGTCTTGGAGAAAATTGAAACATGTTCATACAAAAATACCATGTTGGGAGGTTCAGGAGTTATTTTATGAAACTCTTCTGGATTAGTGAATGATATGAATTTCCTTAGAAAAGATATCAACTTGATTTGATCAGTTTATTTGTACAACATCTATAAAATACAAAACTGCTTCAATAATGTTCCCATCTAATAAGTCAGGATTAGGAGAGTTTTGATATACTAAAAAAGTTATACAGGGTGATTCAAAAGTAAGCGGCATCCTTTCAGAGGCGTATTCCTTGCATGAAAATAAGGCAAAAAGTTCCTATTGATAAGGATCCGAAAATGCTTCCTAAGGGAGCTACGGCCCTTTGAATAGGACACCTCAAAGACGGTTTTTTCTCTATAACTTTAAAATCCTTCACAACAAATTTTTAAAAATTGGTGTACGGCATAAACATTCGATGGTAAATAGGACTCCGTATTCGAAATAATTTCCAAACGAAATCACAGTAACCTGAATATCCGGAGAAGAAGGGATATTTTTACACTTACCCTCTCCCGCATGTGACGCCCCTGAATGAAATTCTGAAATTTCGAATACGGAGTCCTATTTACCATCGAATGTTTATGCCGTACACCAATTTTTAAAAATTTGTTGTGAAGGATTTTAAAGTTATAGAGAAAAAACCGTCTTTGAGGTGTCCTATTCAAAGGGCCGTAGCTCCCTTAGGAAGCATTTTCGGATCCTTATCAATAGGAACTTTTTGCCTTATTTTCAAGCAAGGAATACGCCTCTGAAAGGATGCCGCTTACTTTTGAATCACCCTGTAGAATTTGAATGGTTGTTTCATTACTGAAAAACCACAATGTACAAAAATTTAAAAACAGAAGAAAAACTACAAAACCAGACAAACTCATCACATTTCTCTCTGTCTCTGTTGTCAATAAAAAAACCTCAGGAAAATACCTCAATTTCAATTTATCTCAGGAATGCTGGAGTTTCAATGCCACCAATCTTCTGTTGAATGATCTTCCCATATCCTCCCCTTCCAGAGTCAAAATCAGTTCTATACTCATCACGTACCTAAAATATAATACTATCACAAATATCTGCTTGTCTGATGATGCTATGAGATTCTAGTAGGTACTATATAAGTGTAAACTAAATTACAACTACACTGTAATTCTTACTTGTCCCCCAGTCTTTCCTCTTCCATATTGCCTTCCCTCAACAAAACCTGCATCCCAATCAGTACGAACTATTCTGTCATCTAATCTTGTTCCATTTATGTACCTAAAATTTTCCTAATTGTGCATTGTGGAATGGTTTTTCCAAAATTGTAATTACCTCAAGCAGTTTTCTGCATCTGCTCTATTGTAGTATTCAACAAAACAGAAACCACAAGGAACCTTCTTGTATTTATCAAGCCCCATCACAATCCTTCTTATGTCTCCACATTTTGAGAAGAGCTCATATATCTGCTCCTCAGTGGTATAGAAAGATAGGTTTCCTACATATAGAGTTGTTGTGATCCTCAGTAATTTATCTTGCTCAGCTCTAGTGCCCTAAAAACATCGAATGTAGAAAATATACAGGACTGTACAGATATTTACCTTAAAATGTTGGTCACGGTAGGAACTGAGATCTACAGAAGGTGAGGTTACCATAGACATTGTCTACGATTATGGTGTGTATTTCGCTCTCAATGATGACAAACTAGGAAAAATATAATACCTCTCAATACCCCTAACTAAATGAAGAAATTAATACAAAAAATCCAAAATCAAAAGAATAATATTTACAATTTACGCTCGCTGTGGTGGAAGCACCGCATACCGCAACGAAAATGTCAAATGTCATGTGTTTATCTTCTTCTTTTTTTTTGTGCTTTGAACCGTGTGAATTCTCTGCAAGTTATGGTTCTTAGCGTTCAAAATTCGATACTAAAACGGGCCATAATCCTTCAGAGACACTTGTCATTCGTCCTGTCACGTTTTTTGGGAATGTCATACGTCATTTCTTACGTCATTTCGTCATTCATTATTACACATAGCTTTGTGCTGTGGAGTGTGGTGGACTTTGGTTTTTTACATTTCGATTTCTTTTTACCTTTCATATGCTAGAACTAGGAACAGTGAATTGTGATTAATTTCAAATCATATTAATACTTAATAGTTTAGTTTCCAGTTCTCCCTTCCTAACGTTTTAGAGTGGGTCTTTTCCTAATTCCCTAGCCCTAGTTCTAGTTCTTCCCTCAAGTTTCCTCTATGTATATTCGATTTCCTCAAGATTAAATTGAAAATTCGTCCGTTTTATACCATACTTAGCACTAGCTTTGGTACTTGTGGTTTACTTTGCTGGTTTTTTGCTGGTGTGTCTAAAAATTGACATTTAACAGCTCTTGTTGAAGTTTCCCTAGAAAAAACATGAAAATTTGGACAAGTGAACACACATTCAAGTGAGTACAGAGCCTCTATTTTTTTCTTCTAGGACCATTATTAAGTTTTTGTATTCCAGTCATCCCTGGGAAACTGTAGCCACAGCAGCTTGGAGGAAGTACCCAAACCCACACAATACTGCAGTCATTGGAACTGATGTTGTGGAACGAAAAGTTGTAGATGGAGTGCTGCATACACACAGGCTGGTTAGCTCTACATGGTATTTCCCAAGATGGGCACAAGCTGTAAGTACCTCCAATCACATTATTCAATTTGGCATCAATCCAAGCTTCATTGACTCAACTTGAATGTGAGGTATGTGAAAATATGCAAAAGTTTTCCACAAATCTTATCACAATATCTTTGAAGAGGTTGCATTCAGAATAAGTGATGATTAAAATTATTCAAGAAATCTATGGTTTAGATGATAATATGTTGGTAGATGTTTTTGTATCATTCACAGCATGAATCTTTGTTCTGAACTATTCTACAATTTTATTCTTCTTTTGTTAAATTGTGAATCATTTGGTAGGTGGTATTTCTAGATAATATTCACTAATTCCTCCAGACCTTTGTCTATTATTGTCATCATTTTGATGCACCTATTGAAACTTGATTAGCACTATCATGAAAAAAATTCACCTATTTACAATGGACACATTATTTATTCATGTATATCTTGGAATTTTCCATTGTTGTGAATATTTCATCAACTACAAAACAAAGCAATGCATAGACAGCATTTGATATAATATTATATTAGCCAGTAGCCACTCATCTTCTAATCTTATTTTAGCATGGTGCAGAAAAACAATAAACAGATAAAAATAAGATTAGTATCTATGCTCCCATGCTTTATTAAGGTGACTGAAATGCTTTTGATAGGTATTATGTGGTCTCCCAATTCAATAGTAACTCATTGCTGACCTTCATGAATAGGTCTGCCAAAAAAAATTTTGGAGGCCATCAATTGCATATGCAGTGTATCCAGTTTTCCTAGCTTTTGTGTGATATTTCAGTTATTTTCAGAGATAGACCTTGCAATTTTCGCGGTCGTGTGCCACTTTTTTGTGAAATTCATGAAGACATAATCAGATTCTGCATAACTGTTTCCATTTATGAGATACAGGGCAATTTTGAAAATGTATTCTTTTTGAACCCCTCTATATCTACGAAGTTTCTCAGGGAAAATGTGAAATTGAAATCTTATCCCATAGATAATTTTCCGTAGAATCCAGTGGCACACAAAAATTTTTTTTCGGGGTATGGTTTTGGAAATATGACCCAAACTTATGATTTTTAAAATGGAACATCCTGTATTTTATAAGCTCATTCGACCCCTTATTGTTTTCCCTTCAAAATGATACATGATATAATATAAATATAACATTTTCAAAAATGCTCGAAAATCACTAAAACTTTGAATTTTGATAGTGGGCTTTAGATTTTTCATATAAAAAAAGTTACAATTCAAGGAATGTTTCTCTTGATTCCTCCATGAAGAAGGTACAAACAATACCATATTAACTAACAAAATAAAACTTTGGTACCTGATAGCTACAAAATTTTGGTTGTTGGTAACATTGGGAATGGGAAAACATTGAGAAGTAGATCATATTAACCTCAATATAAAAAAGGTTATAATGGTCTTCTTCTCCAATTCTTCTTATTTGCATTGTTGCCAACATAACATTTTCTTTATGTTATGTTTCAACACTGAAAACAAGGACAGATGAGGAAGACATTTTTTCTCTCTCAAGCTGAACTGCTCTATATACCTTCAAATGGAACTTTTTTTATATGAAAAATGAATTTCAATGTTTTAGTGATTTTGAAGCATTTTTGAAAATTTTCTATTATACTGTATATCATTTTGAAGGGAAAAAATAAGGAATTCAATGAGTTTAAAATATATGGTGTTCCATTTGAAAAATCATAAGTTTGAGTCGTATCTTCAAAACCATACCCCGAGAATAATTTTTGAGTGCGCCACTGGATTCTGCGTGAAATTCTCTATTCGCGAATTTCGCGATAGAAAATAACATGTCGCCCTACCTGACGGTAACAACTTGCACAAATGTGAACCAATCAAAACAAAGTAAACAGTCCGCTTTGACAGATTTCATCAACTTCGATAGGTGGCGTTTCTATCGGGAATGGGATAAGATTTCAATTTGACAATTTTCCTGGGAAACTTCGTAGATATAGAGGGGGGCAAAAAATATAAATTTTCAAAATTGCCCTGTATCTCATGAACGGAAACAGTTATGCAAAATCTGATGAGGTCATCTTGAGTTCCACAAAAAAGTGGCAAAGGATCTTGAAGACCTCAAAGTTCAATCTCCAGAGATAGCACGCCAAAGCATCGAAAACTGGACACACTGTACAGAATCCAGAATAGCTGTTCAGCATTTATTCTGGGTTTTCGAATTTCCAGCTCATTGGTTCAGCAAATGTCTGCTATGCCAGTGAACAGTCCGAGGTGAACCCGATCTCCCGCTACATGATCTTGAAAACGATAAATCTCAGTTTTTGTCGACACATAGCCGTGGACGAGACTCTCAGCTACTTGCCGCACCCCTCTGACCCCAGCAAAACCCTCTTGAAGCAAGAAGCAGTGGTCACAGTCAAAGGAGTGCCCCTCACGAACTACATGGAGGACCTGCTGACCAACAAAATCTCCACTAATGCCAGTAAAGGACGCCAGGCGATGGAATATGTCATTAACAAAATAGATGCAGAGGTGGGTATAACAATGTTTTTGTACTGTTTTCACCATGTTTTTCGTTTTTAGGTTAAAGACTTGACTAGGAGTACAGATGAGATTATCAACCACACAAAAAAGTCTCTGGATGGAATAGCAAACAGTGCCAAGAAGTCCATGGCAGATATATCGGAGAAAGCAAAAAAGAGTCTTGATGATATGCACAAATTGGGTCTCAGTTAATTTATTGTCATTGATGGTATAGTGCAATTTTTCTTTTTAAGCGAATTCACCCTTCTCATCAACAGCAATACCTACAGCATAATGTAATGTTTCTTGGGAAATAAAGGAACAAGTAGTCAAATTCAACATCATATTCAATGAGCACTTTTGTGTCAATTTTCTTTCCCAAGAAATGTTCCATTTTTTTTTCAATTATATTTCTTCAATTTTGAACGAGTATTAGCATTTCGAGAATTTTCAATGAAGGATCACAGGCTGGCCTGTGATTTTTGTGATCATATTGATTTTTGTAAATAAATTAAGATCATATAATTTATTAAACATTCCTATCAATGGATGTTATTATTAGTAGGTATATATTAAATATATATACCCAATCACCCCGTTGTTTAATAAATAAATTTTGCGGAAATGATCATTTTACTCATTCCCCCAGTCCCTTTTTTGACTACTACATCACTACTTCCTTCTTAGTCACCTGGGTCATGCCAAGGTTGGTAGAACTGATGATTATTTTGTAGTGCGAAGTTTGCTCCATCTACAAAAAATGGTATTAACTAGGTGGCAGTTGGAATACAAATTTATTACAGAACTCTGTAAACTGCAGAATCCTGTAAGGAAACTTGCATCTGCCATTCTCTCTAAAAAATACCTGAGCAAGGAGTCAGAATGCCAAGAAACAGAAAACTAGTGAAAGTAGAAGAAGAAGTATGTGATTGTTTTGTTTCAAAACGATTCTTTTTCATATTTTGAAATTTGAAATATTGATATCAAAATTGAAAATTTGTTTAGTAATCCTAGATTTGGAACTTGTAATACCTATAGTTTCATATCTATACCTACACCTGCAATATGATTGAGATTGCAGTGCCTTGGAATTTGCATTTTGGAAACATCGTTACCGGCAGTCAATCGACATGGTAAGTACAACCCATTGTCTGCTAAATAGAGAAAAAATCTAGTGAGCTGGAACTACTGGTCTTCCCAATAGCTCAGTTGAGTGTAGGACCACTAGAGGATGTTACCGTATCGTACGATATGATCGTCACTTTTTTCTAGAAAAATTTCGAAATTTGTGGTTATGTAAGTTGTCACTGGTTGTCAGTGTCAAGAGCTGTCATGCCATCGTGACTTGTTTTGAATTTTTTTCTAAAATATCATTCTTTTTCAATTCTCATTGTTCTAATATTCCTTTCGTTTATAGATATATAGTTTTGTGTGGTTTTGTGTTGTGCTCCCAGTATTATAGTAGTTTATTCTGATTATCAATGTGTAACAAACTCTGTCTCCTCCTATTGTGCCTACCAGAAATTGTGAAACCATCACCATTCATGGATTTCCAAGTGATATTTCTTTGGGACAAAGTAGATAGTGTGGATACATTCGATATTGAGTGTTACAGGATCATCACAAGTAAGGAAATCAGAGCCCTAATCAAATGCTAATAATCGATACTTCCGATTCTACCACTCATTTACTTTGGGTGTTACAAGTTCCAAAATTGAGAACTATTGTAATGTCTGTAACAACCATTTTGAGAAGGAATGACTTAAGGTGACAAAACACGGGAAAAAGTTGCTTAGAAAAGGATCAATCCACTGGAATTTTTAGGGTAAGTGTAGATTTAATATTGATATGATGAATGAATGTGGAAGAACAGGTTGGGTTCTCCTTCGGGCCAGCAGGAAGAAGTTTCTTACAGTCATTGAGCAATGAGCATAATATGTAATCTCCCAATGTGAATATCAATTTGTTTGGTTTATGGATATTAGTTTTGTATGATTTCACATAGGTATTAGCTTCTCACTTAATTATTGAGTACTATGATAGACTATGATGATACATTATACCTATTATATGAAAATTATTTTTAGAAACCTTCTGATGCCTGGGTCCTCCATCATCATCATGTAAGCAGATGTGTGTGATGAATTCTTCACTCAACTAATGAAATTTGCTCATCTTAAGATAAGATATTTATTTGCCTGCAAACTACAAAATCAGTACATATAAACAGGTAGAACACTGATTTCAAAAACTTATTACACATAAGGTTTGTATACAGTGAGTCTGATAAATTAAATGCTCTTATTGTAAAGATAGTGTTATAAATGTGGCAGATTGAAAATGAAAATTGATCTGTTATTCTAGGATATTCCTCAGGAATGGATAGTTTGGCTAAAAATCAATTCATTCAGTTCTTTACGAAAGCACTCTGTATTGCTGAATGTTGTCTTTAGTTAATTTTCTATCAGAACATTATACTTGGTTCTTGTAAATTTTTTTCTCAATATCTGATTCTATATAATGTACAGGGTGTTAGTGAATGAGTGTGATAAACTGATACAGGGGTGATACCTTGTGATATATTTTAGGAAATAAAAGTCATATAAACATATGTGTCCATGCTTTGAATATGCTTCGTTTTCCAGATACAGGGTATTAATAGTTCCATGAAAAATCGATTTTTATTTGCCTACTGGAATGTCTCAATCAATTCCAATGAAACTTGGTGGTTTGGATGATAGTAACTTGGAACTTCTTGTGGTGTAATCAGATTCATAATAATTTTTCCAGGGCGTCACATTGGGGTAATTGATTGATATTTATGACCACTGGTTTTTATGATTTCCATATATTCATTGATTGAACAATTGGAATGACAATGTTCTTATCTGTTGTTATTTTGTATCTCCCTTAGTTTTTGAGGAAACAATGAAAATTCAATTGGTTTACAAATTTCAAAGGAGTGCTTTCAATACACTCATTGAGTATACTTATGCAAGCTTATAAATTGATAAATAAAAACCATACTTCCTACTTCAACATCCATTATCTCAAAAGGTTAGGACATCATCATGTTTATATGAACTTCATTTAATAAAATATCACATGGAATCACCCTCTGAAGTTTTTTTCACAACTATTCACAAACACCATATATATTATAGGTAACTGTATTTGGTTTATATTATAAACTATGAAAATATTACATAAATTTTCACACTTTCACTTACTGTTCACTTCCAGGATGACGGTGATGCAAGTGGTGAATATCGAAATAATTGATGAATCACTGGATATCAACACGGTGATAATTATGAATAATCTTTGGTAGGAGTCCAAATTGCTGAAAGTGGAGTGGAAATTTTCAAAGGAAGGAAGGAATGCTCAAAGTCATCTCCACAAATGTTAATGACGTTGTTACACAATCAGGAACATGTTTCATTCTTAGAAAATACCATCCTCAGCCTAAGCCCCTAGTAGATAGTTTATTACTTAAGTCCATCTTTAGCCTAAGCCTCTTGAAGAATTTTCATTAGACTGAAAGATGGTATTTTCTAAGAAAATACTATCTTCAGCCTAAGCCCCTTGTAGATATTTCATTACTAAAGACCATCTCCAGCCTAAGCCTAAAGTAACACCCCTCTTCTTTACTTTTTGATGCTTAAAAAATGTGTCAAATCTAATTTTTGGTAGTAACCTTTGAAAAACTTTCATTGAGTCTGGATGCTTTATTGAAATATTTTCTCAATGGCATGTGGGATTTAAATATGAATTTTCAACACCCATTGATTCTCTAGTGGGAGGGTTACTTTATGGACTATGGACAGACCATGTTTATATTCAAAAGCAGATTTATTACTGATATTGTTATCACATATTTCATGAAGCATCAGTTTCTACGAAATGTTGGGTGTTCATACATTATATTTTGGCCTAAATAACTTGAAAAACGTGTTGTTCTCTGCTCCAACAATGCATGCCCTACTAAGGGAGCAATTGTTCAATTAATTCAGAAATAATTAGTCACCACTTATTTTTTTTTATAATTATATTTTACTGTATCTGATGTTTGATTGTGGATTAACGAATTTACCTATTTCTTAGATCTGATTATAAAAAAATAAACATTCAGAAGAAATAATGAAAATTCATGGGTGAAATTTGTAACTGATTCTCAATTATTCAAGTTGTTCTGTATTCTGTTGTATCAAATGATATGTGATACAAATATGCGAATACATGGTCCACACAGTAGTTATGGCATTATTATACTTACTTATATTGCCTTGTATGCTATGTCATAAACAATCAAAAATGATTCTCTATATTGTCCAATTCAGAAACTGGGAGTATTTACAATTTTATTTGCTTAATTTAAACAATTTTATCCAAATAGGAATCCAGTAAATTACTTTGATATTTGGTCATTGTAATGAAACTTGAGATTAATTGAATACAAATATATTTTAGAGCCAATAAAACAATATCATGTTGGGAATGAATCTGATTTATTTGAATAATTAATTCAATTCATTAATACTGGGCTGGTGGCCGTGAGCGTAGAGTCGCTGGCTGTTGCCCAGGCGGTCCGGGTTCGATCCCCGGCGCGAGCACTGAATTAATTTTCGGTAGTTTCGTTGGGCGGGAGGAGATAGGTGGCCAACCCAACATTCTTGGTACCTAGATATCAATCCTTTGGACTGTCCACGGTTACCAGCCGAGTAGTGCTTCGGATGACACTTAAAAAGCTAAGGTCCCCGTCTTCTTAACTCACACAAGTCTCTGACTTTCGAGGGTTGCTTTGCAACTAAGCTGGCGGTTAAAAAACACTTTTAAACACTTTTTTAAAACACTTTTAATGACCTTTCTTCCAGATTCCAGTACCTATAGTCCCCAAATCAGTCATTTCCTGATTCCCCATCTCATCCAGTAACTCCTGATAATTTTTCAACATTATATGTCATATAAGATGGGCCCCCTGAAGTTGCCACCTCCATCTTCTACAATATTCCTGAATATCTTCTGATGGGTTCTGAAAATTGACAAATTCATCCTCAGAGTATTCATCTGAAGTAGCAGTGATTTTTTTATATTTACTGTGTACATTTTATGACCTGCCTATGCATTTTATCTATGTTATGAATTAGTTTCATTGAATAAATAAAGAATATACAAGAATTTGAAGAACAAACACTACAAAATCAATAAAAAAATATTAATATACATTTTGAATATTATTCAATTTTATTAATCACAGATGTATGAAATGAGTTTCAAAAAGGGATACTGATTTCCACTCTATACATTGATTGTTTGATATTGTCCCAAGAAACGTAGTTGTTTTTAATAGGAATACATAGTTACAAAAACAATTTACATAATTTGTAATGCATGAAAGTTACAAAAATTATATCATTATATCAAGCAAAAAAAAATAATGCAAATAATCATGAAATTCCAAACTTATTCATTATAAGTATTCAAATAGGAAATGGAATCATCCAAGTCTCTGAAGCAAGAAGCTAGCAAAGCATCTCACGAATTTCAACATGAGACACATCTCATAATTTTAGGATTATTTTAGGCTAATTTATTACTCAATTCTGGAATTGTTTGCACATCGAAAAGTCTGTGGCTTTGCTAGCTTTGGCCGAACTCAGCATTTTTGAAAAACAATATTTTTCTATGATTTGATAAAGTGAAACTGTAGGCCATTGTAGGGCATATTTTATGCTAATTTATTACCCTATTCCCATATTTTTTATTCACTTCATTCACAAAGAAATCTGTGGCTTTGCTAGCTTCGGGTCAGTAGAGCCATTTTTTAAAACATATTTGATATATTGGGATTTATTGGCTGATTTTCGGTTAATTAATTACCATATTTTCAAAATTTTTGCTCAACGTTCTCAAAAAAAAAAAAACTAAACGATTTGTTGAAATATGCCTTATTCACTGGGCATTATGTGTTTTGCATTTCTATCAAAACCATATTTGAATAAACGTAACCATCCATTCTCAAAGTGGTCCAGTACTTTTCAACAGGATAAAAAAACGAACTCAAAGTCGGTCGACCACAATATTTATTATAAAAATATTCAGCGTGTGACTATACTACTCAAGTAGCTACTTTTCTCATTGTGTCTGAAGATGGCCGTAGAGCCGAAGCTATAGTCACACGTTGATTATTTTTATATTAAATTTTGTGGTCGACCGACTGTGAGTTCGTTGTTTTCTCCATATTTTAATTTTTAAGTGTTAGTATTGATTGTAGGCTCAGTTACAATCACATTTTCTTATTTTTTGCTGCATATTTTTTGGAAGAAACCTGTGGCTTTATTAGCTTTGGGAGAACTCAGCAGGAAATTTTTGAAAATAATATATTTTCTACCGATTTGTTATATTGGGATTCAAAGGCTAATTTCAGGCTGATTGACTATGCTATTTCAATTTCATTTTCTCAACGTTTAAAAATAACCGAAATGATTTGTCGAATTACGCGTTATTCACTAGACATCTTTCATTTCTAAGAAAATATGCAACAAAAAAATCGAAAATGGGATAGTTATTGAGCCTTGAGCCACAATCAAAAATATGTTATTGACAGTAATGCATATATATAATGTCCTAGTGAATTTTTTTTTCAAACGTTGAGCAGAAAATTTGAAAAGGGTAATTGATTTAGCCTTTGCATCCCACTATATCAAATCGGTAAAAAATATATTCTTTTCAAAAATTGCTCTGCTGAGTTTGCCCGAAGCTCAAAGAAACAGGTTTCTTTTAAAAATGAGATAGCCTATAATCAATAGGTACTATTGCTATGCCTCATAAAATCATCATTCAATTTGCTTTTCATAAAAGTGCATAAATACCTAGTGAATAACGCACATTTCCACAAAAACGTTGAGCAAACATTTTGAAAATTGGGTAATTAATTAGCCTAGAATAAGCTATCTAACCCCAATATAGCAAATTGGTAAAAAATCTATGTTTTCAAAAATAGCTCTGCTGAGTTCGCCGGAAGCTAGCAAAGCTACATATTTTCCTATGATATGGAGGAGCAAAATATTCTGGAATGGGATAATAAATTAGCCTAAAATGAGCCAAAAATTATGAGATGTGTCTCATGTTCAAATTTGTGAGTGGCTTTGCTAGCTTCTTCAGTATCACTGGAGCAGGTATTTGTTCAAGTTAATTTTGAATTTAGTTGCTTCCATTCCTTTGGTAATGAAAATTTTGAAAGGAATATCAATTGAAGCAGCAAGTGGAAGAAGGAGTTCTGTTACAAATATGAGTTTGTGAGAGAAATAGGTTTAGTAAAGTTAGCTGACATTTTTTGATGGAAACTAGTTTAATAATTTGATTTATGCAATTGTGAGGAATAGTTGTAGGATGATTTTTCATGATTCACAGCATTGTGCTAACATATCATTTTTTGATAGACATCTGGATTTATGCTTACATAACCCCTTCTTCTATTCCAACCTGACCTGACATGTAGACAATGGGCACATATAGCTCCTTTTATTGATTCCTTGATGTTTAATGTAACAGCACCTTCTACCACTGTGTATCTGCTCAGATATGAAGAATTCAAACAAATCCTGAGGGCCAAATTACATATGTACCTTCTATGACTAAACGGTATATTTTCAGAAAATGTTGACCTCTTCTTCCACTTGCCCCTTCAACTGCTTGAATCCATTGCAATAGTATACCTAAAAAACAGCGAATTTTTGATTCTGAATCATTTGGTTGTAGAGTAGAAATAGGTACATTCCTGGAAAAAATAAATGATCAAGAATTATATTTCCTAAAAAATAAGTCAACTATATTTTTACAAGGTGTCCCAAAAACTCAACGTCATCCTTTCCAAGGCTGATAGTCCAGCTCATATGACCTTAGTAAAATAATGATAGTTTTGAATTTTGTGAAAATCGAAACCTTTGATCAGTATTTCCAGTACAAAACTACATAGTTCATGATTCCAGTTTTGTTATGCAATCTGTAATAACCCTTTGACCTATTGATTATAATCCAAACTTTCAAAATGAAATGAATCCAGAATGAAAAGAATTATGCAATACCAGCCTGAGTGAGCTAATTATTTTTTATTTCATTTATTCACAGGAAACCTCATAAAAAAATATACATGAATATATACATTTATTCACTATATATCCCATAAATCTCAATAACCTTTGAAACAAAGATCTGAAAAGTGTTCTTAAGCTGTTTAATGATCATTTTCCTTACACTTTCAATCTCTTTTCAATAGGTGAATGTTGATTGTAAACATTAAAATAAATCAACTGGTGAATCAGCATGTTTTTTTTTTGTCCATAGGTATTGCACCAATATTTTTATTTTGAATTGTAATCAATAGAAGGGTTATTATTACAGGTTGCATAAAAAAAATAGAATCAGTTTTGAACTTAGTTTCGTACTTGTGGCACTAAAAATACTGATCAAAGATTTTATTTTCACAGAATTCATAAAAGTGGCAATATCTCCAAAACTTTCAATAATCTACTGAGGTCATATTGTGATAATCTGGTCAGTTCTGAGCTTCAATATCAGCTCTTTGAAGAATGACGTTGAGTTTTGGGAAACCCTGTATAAACCCTCCATTTCTCATTCTGAAGCCAACCTTTCGCTGACATGAGTCTGCTAGTGAAACCTTGAGAGAAGCTAACTTGGAATCAGTATCTGAAATGTCTCAGGGATTTCATAGTGCAAAAGTTAAAATTCTACTCATATATATACCTTCATACCTAGATGCAGCAATTCTCTTCTTCTCAGCAGTGATATGATATTTCAACTCATAAAAGTGATGCCATCACTTTCTCATCACATTTTAGTTATTTTCAACTTGATTTTCAATCATCACCAAATATAGCAAACCTAAAACATAAAATAAATGGGTAGGTACATCAGCAGGTAGAGAACACAATAATGAAAAACATTATTCACTTTCATGATGACCTGTAGGATTGGAACTATACTCAAACTCATTCTCATAGATTCAACTTAAGGTTGAAGGTTTTAATAATATTCACATGAGTACTTAAAATATGTAAAAATAATAAGTTATAGGAACCCCTAAAATTATAGGAATAGATATTATATTTTAGTCAAACCTTAGATAATTATAGAGTTCTCTCCTCATATTATCTCATCAAAAAATAAAGGTGAACAAAAATCCTTCCAGAAATGGTCACAATCCAACATCCACACATATTTGGGGCCTTTTTCTGATTTCAATTACTGTGGACTTCTCACATTGTATATTCACTAGGTACCTAGTTCTTAAGGCTCAGCAGAAAACTGAAGCAGTAGTAATTATACTTTCCTTGAGTTTCCATAGTTTCGAATCTGAAAGATATGTGGATCTTCTCCTTGATAAATATGTTTTCCTGCATACAACATACAAGGTAGTATTCATGCAAGATACAAGATAAGATCTGTGGATAAGATTCTTCATGGTTCCTTTCTTTATATTATAACCATATATTGCTGATGAAAAACTTCATTTCCACAATTGATTCACAGCTGAGCACATCAAAAAACTGCACAGACCATAAAATAGGAATCACTGCTTTCCGAGCTGCTTTCACTATTTATGTTCCCACGTTTCACACCATCATTATCATGATCAATATGTACAGAATCCCGTATTTCGTCCAGGGCTGTAAGGGCCAGTATGCCAGTAATGGGGCTCGGTCTCTACGTATTTGTCATATCTCCATCATCTGCGTGAACTATTTTTGAATTGTTGAGTGACTGAGTGACCGTGTCCCGTGAATGTCTGAATGTCGTGACTGAACTCAACTCACTAAAACTAAACAAACTATCGGCCGAGACTGCCGAGAGCACCGCTGAGAGGGAGCGAGGCTCAACTCATTAACGATTTTTAAGGTTATGTAGGTTTGACAGGAAAACAATTGAACTGAGTGTTTCCTCGAGTTGACCGTATGGCGGTACTACTGTATCGGCCACAGAACGCTGTAGGTGATTTCCCCTGTTTGGGCAGACCAGATACTCCAGCTCACTAGATTTTTTCTCCATATTTAGCAGACAATGGTTCAACCATTTTGATCTATTCATTTATTGTGTTCAAATAGGTAACTGAATCTGCGGAAAAGGAAAATATATATTTCTACAATCAAAAGTATATACCTACCTATATTCGACGCTAGATGCTGGTTTCATAGATTCAACTAAACTATATATAAGAATTAAACTAACAACTAAGAACTTGAAAAGTTGAATACAAGGAAACATCTATGAGGGTTTATATATATCGATACCCTAATGCTGATAAGTCGTAACCCACAAAAAATTGAAAAATAGTATTTTTTCACCAAAGGAAAGTACACATGCATTTCTATATACTGTTAAATTCTCGTAACCCAAATAAAATGATAAATCGGTGATTCCCGCGATTTCCAACATGTCTGAACCCACGTACGGCATTTATATCACGTCTAACTAGTCGTATCCCACAGTGCAGTTCAAACAAGCAAAGCGTGTTGATAGCAGCTGACTAGTTTGACATGGTGCTCTGCATTATTTATTTTTTTTACCTCGGCGTCAAAGAAGCATCTTGTATTCGTATTTTAATATAAAATACCAAAAACCTTTTTTTTTTTATACAATAATATGCCTGTTGGAACCAAGTTGTGGTTTACGATGTATTCGAACAAACTGTGTGTACTTATTTATTTTGTGGGTTACGTCCGTTTTCTAGTTCTCATAATATTATTCGTTTTTCGTGCCTCCTGTAAAATTTCATTGAGTTGGGTTACGACATGTCAGCATTAGGGTATCGATATATACATCTACATCTGCCATTTTGTATCAAAAGAATTATTAATTTTAAAGTTGGTTAACTTTCAAAAATGCCTACTGTTATTTGAAACCCTAACATTGGCGTAACACCAAAGGCACATTGTTATATCAATATTTATGTCAATATGATGAATGTATTTCCATGAAGTGAATATCGGAATTTGAAGCTTCAACGAACACTTGAAAATGTCGTTTCGTCTTCGGACAACTCAATACCGAACAAAGATACATTCGAAAATATTTTCACGGGGACGCCTATTCAATTTTCAGACCTGACGTTTCAAATCTGAAAATGATGACAATTTGGATATGTCAGTGGTGACAAGCGTGTGCACACTTTTTAATATACCTACAGGGTGTTTCGAAAGGACCGAAGAACTTGATGACAGAGGTGATTATTGCCCCTGTGATTTCATTTACCGAGATAGAGACATACTACCGTCTTCAAGTTTTCAGTTCCTGAGATACAGGCTGTTGAAGTTGAGAAATAAAAATAGAGTTTTTGCAAAAACTCAAGAATATAATTCAATATTTTGCATTAAAATTTGGTATTCCGGACATTTTATATATCCATTATGGTGAGATACGACAGGGAGTTGTGGTTACTTTTTCTCCGAAATTTTCTATGACACTGATGAAATTTCGATAATCTTCAATTTCTCGAATTCATTATTGTTCAATTTTGTTCAAAATATGCATCACCTTCAACCAAGCTGGAATGAACAGTTTCCGAGATTATCGACCCAAAATAGTAATTTTTCATCATTTGTATAGAAAATTACAAATTACAATGTTTTTCTGGTGGTGAGTAGTTTAGATACTTTTTAGATCTCATTCTTTGCTGAACAGAAAGTTATTTCATGCAGGAAGTATATAAAAGAAATAATTTTGTAATTTTTTTACTACTGAAAATGATTAAGAACTGTTTATTATTCAGCTCAGATGAAGGTGATGCATTCTTCGAATAAAATTGAACAATAATGAATTCGAGAAATGGAGAATAATCGAAGTTTCACCAGTGGCGTAGAAAATATGGAAAGAAAAGTAACCACAGCCCCTTGTAGCGCTCCACTGGAAAATATTTCTGGAATCAATTTCTGGTCAAAAAAATGACCAATTTGATGATGAAACCATAATACACGGAATTTGAATGCAAAATATTTGATAATTCTTGAGTGATTGCGAAAAAATATGTTTTTTCTCAACTTCAACACCCCGTTTTTCGAGAACTGAATACTTGAAGATCGTCTGTCCCTATCTCAGTAATTATGAAATCACGAGGGCTATCACCTCTGTAGTGCGCGTTGTCGGTCGAATTTCTAAACACCCTGTATATTATACATACACACTCCAGTTTGGTCAGGAAATTGAAATAATGAACACTGAGACTGTTTTCTTCATCTTTATTTTTTTGATAGATGATACAAGATCACACATATTTACAAGAGACAACTTATTATGACTTATGCATTTAATTTTGTGCTTTTTGAAAGTATATAAGTAAATTTTGAGCTCTCAACATGAATGCTGAAACAGGCAGAAAAGCATTTCAATTTCAGTTGAGCAATTCAAGCTTTCATGTTAACAAAATAGAACGGACGGTGTTTTTGAAGCGGGACGGTGTGCACTGCAACTTGAACATCTTGTTTTTAACTTATACTCGCTTATACATATATATTTTTTTAATTTGACACAGCTCATTTATTGATACAAACAATATGAAATATAGGAATTCAATCAGGGCTATCATTATAAATTGTGCTTCTTATTAACTATATAGCCTTAAACTACAAAGGATAGGACACCTTAAATTCGTAAAAACATCTATCAACTATGCTCACAGACTATTGGAATCATCATCTAATGTCAAGGTAACGAATAATTCTACAATTCATTTGAAAATTCAACAAACAATAATCTAGATATAATATGTATGTCACGACGAGCTTTTACTCTATCTTTATATCGAAAATCAGCTGGGAGAAATCCAGGAAAATGTGCATACTTATATTCTAGAATACGCTCTTTTAATTTAAAATATTTTCGACAATGCAGTGTTGCCGCTTCTACTAGAAAGTAGTAGCAACATTGATATTTCTAATGGAACACCCTATATTTCATCGCATTTTCAGATTCTCCCTGAAGAGCTGATTCCATCGATATATCACACTTGGGGTCTATCGAAAATGATTACAGAGATATAGGGTGTTCAAAATCGAGATTTTTCAACTTTAGGATTTTTTTGTGTCGAAACTATTCATTATTGGTCGAAACAGCTCACATTTCCCTATCTCAACTTTTGATTAACTATCTACTGATATTTAATCGGAGCAGATACAGGGTGGTTCAATATTCAGAATTCTGATCATGAATAGTTTCGACACAAACAATTCGTAAAGTTGGAAAATCTTGATTTTGAACACCCTATATCTCTATAATCATTTCCGATAGACCCCAAGTGTGATGTATCGATGACATCAGCTCTTCAGGGCGAATCTAAAAATGCAATTAAATACAGGGTTTTCTGTTTGAAATAACAAAGTTGTTGCTATTTCTTTATAGAAACGGCAACACTGCATTACTGAAAATATTGTCAATGAATAGAGCTTATTCTAAAATATAAGCATGCATATTTTCATAGATTTCTCCCGACTGATTCTCGATTTAGAGATAGTGTAGTGTGACATACCCTGTATAGGTACTAATCGATATTTATATTATTAATAATTTTGTGTACCTGTATTTACTTACTATCTCTGTGTTCAAATGATTTTTGATTAGCCGTGTCTGTTTCCACACTGGCAGCTAATATAAAATATCAAAATAATAGTAGCTGTTACAAATCTTGTCATTGTTACAAAAAAGTGCTAAGTAAATGCCGAGGTAAATGCCACAAATATTCCACTACCATACTTATAGTGGAGAAAAGGGGCTACTTCTAAACATCTTAACATTCTAGTATATAGTCATTCAGCCCAATACTCCAATATTGTGATTTTATTGTTTTTTTCCAAGCAATTTATATTGACCATTCATTATAGCTATATTTTAAACATTCCTGAACAATAATTATCTATAATTTCATAAAAAAACTTCGGCCGCCAAATTTCTCAGCAAGTATTTAGGTACTAGAAAATCGGTCAAACTGCGCAAAGAAAATATCCAGTCAAAAAAGTTTGGCTAGATACGTGCAAGAACCCTCGCAAGAACCCATGATCATCAGGTGCAGGTATTCAAAGCCCCAAATCGATTTTTCCCAAAATTCACCCTAGCACCCTGCTGAAAAAGTATGGATAGAAAGGTCTCCTTTGGGGCCTGGTCAGCTGTCGCTGTCTGTTCGGTTTGATGGCAGCCCCTGTTTCGTCCATTTCTGATTGTTCATTTTCAGACACGTTAGAGGCAGACTCTGTCGATAGCTGTGTTTTTGGGGATTCAGACTCAACATCACTTTCAATGAATTCGCTTTCGTTGTTTTCGGCCACATTTTTGTTGAGCAAGTCCAAATTCGGATCTATATTTGAGGAGTTTGATTTATCTGGATTTTGTTCTAGTACGGCTGTTGCATTTTTTGCTTTGTTCTGTTCGGTTTGAATTTTCTTTTTAGATTCCCCTGGTAGCTCTTTTCTGAATGTCCTGTTCAGCTTGATGGAAGTGTCGTGTACGATTGGGAAAATTTCGATTTCCTTACTCACATTTGTTTCTTCATCTTTCTGGTCGGACTTTGTGTAATTTTTCTTGAGCGAGAATTTCTTGGGATCGGCATTTTTGTAAACGTCTTTTTTCGATATAGGCTTGGTTTTGGTGTCCGAAGTTTTCTTGGAATTTTTTTCGTTGATTTGCGTGAGTTTCACTGAAGGTTTGAATTCAGTTTTTTGTTTATTCGTCTGAGCTTCATTCTGAGTTTTCGAGTCACGTTCAGAAGTTTCGTTCAATTCGATTATGTCGAACATTGTTCCTGAGAGAAGACGAAAAATACACAGTTTGAATTAGTTTGAAATTTAAATTAATGTGGTTTAAAGGAAGTTCCCGAATGTCTGAAGGAGAATGAAGGTGACAAAAGCAGAGTTGATGATTAATTTCAGCGAAAACTTGGATGGTGCTCTAGAATATTATCTCATTGCTATACAGATACAAGGTATCCTGAAATTCATTTGCTTGAATCATACAAATATTGTCCCAATAATAATTATTAAAGGTATGTATGACGCGAGTGTTAGCCTCCTTTGGAAAAGGTCCTTTATCCTGATGCTTATTCATATGCATCTAATCTTCAATGCTGGTTAAAACAGTGTAGGGTCAATTAGAGTCATTGGATGGTATTTGGATAAGACCTCGGACACAGAAATGACAACTGTTGCAAGAGCAACATAGTCGTCCCACGCTTTTTTATTCACAACTGGTTGAATTTGACAATAAATTTTATAAACGCCAGCATTGAAATATAATTTCATAACTATTGAGAAAAAACATAGATGAAAATGTCCTGCTGTGTAATGTACTGTGGGAATTCTGAAGAGAATGGATCTCATTTATTTAATTTTCCAAAGGAAATATCAACCATTTTTTATGGAAGTAATGCATGAAACGACCTGGATGGAAAATTAATCTGAAGACAAGCAAAATTTGTGAGGTAAATGCACTTCTCATAACAGCAGATTGAAATGAAACTATATTTTAGGCCCATTTTCAAACAGAAGATTTCAAGATCCGTTTGAGAGAATCTGCTAGTCCATCCATTTAGCAAATAGACTATTTGAAAAAAAATCCATTATTATCATCACACGGAATGCAAAACAAAATCATCGTGGAGAAACAAGAATTGATTGCAAAACTACGTAATGAAATTGAAAATTTGAGAACGAAACCGGAAGAAATCAAGTAAATTTCAACGTGAAAATATATCATTCATTGAATGGCGTTTTTTATACCCACCAAATTCAAAATTCATCAGTAAAAAGTGAATGCAGGAGAAGGTAGGAAATCAAAAAAATAAATAAAGGGTTTGCAATCAAATATACTTATGATACCACAGGCTATGAACATCTGTTATGAATGAAAGTTTCCTCTTACGTCCATCAGGACCCCATCTAGGAAAATTGAGCACATAATTTCAACCCTATATAAGTATAATTATGTTTTGCGAAAAGTGTATCGCCATATATTGAAGTGGTTGTTTATACCCATGGACGTATAAACATATACCCTATAGCACACACTCGCCTAAGGTCATCCTCAATGTGTCGCCGAACGCCTGGAGAGGACGTTCTATTTTCTACAACCTAAGAACATCATCAGGCGTAAATTTGGCGCTGTAATTGTCCTAAATGAGTTCTTTCAGTGGAAACCTGAGGATGTAAAGAATTCCGTGCCTACGGACGTCCTCAGATGACATTCCATGAAATAACGTGTCATCGAAGACAAAGGGAAGAAAAAGAAGAACTAGAATTGAGGTTATGTCTCATGATAGTCATGATTTGTTCAAGATACATCATAATATATTAATGATTATATCAAAATTATTAGAGTATCCATTGAATACCTTCATCAAATTTCTATTTCACAAAATGATTGCGAGAAGAACTCTAATTGCACAGAATTAAAAGATAACAATAACAAAAGGGTGATAATCTCTGTTGATGACATTTCTCTCAGGTAGCAAGAAACAAAGGTGAGTAAATACTAAATAGAATCATTGATAGTACCGGACATGCAATATTGATACATTCATATACATTATTTATTGTTTCAGGCGGTTATTGAGAACACAAACTTGATGATATCATCATAGCAAACATGTTTTATTCCAAGATAGCTTTGCTTCTTCGGAATCTATAAAATATTGTATGGAAGCTTGAACTTTCAGTATGAATTCAATAAAGGTAGGTACCTGAATCAAATCATTGATATAGTAGGTACTGGACATGAAATGTTAATAGGTTAATTATTTGTTTCAGATGAAGTTATTGAGAACACAAGATTGATGATGTCATCAGAGCAAAGATGTTTCATTCCAAGACATTTTGGCTTCTTCGAAATCTCTGTGAGATTGCGTATGCATGTTTGCATCACTTTCAGTATATTCAATAAAGGTAGGTACCTAAATCAAATCATTGATATCGTAGGTACTGGAACATGAAATATTAGTAGGTACATTATTTGTTTCAGGAGGTTATTGATAACACAAAATGATGATATCATCAGAGCAGAGATATTTTATTCCAAGATATTTTGGCTTCTTCGGAAATTATGAAAGGTTGTACATATGCAGACTTGAACTTTCAGTAGATTCAATAATGGTTGGTACCTAACTACATAAATCATATATCATTGATAGTAAGTACTGGACATGAAATATTAATACGGTGTTTGTTTCAGAAGGTTATGCAAAACACAAACCTGATGATATTTTCATTCCAAGATAGTTTTGCTTCTTCAGAATCTATAAAATATTGCATGAAGGCTTCAACTTCCAGTTGATTATTCTGCATCAGGAATGTCCAGAGTTCAGAAATCAAAAACAACATGGAGAAATATAACTATCAATAGGCAATAACTTCTAGTAGTAGTGCTCAACAAGAAGCTGAAATACATTTCTTTGAAAAGGAAATTGAAATTTTTCGGAATAAGTTATAAATAATAGAATGTATGTTTTTCATTCGGTTTTTCATTTGAACCTATTATAAATAGAGGAAAATTTTGCAAATATCATGAGATCCATATTATTTTGAAGAAATTATCATTTGCATAATACAAGGTGAGTCAATAGTGTGTTATCCTTGTATATTAGCCAAACCATCAGATAAATAGAGAAAATTCAAGTACAATAGTAATAGGGTTTCATGAGAACTTTCACATTAAATTGTTTTCATATCTGTAGGGTGTTCAAATTCCAAGATATATTGACTGATGATTGTTTTTTTCCATATGGGACACCCTGTATACTATTGCATTTCCAAGTTCTCCCTGAAGAGCTGATTCCATCAATGTATCACACTTGGGGTCTAGCGGGAATGATTACAGAGATATAGGGTGTTCAAAAACAAGATTTTTCAATTTTAGGATTTTTTTGGTGGAAACTATTCAATATTGGTCAAAACGGCTCACATATCCTTATAAACTTTCGATTTACTATCTACTGACATTCAATCGGAACAAATAGAGGGTGGGTTAACATTCAGAATACTGATCAGCTTATTGTATCTGTTCCAAATAAATATCAGTAGATAGCTAATCAAAAGTTAAGACAGGGACATGTGAGCCGTTTTGACCATTAATGAATAGTTTCGACACAAAAAATCCTACCTATGAAGAATCTCAATTGTCAACACCCTATATCTCTGTAATAATTCCCACTAGTTACCAAGTGTGATGCATTGATGGAATCAACTCTTCAGGAAAAACTCAAAAATGCAATAATATACAAGGTGTTCCATTGAAAAAAACCAATCATAAACCGATATCCTGGAATTCGAACACCCTATAGATATGACAACAACTTGAGGTGATTGTTCTTATGGAACCCTATAACTGTTGTACTTGAATTTTCATTTTATATATCTGACGGTTTGGCTAATATCGGAGGAGAACACACTATAGTGACTCATTCTGTATACGAATAATATTCTCCCACAAATCTTGAACCTCCTTGAAACATCATCAAAAACCGCCTCAAGTTGTTACCATGATGTCCTGAGGGTGTCTCAAAAGATTTTCTAGGGATGTTCTGAGACGTCATTAGTATGTAGAGAATGGTAACAGGAGGACGTCTTGAGAATGTCCTCAGGCTCGCTCTCGACGTCCTGAGGACATCATTGTGAACGCCTCAGAAGGGCCTCAAAAGGAATTTGTGCTATCTGGGCTACGACTATGATTGATTTAACATAAAAACTAACCTTTAAAATCGTATCTGACAATCAGGCGCTACTAGGGAAATTGAAAAGAGAAAGAGCAGGATATATGTCTTATTCTTTTATTCACTCAACAATAATTGTAATATAGAAAATAAACTGGTCAACATTGATAACGTCGTGCTCCAAAATATAGCCTGAATTCAAAGTAGAATAACTCACGAATTTCCTCACCAATTTGAAATCGGTTTTCACCGATGATTAGCCTAATCTCTTGACAATTTGTTGTGGAAATATGAAACTTCTGTAATTCCAGATAACATTGCTACTGGGTGATAATCGAATGGGTGTAAAATTGCATCGTGGTCGTCACCTTACCGTTCGAACAGATAATTTTTTCAATTTTCTTTCTCAATTGTATCCTCTTGATTGATGCTTTCTCTCGAAACGTTTTCGGAATTTTCAAATTCAGAGCTTTGATAATCGTGTTATGAATATTCATTCAGAATGATGCATTTTTTCGACGATTAATTGAATGAAATTGAAAGTTGGAATTCTTCTCCGAAGAATCAACGTTGTATGTATAGTCGTCGGATATGTGATCGTGTTCGAACACAGAGAATTCTGAAAAAGTCTATACAAAGTGATACAAGAAATACTGAATGATGGAATGGAGAATAACGTAGTCTCCAGTTGGTGAAACATAATTTTCTCTGTGTTACTAGTGGAATAATGGAGTATTACTTCGTCATGAGGATGTCTGGTGTCTGACCTCGAAATGGTTTTGTGATTTTTTGGATCGAAGGTGATTTAATGAAAGTATGCATTTTTAAACGAAATGATGTATTTTCGTTAAGATAAATTATTATTATTCTACTTTGAATTCTGACTATATTTTGGAGCACGACGTTATCAATGTTGACCAGTTTAGAAAAGGACAGAAGTTTAGCTGTGTCCGACCTCTTATTTATTAATACCATCCAGTGAATCTAGAGTCTAGGGTCAATAACCAAACAAGTGATTCGATTTGATGGATGTCTATTATTGTTGACTTACCATTTTCTATGATACTGAAAAGTTGTCCTTGGCTGATGGCGCTAGGGTATTCGGCAGCAATATCTTTTTCAATAGACGGTAAACTTGAACCGGCGAAAGTTGAATGGCTGATTTCAGTCACCTCGGTTCCCTCTAAGAGCGGCGTCACATTATTTCCCGAAGTTGCAACTCCATCCTCCAACTGGATAACCTCTGGAAGGGTCGACCCGGTGGCTTTGATTTCGATTGATTCCGATGTCGATGCATCGAAAGTGTTGCTTGTAGTCACTTGTGTGTCGTAGTTTGTTGCTGAAAATGAGGAAAACATATGCGTGGAGGAATATTTCGATGATGAAAGTCGTTGATGAGACAGTGTGGATTCTGATCGTGTGTGGTAAAATGGTTAATTTTAACACATATCGTCGACCTAGAATAATGTTCTATCTGCCTTTTTTTACCAAAATTGAGATTTTGGTATATTAGGGTTCTATCTGATGAATTCTTCACTTTGAGAGGTCAACTATCGCAATCTGTTGGAATTTAAATGAGTCATAATGCAGACTTCTATCTACAGAATGTTTCTCTCTTAATTTGATGTAGCAATATCTTACTACAAAATTTGGTTTATCATGGTCCTATCTACACCCAGATAGAATTTTGTTTCATCAAACCAATACATATACACCCTTGTTATCCCAGTTCATCAACATTGAACATTCACAGTCATAGTGAGAAGTACATGAATTGAAACTGATTTTTTTTCACCTGTATTTTCCATCAAAAACTTGAAAGCAGTGAATAACAGAAGCCATACTACATCTTAGTAGCTGAAAGTTACCGATTTCAAAGATTTCGAAAGTTGTATCAAGAAACTCCAATACAAAAATATTCCTTCATTCCAAGTTGCTGCATTGGGAGAAAGTGAACGCATTTAAAAAAATGAATGCTGCATGAACGAGACTGACAGAAACTATTTCGCTGAATTCCTGAAAGATCTAAGTTGAATCAGTCATTTTGTACTTCTCCATTTCGATAATTCGAATATACTTTTGAAAAAATCCACGTGCCGCAATTTTTTTCACCATATTACTATTATTACTATACCCATACTCATATACTTATATACATTGATTCAGAAGTGAATCTGATGGCAGTGATGGCACTTAGAACATTTCAAATTAGTTTTCTCGTATTATTTCATGAAATAAAGGTGTATTTCATTGTATATTCGTCAGTCAGAACCTTGTTTAATTACTACAATAGAAAATTCTTCTGGAACAAAGTTCTATCTACATTTTAGATGTTCGAATTAACATTTATTTTGATTATTCTAGGGCGACGATATGTTGACCGATGTCCGCTTACTCGCCGCTGATGCTATTTATATGGTAACACCCTGTAGCGATTTTATATGAAGAACCTCATGTTTTAAGGAAGTACGAGATTATAGCTGAAAGACTGGGCTAACAGTGTAATCCGAATTCAAATTGTTCAAAGCAGGAAAAAATATTTCAACAGGGACAAAATTTTAGGGTGCGTAGTTTATTTCGGAACAGCAGAGTTTCAAAAAAGTCAGCTAGGGATTACTGACACTGCTGACAGTTTATTTCTCAGTATAGCCATTGAGGAATCATTTTGAGGCACAATTTTTATAGATTGACTTTTCACCTCGCTTTTCACTGTACCTTCGAACGTCTCTGTGGCAGTGAATCTAGCCGTGCTCGGAGTTTCCCCTTCCGTTTCTCTTCTGTGTCTGGTCGGCAAGCCGTAATAGACGTTCACCGTGTTGGAGGTCCAGAGGGGGGCTCTGGTGGTCGTGGAGGGCTCGGCGGGGGGCAACGGGGAGGGGGTTCTCTCCTCGAAGTCCTCGTGGGGGAGGGCGCAGGTCAACTGCTTCAGGATCTCTTCTCTGTCCTGAATACCAGTTAGGAAACGCGTCATTTTGTGTAACGATGGGATTTTAAACACAGAGCTATAGTCTATCCAAAGTCAAATGGAGCATATCCCGCACCGCGCGGCCTCGGTGGGTTTAAAGTTCCTGTTGAAGTGAGTGCACGTGCAGTTCGAGGCGATCCAATTGACTTTGGATAAACTAGTTTCCTAACTAAACTGCTCAACAGTTGACACGTAACAATGCATAATTTCACTCTTATTCAAATCTGTATAACTTTCGAAGGACACAATCGATTTCAATACTGTTTTCAGTTCCTACAGATCCTGAAGATTATTTCATTGGGTATCAAGGTATCATATTCAATTTCCAAAAATCCTTGTAACGGAGGTATCACAGGGAGATCGTTGGAAGTGTGCCAAACTGCAAGTTGAGAGGTATCTGTTTGAAGAAAAATTTATTCTCGTCAGCAATAATAATACCAAAACTTTATTGCTTGAAGAGTTCTCTCGAAATGGATTCGTTATTTTTCGAAAAGTACTTCTTTTTATCGAAATTTTTTTTCCAAAACCATTTTTTATTTCTATTTCTGATGAATGGTTGAGGTGTCGCAGTTGAGGTTTGGGTCCCCAAAAGCCCTAATTTAGCTAATTTAAAAAAAATATATATTTTTTATCTGTGAATTATGCCTGGTATATATGGTATATGATAATTCAACTACAAAAACAAATTTTCGTGAATCACTAACGATAAGATTTCCACAAGCAGAAAAAGATATTGTGTGGAAATCTTATCGTTTGTGAAGTCTTCTACATTTACCATGGATTTCGATCCAGTAACAGCCGCAAGTCAATAAAAAAAAAACAACTATACAAAGAGTTGTATAACGCCTTACTCATTCGAAATGCTAGGAAGAATAATGATATAGGAATTATTAGTCAGTCTCTGCCTGATCACGGCGGTGAAAGAAGTTTTTTTTGTATAATTTATATTGTTAGCATTTGGTGGTGGTTCTGTTCGTGATTAGTTCATATTTCTCGAATAAAGTTTCAATAGTGTTGAAGTCCTTATCCTTATTCGTCCAGTGAGATTCTTCACAATTATTTTTGTATATATATACCTACCCACGTGAGTATTATATCATAACTTTTTCTATTTTCATATTTTAAGCTATTGTATGACTTCCTAATAGTTAGCTGAGGATGGACAACATGTTCCTAATTTATTATTTCAATTTAAAAAGCCGTGAAGATGATTTCGTGCATTTTTTATTTAAGTATTAATAATAGGGGATTCGACTTTTGGCCACGTTAGGATTTCTAATTACCTAATCTGGATTGAAATCCAATATTTAATGTGGAGTTCAAAAAGTTTGTGTGAGAAATATCAGGAGTACATACGTTCGAATCTTATGAACACTGATGACTCGGCTTCAAGCCTTTGTGATAGACAACCGTGTCTTATGTGGCGAGTCGAGTGATAATATTATTACATAACCAAGTATTTATTCTTGAGAAAAATAAATTTCCTGATCTGGAGAAAATGTTACCGAGAGGAGACAGAAATCTAATAGACCTAAAGAGAAGAAGAAGAACAAGTATTAATAATATGTTGGAAAACTCACCGCATCTCCTTTGCAAGCTATCCGTTTGGTGCCGTCCAAACCGCAATCTGATGTCAAATCAATGGACGATTGTTCGGGGATGTACAGCACTGTTAAAGACGGCAATTCCGTCAAAAGACAACCCCGTGCACCCTGAGCCCATTCCGGAACTGCAAAAGATAGAGGGCGTCCATTTTAGATTGAAAAATGCGAGGGAAAAAACTTCACAAACAATAAGATTTCTACAGAATTCTCACACAGTGTGTAAAGCTTTTTCGAGTGAAAGCTCACACAATTAACTAACCTAACATTAACTTGGCTAACTTATACCGGGTCTTCAACAATGATTGAGAGTCACGTGACCATTTTTGATGCGGCGCCTCTTTTCCACCCACGTTAAAGAGATACGAATGTATACTCGCTTGCATATTAACCTGTCACGTGGTTTCCAATCATTGTTGAAGACCCGTTACAATGTGCGTCCCGATTTCAGTGCAACCATCAGTTTTTTTTTACCAAAAAGGCCTATACTTGAGGAGTGTTACAGATATTACCACCCTGTATTTTGTTTTTGCTTTGGGATCAAGAAGATCAGTGACAGGAGGGTCAGTAATGAATGTTATTGATATGAGACACTGTAATATTTTCATCTGCATTAAAGTTTTTCGTTTATGAGCCATTATTTAATTCAGTCTAATTCTATAAGTAAGCCGCTTATAATAAGCTAAACAAGGCGTAATGAGCTATATTAAATTTAACAGAATGCGTAATGGAGCAAAGAGAATCTTGAATAAAGTATTGTAATATTTTATCAATTTAGAATTTTTTTATTACTTGCACTAATTTAATCAAGGTTTTGTTCAAAATGCCCCCCAGCTGCTTCAGAACACATTCTTGCTCGTCTAATTATTGAAAACGTTGCTCTCTGAACATTGCTCTCTGATGAACAGTATCTGGATCGTCTGTAATGAGTTTTTCATGGGTTCCCAAAAATAATAGTGGTCAGGTGACCCTCTCGATGGTAACGATATAACTCTAACTACGAGTAATAGTTCAGCTAGACAATTATCAAAAAAGTCATGCTGTCCCAGTGTGGCTGCCTAATAGCGACAGCAGTATACCTTCATGTGACAGTAAATTCACTTTCAGCAAAGTCTTTATTGCTTATCATAGGATTTCAAGGTGCTGCTTCTATTCGAAAATGTAAAACGGTATTATGATTTCTTGTAATGGTAGCAAGAAATATCTCAGCAAAAACTCTAATAGCACAATTTTCCTCACTCTGAGTGCCCAGCACTGATATATCCGAGGAGGGCTGTCCTTGACAACGTAATATTGAGGCCAGAGGACGTGAAAGAGATTCAGCTGGGGAAGCTGCTGAACTTCTCCAAGGAAGTCGGCATACCCAGCTGAATGTCGGACAAGGGGCCCGAATAAGGAGGCCTACGTGCAGGGGTGTACAACTGTACACCGGCCCACCAGTGCTTCGAAGAAGAGGAAGAAGAAGTGGTTCTCAAATCATCAATATGTACCTTCCAGTTCCATGCGACCAGTCAAAGAAATGCCTTCCCAGACCATAGCCTGCTACTTTCGTGCTTATAATGCCAACTGAATTCAATAAAATCATGTTATCCTATAAAATTGTATTTATTCTCATTCCCTTAGCATTTTTTTATTTAACAACATGTAGGTTGTAGGATAATAATAATGATAATAATAATTTATTTCACTTCTTTATATGTTAAGAAACTAACATAACCTCTTAGATTTTTGCACATTCAGATTGCTTGTTATCTAGGTGCAATAACTTATTCAAGTAGCTCGAATTGTAAAATGTTATTCAATTATTTTATAAGCCTATTGTGATTCTCTCTGAATGAATCTGAAATCTGAATACAAAAAAGGAATATTGAAGAGAGATAAGGCTAAAGTGTACTTTCGATTACCAACTTGATAACTTAACTGTTACACTCCACTTCAATATTCATAAGAAGATAATCTATCATTCAAAACTAAAATTGTCCAAATCGGACAAAATTTCTGATACTTTTTGGTAATGCGTTAATTTTTTGGGGTAGAGTACTATTTTCTAATCGATTTGACTAAGTCCCACTTCTGATTTCTTTCAGATGGTATATGTTTTATCAATGACGGCGAATATCAAGGGATGGTCATGTGATCGTTCTCTGGGGGACAATAAAGACAGTTGTTCCTCGAAACAAAGTATGACTTTAAACGCCGTTTCTTGGGCCAACTGGACAAGGCTGTCGGAGTATTCCTATAAATCCGGGTGCTGCCCGGAGGTCGCGAGGCCAAAGGGCACGTACCTAGTCAGAGGACGGTCACATGACATGGTGGCTGCAGTTCGGTGATTCCAGAAAAAATAAGAATGAGAAGAGGGACCGTTTATAGGTGGAACGGAATATTTTCTACAGTGGTGAGTGCAATCTCGATTAATTTCATTGTATTTGCAACTTTGTTGGTACTGATTGATATGACGGCAATGGAGTTCTTGAATTGTTTAGCTAATTCGAATGTTCTGGCAATTATAACTTTCCAAACAATAATTCATGTTCTACATAATTATGTGTACCAAAAATTCTTTTACCAGTCACTTTTCTCTAGTCGAGCTGTATTAGATGAGAGAGAATATGAGAACAAGTTTCATGTAACATGATTCACCTTTGTTCATGAACTCAGAATTTTTTCGAACACTTGCTGTATTTTTTTTTTAGGTATTTTAGTTGAAATTGATACTTCATGAAATGTTAATGTTAACTGTTGTTATCATTGAAAAAATACCTATTTAGTATGTGCTTTCGTTGTATTCCATATAGAGTGACACGCAAAATCCAGTGACAGTATACATTTGAAAATACAAACTGAGGGGCAACTGCCACAGGGTTGTCAAATGTATTCAGTTTTTTTAAGTCATCAGGAAGGTACTTCAATGCCATATTCAAAGCAGTACTTCCATTTTTCAATTATCTTGTCAAAAACGCGAGATATTGCCTGTATATAACCTAGAAAAAAATAGAGAGGATATTTGAAATACCGGATTAATGCCTGATGCTTTATGTATTCAGCATTCATCTCTGCGAATTCGTTTTCATTCTATAAACTCTCGACTACTCCTCTTTGATATTAAAATAATCCACCCCGTTCGCCTATTTCCAAATGAATGGTCGATGTTTGTCTGAGTGCTTTCCCGGGATTAGCATTTTGCTGTAGGACTTTCATTCACGGTGGTAAGAAGGCAAAGTCTCGAAAATAAAGTTAAAACACCCCGGATGACGTATACCGGGTGATAAGAAGATCATTGGACAGGGCATTGTTTTTTATGTTAGTCATGAAATTCGGATCGCTGATATATTTAGTTCCATAAAACCCATATTCCTACTAATATTATAAATGTGAATGTGAGTTTGTTTGTCGAGCTTTCACGCCAAAACTGGTCAGCCGTTCATCATGAAATTTGGAATATATATTCTCGAATGTATTAGAAAGGACATAGGTTACGACGGATAAAAAAAATAATCTTGACAAAGATGATTGTTGGACACGAAATATTCAACTATCAGAAATTGAAATGACAAATATCTACTCAAACATCAGGTGGGCACTACGAAAGCGCAAATTTATTATTCCTTGGAAGATGAATCTCAGATTTTTTGCTATTCAGTGGCTTGACCACGAATGACATTGACGTATTATTCTTCTGCGTAACCAAAATGCACGATTCAATACTGTTGAAAATAACAATATTCAAGGTATATCATTTCTGTACACCCAGTACAATATGACTACTGTATAAGTCGCAGTCGATTCCTGTATTATCTACAGAGACAAAAACAAGAGGTGTTGTCGTAGTATTGTCGTTGTTATAGTAATTAATATAGTAGTTGTTATGTTGTTATGTAAAACAATATATTGATACAAGATGTTCATCAGTGTATATGAATAAAATATACTTCTAAAACCGATACTGCCGTATAATTACGTATTCCCAGCTAATAACTAAAAAATACGACCTCAATTGGTTCATCTAAAGACAGGGCGCAAAAAATAACTTAAATCTGCTGTAGTGAAGTACATTTCAACTTTTGTTGTAGTAAATTATTTCAATAAAGCATCTCCTCGGTTTTTGAAACTTCATTGTATGTAGTTATTTTTATATACTGAATCCCATGGATTCAGTTCTATTGGAATGTATAATGATCTTTGATGTACGCGAGCGAGAAGCTACTTTTCTGAATGAAAAAAAAAAAATTAATTTCACTTCTGGTTTTACAGGAAATTGACTTCAATAAAAATATGTATATGCACATGATATCATTCTGAATATTCAACAGAAAACAACTACGTTCCTGGCTATTTGCCACGTCGAACATTGAATTATATCTGTTGAACAACCAAAAGGAGAGCATCAAAAATGAAAAACCTCTGAAATTGATATGCTCTCTTTTTGGTTGTTCAACAGATATAATTCAATGTTCGACGTGGTGAATAGCCAGGAAAGTGGTTGTTTTCTGTTGAATATTCAGAATGATATGTGCACATACATATTTTTGTATGAAGGAGAATGAGAATTCTCAACCTCAGAAGGTTTTGTTTTCAAATTCTCATCGTGTGTGTTCAATACATGTAGATTGTTCGTCGTGGCATATAGCCAGGAAAAAAGGTGTAGTTCTGAGAGAGAATTGATATTTTTTATGTTCATGATTTTATCTTTCACCAAATCAAGGGGTTCAAACTTGAACGATGGAATGTTGTTTGATGAATATCAGTTCGTCATACATAAAAAAAAATTCTCACTTGAAAAACAACTGAATGACGCCCTCGTCCATATCGTTGTCACCCGGTATAACGATTCGCGCTTTGTGGGGCGGACGTGTATTAACGCAAAACAGGGGGTTGATGCAGGTGGTGTGGAAGTTGGAAGTTGTTGGTTGAGTACTTGTGACATTGATTAAATTTGTGCTCGGAGCAAACTAGAATGGAGTTTGTCCTGATTAAGAAGTTGCAAATTGAATTGCCCGCGAGAAAGTATTCGCATCCGCAAGACTAATTTTTCTGTAATCCTATTAAGATCGCTAACTTTCAGATTGTCAATTCGAAATTACAATTTTTGTCAACTGCTTAACAGATGTTATATTAATTATCGAAGTATTATTATAATTTCTCTAAATATAAAAGACATAATATCCGCGACATTCGATAAAATTCCAACTTCGAACTATAGTAGGACAAATACTTATATGATACATAAAGAAGGCGCAATCGTTTTGATATTTTTTGCCGACGTTCCGGAGTCATCCGCAAATGTTTGAAACCAGGGTCGGACTAAATTACTTTACCCAGCTCAGAAACAATAGAATATAATGTTGTTTTAGTAACCTGAATTATACCGGGTGACCAGTTATATTCTGACCCATTCCAACTGCTCATATCTCCGAAACTATTCAAATTATCGTTGTGCGGTTTGGACTTCTCTATTTTGATAAAATTGAAAAATGTTAAATGTGAATTTAGAAATGAGTAGAAGTGAGGTTACTTACAAGTCAGGTTGACAAGAAAATCATCCATAAAAATATCTTTGGACCAGTTGAGTAATATTAACATTAGCCATAATGTCACCATAGTTACCAGAAAACATCTCAGTCGATTTCTTCAAATGAGGATATTTCGAACTTTTCTTGCTGTTCAGTCGTCACAACAGCGGTTATCAATAATTTTTTCAAAATTTTGTGACATTGTGACAAGATTTTTGACCACCGTTTGAAACAAAATGACAAGAACACAGCTACTAGGACGAATTCTCTTATATAAAAATATTCATATTCCAGTGAGACGATTTTCCAAACATTCCAAAACAGTTTCGAGAAAATAGATGGTGCGATATTTTTATTGTTTATTGAAAAACTAGCTTCCAGTCAGAAATAAAATTCTGGTATGAGGAAGTTGATTACAAACAACAATCATAAAATAATATAAGGTGACAACAACAACAATAAAAATCTAGAAAATCTAAAAATGCTAAATCGATCAAGTCATAAAAATAGCCACAGGGACTAATCAGTAGATGGCAAAGTATCAATTTTATCCATTTCGTAATGAAATCATGTGTTTTTTCAATTCAATTTCAAATTTTGAAATATGTCTGCAATTTTTTATACTATGTGGTAATTTATTAAATTCAGCTAGAGCAGCGTGAGTAAATTTTTTTTGGCCAATTATAGAAGTACCAGAATCAAGATGAAATAAGTTTAATTGTCTCGTGTGATGACCATGAATTTCTGAGTTTCTTACCAAAACAAAATTGGATTTCAGATTATTGTTTATTATATAATATGAAACTTTAAGAGAATCTATTTTATATAATTCATCCAATGAAAATTTTTCTGTTATCGCATACAGATCATTTGTTGTGATATCAAATAAGAGGCGATACAATACTTTCAGTGCTTTCTAATAAAATGCAGATATTTTACTGAAATAATTTTTTTACCTCAGAAATTTTCCTTAACGGGAGTTTACATTAATATACTTACTGGGTAATTCGCATATGAAAGATGCAACTTCCGGTCCTCCACAACTCATGGGTTTCCACAGGAAATCTTTTGCTGGGTCCATTGCGACACATAGAAGGCTGCTAGATACCGGAATGGCATCTTGCCAATGCCCTTCTGTGCTCAGAGGCTGTAAATTCCTGCCAAATATTCATGAACGTTTTTATCGTTAAAGGACTCTGCAATTTAATTTGCTAATACAGGGATAAGGAATTTTTTCCGTCGAAAATGACATACCGATTCAATAGGGATACTCAATACTTAGTATATTGAACAACAATACTCTGTGTCTCATACTTGGGCAATCAATATTGGAAATCAGTTGATAAGAATCATCGATATCAGGAAACAAGTTTGAATTGAAAATTTTCATCCTGTATTTCAATTAAAGGCGAATTTTCGAAAACGTCTCGAGTTAATAGTCTAATATAAATAATGGATATCGAGAAGGCCGTTTCTGAATATACTGAATCGAATGGGCCATGGTTTTAGTCACCATTTTTGATTTTTTTACTGAAATGAGATTTTGTCCTATTTTCTTATCATCCTGTGTATTCCACAATAGTGCTTTTTTCGTCTTTCATTGTCCTCCACAAAACATGAGAACGGTTCTTTCCAATAGTCTGCTCAAGTGGAGTTCTAGAGAAAAAATTCAAGAAATGCAAGACTTTCGAAAAACAATCTCATTTTTGGTTCCAATGGCCAATTAAGGGGAAATCACGAAAACGTCTTGAGATGAGGTCCCAGTGTATCATAATATGACTAACTTTTGATCAGAAAAAAAATTTCTCGAGTTCTGGCCGCATTGGAAATGTAGACCATAGTGTAATGGTTCCACTTTACACCCTGTGTAAGTTTTGTTCTCGGACTTTTTCAGAGTGTTCTAGCTCTCTTTGAAGCCGATGAAACAACACATCTGATAACGAAAACTGCATGAAGATCGGTCAATTTTTTCAAAAAATACAGGCCTTCGAAATAGAGTCAAATTATGAGTGGTCCATTTAGTGTGTTGAAAACTGTATTTCATTATTTGCAAGAGGAAATACTTGCTAGCGTTATATTGCTTCATTTCACAGGTAATTAAATGATCTGTGAAAGCTACTTACGTCCATGTGAAATTTGGTTTTTCCGCACTTTTCGAGAGTCCTATCCATACGTTGTCGGTGATGTCAAGTTCTTTCAGGTAAGCTCTAATGGCGTCGTATTGCGAAGAACTGTCAGCTGAAAAATACAAATGTGCATGTCAATCCAGAGATAATGTTTCCACGAGAAAAATATCGTTAATCCAACCGCCGCACGTATCCAGTTTGTTATGGATGAAAAATCGTTGTTTGATCCTGCAGTATATGTGGAGAAATCCTCTCCAATTCCAGTAACAATTTTCCCCTATTCTCTTTTACCGAGCTCATTATTTTCACCTTATTCGAGAAACTCGAGAGTATTTACGAACGCATTTCACGTTATCATGTCATGTTTTTTAACTCGCTTTATCCGGACCAGTGTTGAATGTTTTTCCTTAGAGAAAGAATATGGATAGATTTGAAAAAATGGTAAATTGTATATTGGAAATTTTTTTGGAATCTCTTGCAGCGCACGAAAGGAAATTCCTATCATGTTCGAAGAACATCATGCGTATCTATAGTGAGGATAGGGAGAGAGGAGGTGAGTATAGGATTTTTTTGAACTCTTGGAGGTTATAAGTTATTCGGAATACTTCTATTGAAGAATTTCAAAGCTTCGCCGTTCTATAGACGAATGAGTTGTTAGACATTTCAAGGTTGACAATGAAAGGATGTGCTGACTGGGCCTGTCCAGTTTGTCTGACTGGTATGGCCAGTGATGGAATGATGAGATGATGATGATGATAACAATTTTCCCTAGTAGTATCTACAGGCTGATTTTAAAATGAGTGCATATATTCAAGACATATATATGAGAGAGTCTAACAAAAATTACTAAAATATTTGATTTTTCCTAAGTCTTCACATTAACGAGAAATTTCATTTTGAAAATTGAACATAAAATGCTTCGAAATTCGAGTACGCCACTGGGAAGCAAGTGAAATCTGCGGAATCCTAGGGAATCCACAATTCGTCATTCACTAAAGTCAAAACAAGACAGTGATGCCAGATTGTTTCAGAGACGAATATCCTGATAAAAATTTGTCACAGAATGAACATGAATTGAAATAGGTTATGGAAACTAATAGAGGTGAATGTAATATGTACAAGAGCCTTATTTTTCAAAGTTTACTGAGATAACTGTGGGGTGATTATCTTCATGGATCACGAGAGACGGAGAGAAACATGAGGGGAATGATAGAACGTCCCCCTTCCTTCAATTCGAAAATAAGGCCCCAGCGGGTAGATACAAAATAAGCAGACAATAAATAGGTACACAACATACACAAAGTTGAAAATCGACTCACCTAGTAGATTTTCTCATACCTGCTCGAACAGCAAAACTCCCGAGAGCAAACAAATACTAATATCGAGTCCATTTCATCCAATTATTCTATTTTTTATTTTACGTTTACAATTATTTTACAAACCAGCCGACACAAACAAAACTATTATCATATGATCTGTCAACATCATTTCTCAAAACAGCAGTGTCTGACTATCTGTGACCATAGATTTCCTCTTTGCTGTGACCTTTGACAGTACTAACTAGGATTGTTCGCGTTCTATTACTATTTCACGAAGATTGTTACGATATTACGATTTGTCATGAATCTATTACTATTTGCTATTAGCACCAAAATATGTTCCAATACTAAAAAATCTATTTCTGTGCTCAGCGGATAATTATGTTCCGTTCTATGTTCTATATCTATGTCAAAACTGTGATTAGTGCGATAGGGTTTGACAAGAATGACATTCCGAATGTCAAATGTCAGATTTTTCGAGTCTATTACCTTTTGATACAAATCTGATACCTTCTTCCAAGGAAATCTATCACGAAAAAATCAGACCCAGGAACAACACTGACTAGTAAATGTAAAGTTTTGTCAAAGAATAGTAGGTTGGTTTTGTTTCTGACAATTTGCTTGGAATGTGACGATGCATTTCTCAAACATTGAGATGAATGATATGGTTCTTATGTCGGGTCGTTATTGTGCGGGGCCCATGAGACTCCTCGAATGACACGAAATTGTAGCGATGCAAGGAGGTGGAAGAGGAAGGGTCTAAAGAATTTTTCAGTTAAAGAACTTCCAAGGGGAGGTGTTAAGATATACGCTTTTCTAGCTTATGTGTACAAATCTTGGGTGAGTCCATTTCAAAGTTTTTGTATTATCTTTCTGAAATTCAAGACATTTTCTCGATTATACATTTTATTTCATATCTCCTAATCGTCATGTAGAGTGGCAACGTCGCTTCGTTCATCACGGTCAACTGCGGATCGCAAACGATAGTTGTGACAGAAGTAGAAATCTGGGCGGAAAAAGGGTATTTTGCCCCAAATCTATTTTGATCCTAATAATATTTTTAATAGTGCTATTCGGTAGTATACCTCAAGCTTTTTTAGTGTTTAAAATATATGCACTTATTTTAAAATCAGCCTGTATAGAGAACTGGAGGGTCGTCGACTTATCTAAGGTGTTCTAAAAAGTCAAGTATTAGTGAGTGTGGAATTGCCCACTATGTTTGGGTTCTGAACCCCATATGTGAGAACAGTATTTTAAAACTGGTCGTATCTGTGCTTTGTAGATATTGAGAAGCTGTTGTGAAAAAAAAGGTCGACGAAAAAATTTAACGCTCGACTATAATAGACTGCTTTTCGTTGTTGGTACATAAATAACCATATAACAGCCTTTGTATTGCATGGTAAAATAAAGCCCTCATAAAGTGTCACGATATAATAATATCTCGACTCCAGCACCCATTTACGCGATTCTATTCGCGTATCGCAGAAACATAATGTTCTTAGACCTCGGGAGTGTGTTTTTTCGCTATTTCTCGATACGAATATCCAATATTTACTTTATCAAAAGCCATACATCATACGTGTTCGCCGAAGTAAGAATAAATATTGTTGCGGGAATAGAGAAAACGGGGGAGAGAAAAAGTAGCGAGAATGCATGAGAATGGCTGCAAAACGGTCCCATAAATCTCGATATATGCCTTTTCGGAACTCGAAAAATGTCCGAGAACATCTCATTCTCGATATTGTTCCACGGAAATGGAAAAATTTCACGATTATATTGGTAACGTGGCTCAAATATGTTTGCGGAATGCAAACTGAATTTGTTATCGATGAGATTGATCAATGATATCATGTCGAAAAAACTTCATAATATAATTATAATAGTTGTAATTCAACTCCCGTAGTCGAAACTTTCATACTTTTGGAGTTGAAAGAATAGTTCCTGGCTAATACCTCAGAATATTGCATCAAATCTGTTGTAATATATCGAATTCTGAGATAATATAATCTCTAGGCTGAAAGACTTCGGTCGATAGCCTTTTGGGTAATCCCCCAATAAATATTTCTCTCTATCTCTCTTTCTCTGTCTCTTTAATCTCTATAACATTTATTGATAAATATGTAGTTATTTATAAAATCAATTGGAATCAAATTCATGATTCGCATTTTTTTTGCGAGAAGAACATATATATAACTTTGTGTTTCTTTGGATTAAAGACACAAATACAGTATATATTCGGAATCCTGGAGAAATTTTACGTGCGTGTGGAATGTTCAATGCAAAATTGAGAAAGTATAGTATATGGAGTTTTTCGGATCGGATCAAAGCCACTCTCGATACGAATCGCAAACACAGTTTGTCCTTGGGGACGACCGGCTTCCCGGCATCACCATATACAGGATGTCCCGAAATTACATATAACGATTTCAACCACGGATTCTAGGAACAAAAATAGTAAAAAAAGTTCATATAAACATATGGGTCCAAAAATGCCCCCCTGGGGGTTATAGTCATCTGAAGATAATCCCGCGAGATGATGGATTCTGACCTTACTTTTTATGCCCATTCTGAAAATGTTGAGCATTTTTTTAAATATTGATCAGGAGCGTGGGAAATAGGTGGGGCACATTTTCCCCCAATTTCTTAATGCAATCTTTAGAAATTCCACACAAGGAAATATGAAAATATAATCTTTTTTACTTGAAAATGGTACTTTCGTTTTGTTTCGATAGCACTCACCATTTTCTGTCAAGTCTGCTTAGTAAAAAAAGTTATTTTTCTTATGAGATACCTACCAATCCTACCATATTATTTTTCAGTCAACTCTTTTCATTAAGTACCTTTTTCAGGTAAAAATTTTGAAAGTTCCATACTTCCTGGTCAAACTGCCGAAAATTGTATAAACAAAGAAGTTGCCCCACCTATTTCGTACGCCCCTGATGAAATTTCGGAAAATTATTAGCTTTTTAAAATTGGACTTAAAAAGTTACGTATATGTACGAAATTTGGTTATTTTGTTACAGAGAGCCTCGAAAATATTTACAAAAAAACATTATCTTGGGCTCCCCTTCAGCAGGCAACCCTCCAAGGAACCTTTCTGGACCCATGTTTACATGAAGTTTATTTACTATTTTTGTTCCTAGAATCCATGGTTAACAACTTTCTATGTAATTTCGGTACACCCTGTATACAGTCATTGAAATCCCAACTAAAATTTGTTACAGATTTTTCACGTCATTTTATTTATATTTCGAACTTTTAACTCGGTATTCAAAAAGAAAAGAGGATTTCTGTTGATTTTTAGTTCAAGACTTATTTTAGGCACAATCATTCCAGATAGGAACTCGTTTTTTCATTTGAAGTTCCAATATCTCATAAGTTGTATTTTGTTGATAGGTCATGAACTTGTTTATCACCAGCTAGAGAATTTTCCATAGTTTTATGGACACCCTGTATACATTTTTTTCTATTTTTGCCTCACCCTATTGCCCAGTATTCGAGTTACGTCACACACATCGATTGGGGAGGAGAGGAATGGTGTATAGAAAGGGGGAACGACGTGGTATCGAGATCTTATACACACAAACCGGCAGTGTATTTTTGTTTGTTTTCCTTTGGACTGGGTAGGAAATGATTGCCCTAGGTGTTGGCTGAAGGAACATTTCATAGAGGGAGCTGATATTCCCTAGGATACGTATCAAAACATGTTCAGGGTGGCCTATTAAGTGAAATCACCTCGGAAATCAAAAAACGAATGAAAGTTTTAAAATGTCAAGTATTGTTGTACAAAGTA